AATTGTTAAATTGGATTAAGCACACTACATTAGAGATATCCTCTCTATGTATAGTATGCAATAGGACAAGACAAGAAAGACAAGCACCCTAATGAATGGATATAATTCTATTAGGCTAGCAGAACAGGCTAATCTAAGAACCGATTAAAAGGGATATTAGACATTAATTAGGAAGCTTATGTATCTTGCTATTTTAATAAGACCTAACATTTCTTTCGCTCTTAGGAGACTAAGCTAGTACCTAGGAGATCCGGCTAAATTCTATATGTCTACTACAAGGCATATCCTTAAGTACTTAAGATTAACACAAGATTAAGGACTTATATTTAAAGGAATGAACCGGCCTAGACTAGTAGGGTACTCTAACTCTAACTTTGCTTCTATAAGATCTAATAGGTTATCAATTCTTAGGAATGTATTCATAGTTGTAGATAGTCCTATTAGTTAGATGAGCAAGAAGCAGAAATCTATAGCTACTTCTACAATGGATGCTAAATACATGGCTATATGTGTAGTAGCAAAATAGTTACAATGGATTGCACTTACTCTAAGAGATATAGGCTCTGCCTATCTTATAGGAGAAAGCGCATTCTAGCTAACACTTAAACAGAAAATGAAGTATATAATTACTTCCCCTATTCTTATTAGAGGAGACAATTAAGCTGCCCTTAGTTTGGTTAGAGATGCACAAATCTCTAATAGGTCAAAACACATTAATGTAGCCTACCATTACTAGAGGGATCTCCTTAAGAAGAATAGGCTTAAGGTTAAGTTTGTAGGAACAACTAACATAGTTGCTAATGGCCTTATAAAGCCATTAAATAAGTCTCCATTTAAGAGGTTTGTTAGTTTACTAGGCATATAGTAATGTGTGTATAGTCCTAAGTAGGAGAGTTGAAAATAGTGCAGTCCTAGCACACTTAGAGGAGTTACAACTCTATTACAATACGGTAAGGTTCTGTTATAGATAGGTCTATAATAGGCTACAATAAGTGAGGGGATAACAAGGTTAGCTTAGCATCCTAACGCCTTAGTAGAGCAGGATGCTCTTAATAGATTACGCCCGTAGATACTCTTCTTCTCTTTAATTAATTACTACGCTATATACTATTAGCACGCTTTCACTAGCAAAGGTCGCGTCTCTACCTTCGGTTAATTCTATAGGCTCTAGGATTACTTCCCTACGCTAGCTAGAGTATTTTATGCACCCGTTGCACGACTTATTTCAACTTTTAGCTTAATTTTTAATAAGATGCCTAAGGCTAAAAAGCTTAGACTTATGCCGGCGGTTTGTTAATGAAGAACTTAAAGAATGATTTAAGGTTACTAGCATGTCCTTATACTCTCCCTAGAGCTTTAACATCTTAAACTTAGAGTGTTGAAGCTAAACAGGCTTATGTGCCTAGAGACTCTTAATATATTCCTAAGTAAATGCAGGATATAGAACAAGGCTTACAACATATGCAGTTAAATGGTCCGTTAACTCATAATATTTGTTAAGCTTTAACTAACCTTAGTTAATCTAAACATAGAGAGTTGCATAGTAGTCTAGCTAGCTACTTAAAGCTTAAGTATGTGCTTTAGTAGCAGCTTAAGACTATAGCAGTTAAGAGACAACTAGCTATTAAGATAGGGCTTCGAGGTTTTGTTAAGATAGTTCTTAAACTTATAGAGTAGGGGGTGTTAGTAATGGTCGAGAATTAGCTCCCCTATTGCGGGTAGCTCGTTAACCCCTTCTTAAAGGCATAGCTAGAGGTAGCATCTTAGATGTTGCTGTTAAGGAGGCAGGTTTAACTAGTAGTTAATAGGCACTAACAGGATTTAAAGGTGCAACAACAAACTTTTCCTTAAGATCTTTAAAGTGCTTAAGAAGACCTTCCATTATAGGGATAGTCTACTAGATTAAGCCCTAAGCTCCACCTTTGCTATAGCCTTAAAGGATTGTTGTTACCTTATTAAGAGGTTAAAGGATATCCTAGTATTCCTTTAAGATAGCCTAGTCTAAGGGGTGCAACTAGTCATTAAGTACTAAGGGTCGTTCCTTAAGTTTTAATTAAGGCATTACCTTACTAGGATTATTGCGATGCTACTAGGCCTTAAGAACATCCCATTTCTTAGCAATTTCTTCTATAAGAGCTTAAATTGGTCCTTGCTGTTTAACACCTCTTTTAAGTNTTTGCTTAGATAGGTTTAAAGCGCTTGCCGATGCGAGCATAACACTTTAAACATAGCTAATAGTACTTCTTATGTCGTTTTAGGCCTATTAAGCTTAAGCTTAAGCTTCTAGGTATAGGGAACCTTTCTATAACGCGCCAACTATAGAGCTAAATCTAGCTATTAACACCACCTTTTCTAGAAGTATAAGGGCCGTAGTCCTCGTAAACATTATCGAAGTTAAGAGAGTTATAGTATGAAGGTAGGGGTATTAGTTTAAGTGGATCTTTAACAGCTATACTTTAGAAGTCATTAGTTCGTTATTAAGACGGCGTAATACCTCGTTAGGACGTTAAGGGGGTAGTAGAAAGGGGCGGCGATGAACTTCGCATTAAAAAGGATGAATTAAGCGTTGTTTAGGAGGTTATGTTAATGGATATTAATAGATGTAGTATGGTAGAAGTGGTATAGGGACGCAGAGGTTAAAAGGTTAAGAAGCTAGTTAAGCAGAGATTGACGACACTATTCCTAATACGGTCGGCAACTATACCTAATGCGGTAATGCCAAGCTCTTAGACTGGATATCCAATGGATATGAGGCTAGATATGGACTGGATTGGATACAGACCTATATCCATATCTAACCTATATCCAATGTCATATCCATTGGATATCCATTTGGATATCCATCCAGTCCCAGCTCTGATCTCGCATCCTTGAGCTTTCGAGAGTTGAGCAGCTATCTCGAGCCATAGCTTATGGTCATCAGTCTCTATCTCCACGATTCGATTTCCGAAGAAAGCCTGCAGAAGAGACTTGAGTTTGCTTGGGATGTGATTGTTCAAATCCTCTCAACCAGCATTGTCCGTGAGACCTTCGATAAGGACTGCGATCACAAGGCTCATGTACTCGCAAGTCAATTGCATTTCTCATGTTGATCCTCGATCCTACAGCGAGACTTCAATCAGTACACGACGGTCATTAAAAGGGTTCGGTTGGAGGTCATGACCAATGTTCGGCAGCTCGGACGCCTCGGGACTTCGGATTTCGCAACATTCGCTCTAGCGTGCAACATGTGTTTTGCGAGACCCCGAGAGTCTGCGAGTACGTTGTGGTATAGTTATGGACCAAAAGCAAACGCTCAACGCCAACTAATGCATAAACTCCTCATCCTCTACTACAAGAAACTCCTCTACCCAAAGAATTCATCAACAAGATAACCAAATCACATGACAACACACCTCTTCCCCTGCTCCTGATGATGCAAAAGATCCTCTCTAACACCTCTTCCAATCGTCGGAAGGACCTCCCCTCCAATCCTATCTTCCAATTGCTTTTTCTTAGCAAACCATGCTTTCCTCCCCGTTCCCACGCTCTTACTGCGTCTTAGATTCGGCGAGTCGTCTTCTCCGTTGGTGCTGCTTCCTCTACCTGTCCTGGTGGAATGTGAGGTGTGAAGGGCGCGAGTGTTGGACACGGGACGGGAAGAAGGGTCGATGGCGGATTTGGAGCGATGGGCGAGGGAAGGGCGGTCATCGACGGGGGTGGGAGCGGCGGGTGGAAACCAGGCTGTTACTTGATATCCCACATTACCTGCAGAGGTAGCGGGACGTGGCGGTATAGTGCCCGTGCTGGAGGAAGCACTGATTGCTGATACTGCTCCAGTAGAAGTTCGCTCGGAAGTATTGGTGCTTGTAGGCATTAGGTTGTTTGCTGCTGCATAGTTCACTGCTTGCATGGCGTTTACATGCGGAGGACGATGTTGGATATGATTCGTAGGTTCATCATGGGCTTGCGGGTCAGATGCTGTTGTGCGAGGTCGATCTTCGACAAATCGTTCTTGAGGAATTAAAAGTGAGTGTCGGAAGTCTTGTAGACCTAGTCCTTGCATCATCTGTGGAGCCCGCATGTGTTCGGGACTTGTAGGCACCGTTCGATTTCCTTGCGACATCTCTGGTGAGAAGAAACTCAACGTTCCGCCACTTTCCCAGCTAGGTTGAGAGCGAAGTGTTGAGGGGACATGCGGTGTTGATAGCGCGTTTGTATTGACCGTCTCCCAAGACGATTGAGTACGTAATGTCCTAAGTGTTCCAGATCGCGCAGTAAGTGGACTAGGGTTATAATCACTCCTTGTGGCAGATTGTGCGAGAGAGCTGATTGGACTGATGTTCTGGTGGTAAGAGCTCATGTGGAGAGGAACTGCAGGTGGAGACAAAGTTGAGGCTGGCGATGGGAATCGATGATCGTGAAAAGTCGGTGGCGCTGTAGCAATCGCAGAAGGAGGGGTACTGGTCTGCTGCACGAAGCGTCCATGGCTTGGTATATCCAGTCCTGCAAGAGCACGGTATTTTCCAGGTAGCGGTTGATTCGGAAGCTCGGTATATGCAGGTAGCGGGAGATCTCCAGGATGATCAGCTTCCGCTTCTTGCTCCTCGAGGGTTTGAAATCGATGTGCATTGGCGGCTGTGGTTGCACGTTCGATCGACATGTATGATCGAGGCGCACCTTGCGTGTATGGTTGCTCAAGCGACTCAGCGGCCAACTCGCTTGATTCAAGCAAGTCAGGTAGAGATCGAGTAGCATCAGCCGACAGTGATATGACGGACGAGTTTACTCGTCGGTTTCTCCACGGCGACGTATGTACTGCCATTCGCTGCATCGACCCAGCTGGACTGCCGTTCCGATATGGAGAGCTCTCTTGGCGCCTTGACACGGTCGTTGCGGCTCTTCCGAGTGAAGGCGTCTTCTTTCCAAGCGTATTGCTTCGGGTTGAAGTCACTGTCCGCCTTCGCACCAATGCAATCTCATCAGCAACATCCATTTTCTCCTCCTCAAGCGTCACAGGCGGAGCTTTGCCGACATGGAGAACAAATGTCTGCCCAGGTTGGCCAGCGAATTGTGGGTCAAAATCGAAAAGAATGATTCGACCACCTTCGACATCTTGTACGCTCAACTCTGCTTGGTCGGCATCAAGAAGGGAACCTGGACTGGTCACAACCAATCTTCCTCTGATCTGATGAGGTGAGTGGGCAGAAGCTGGCAAGTTTAGACGTGAATGGACCCAGCGAAGGTCCGTAAAAGGGCACCCATACTCTTCGTCTAGTTCATGGTCGATGCTGTGTGCTTCGACTTTTGTCGTGCCGTCCTCGGCATCGTTGGGTACTATGTAGAGACGGACTGTGCGGTCATTCACAATCATGGCCACAATTTTTCCATGTTCATCAATGGAAGGACAGTGATGTATTGCGGCGCCTAGTCCTCCACATGTCGATAGCGGAGGAGAGATTGCAACAGGAAAGTCGACCTGACTGTAAAGCATGTCTTGGGTATGCAGCAACCCAAAGGTGTCCTCGAGTCCGTTCCAAGCAAACAGTGTATCGTTAGCCATGGATCCATCTTCACGCATAAAGGTGGCATGACTACTATTTTTAATATTCTGCGGTTCTAACATTCCAGTACACCAAGCTTCCTGAAGCTCTTGATGGGAAGGTTCACCAGAAGAAGTCGAAGGAAAGATTGGTACCGAGACAACCAGCGTAGATGAAGTGAAGATGCGAGTCGTTGTTCCGAGTAAGGTCGAATCATCTTGGGAAAAGACCAGCTTGTCCATTTTTGGGGCCCTCACAGCACGACGGTCGGTGATGAGAGCGTTTGGAGCCAACGAAAAGATCTCGACTCCACCTTCGTATGCAGCAGCGAGAAGACCACCGGTAGAAGACAAAGCGATGGTAGAAGTCGGCAAGTCTGTCCTGACAGTCCTCACACGACGGGCATTGTTGTGCGACAAGTCATAGACATTGACAGTATGCTCGTCGACCAGCACAGCAAGCACATTCGCCTCGTCGCAAATCTCGACAGCCAAAGGACGCCTACGCAAGGCATATTCATGCGACACGTTCACAGGCAAAGCAGCAGTCTGGAAGACGAACAGTCTGGCCGAATTGTAAGCAGCAATTCTTTTTCCAGCAGGGGACAGCGAAAAGGCCAAGGCTTCACCCTGGGGAGAGGCAGCCGATGCTGTGGCTGTATTTGAGACAATCTTGACAACGTGTATCCGGGGCTTGTTAGGCTCATCCTCGTGAATGGACTGCCAGCTATACCGTACTCTTTCCTTCTTACTGGGCACGAATGTCGTAGGAGTCTGAGGTTGCGAGGAGCGGACTGAGGTGTGTCTTGACGGAGGAGTCGTTGGCGGATCATTCTTGAAGGTCGAATGCGAAACGTGAGAGTCTGCTGGGTCGTCGTCGCAATCAGGAGCTGGAGAGATCATGCCGGAGCTTCTGACGCTGGCATTGTCTCCTCGGCGGCTAATGCTGTCGTCGGGTCGTATACTATCGGCATCATAAGAGTATGCATCGTTGTAGGCCATTCTCTGCACATGTCGTAAATGCTGTCTTGTCTCAGCTTGTCATGGTAGAGAGCAAGAAGAGAGATGTTTCTTTCTCCTGCCAGCCTTCAGCAGATGCAGCCACTCGATCGACCGAATTATCCAAGATCCAATAAACCGACTTGTCAACAATATGCACGCTAAGCTGCACGGAATACGACAGCAGCGGAGAGGGAATGTTCAAATCATCGGAAACACTTGCCAGCAATAAAGGAGAAACATGGCCGAGAGTCTAATCGCCCATGTCATGCCCAGAACTCCGCACCCGCCGCCGGCACGCCCCGTCTGCCGAGACGAATCATCGCCGTTGTCGATCCCTGCCCTAATCGTTGATCGGTATTCCCGGCCGTGCATCCTTCTCTGCTCCATCATATACTCTACCACTTGTCGAGCACGCGAAGTCGGGCTTCTCTGCTTTCCATTGCTTCTTCGACACGATTCAGTCAAGTCTACCAGCATGCTCGTCTCAGAGATGATGGTGTCTCAATCTCAGCCTTGCCTCGCCGAACTCCGCAATGTCACACTCCGCATGCACCACCTGAAACACCCATCTCACCTCTAGCCGTCCCTCATGCTTTCTAGAAGGAATGGACTTGTTCGCTGCGACCGGTCTTGTGGAAATGACATGCACGTCCATGTATAAGCAGCAGACGTCACTGTTGATGTACTGCATCGAGAGATAGGATAAGCGTCTGCATGCATTAACTACTGCTAGGCGTCTTGAGTCCCACAATCAAGCTTCTGAGACAGCGCTCACATCACCATCCCTCTGGCTTTTTGGCCGTCGCGACACCGAATCGCTGTCCCAGAATGACCCACTCCGCCACGACGATGGCATATCTCATAGCCATGGGATCGCCATTCTTACCAAACGCCTTGGCTGTCAGTCCCTTGCATCTCTCCCAGTCAACAAAGCCCAGCTGCTTGATGTTCTCTTCACTGATAAGCTTATCCAGGAGCTTGTTCAGTGGACCCCCCTCGGGCCAGGTTGTCGGTGCAGAGTAGGGGTGCTTCTTGCGTTCATACAATTCCTTGGTGATGAAGGGTTTGGAGGCTTCTCGAAGTACCCACTTCTCTGTGAAGGTCTTTGCTTCAGGCTCCCAGCGCAGCTTGGCTGATGGCGGCAGATGATTGACGTACTCTGTCAGCTTATGATCAAGGAAAGGAGTACGTGCTTCAATGCTGTGCGCCATCTCTGTGCGATCTCCTAGACATGTCAGGAAGATGTTGGCTAGATGTCCTTTTGACCAGACATATTGCGCTGAGTGGAGAGGATGCCAGGAGTCTGTGATCAGATTACGAACGCGACCATCTGCATTGTTGGCGATTGTGACTTGAGGGTCGCATTTGCCGTAGCAAGCTGCCCAAGGCGCAAAGATGTCAAGCTGGAAAGCCGCCATACTGCTGACAGTAGTAATGTCGTTGAGCATGCGGCGAGCAACAGACGGACCTCGATTCGAAACATCTGCACCAACAGAAGTGTAGTAGTCCACAGCTGCTTTTTCTGCGAGGTCGAGCTGGTTTTCGCGTTCGCTCTCGGGCAAGGTGTTGTGTTTGTCCCAACTGAAGTCATGCTCACGGAGGTAATCCGGCAAATACAGAGGGTAGCCAGCAAAGTTTTCATCAGCGCCCTCACCAGTCAAGACGACCTTGAAGCCTAATTCTTGTGGCACCTCTGAAAGCGCATACTTGCCAACAAAGTTGAAGTCGGGATTGTGATGTTCGCAATGCCAGGTAGCATCCTCGAAACGCTTTGCCAGCTCTTCCTCGTTCATGTGCTTCTTGATGTAGCGGACACCGAGCCATTCGGCTGTACGATTGGCGATGGCAGATTCATCAAAGCCAGACTCTTCGTCGAATGCGATACTGAAGCACGAGACGCGGTCTGTAGCATTGGCGCTGCCCATTGATATTCCCTGCTCTTTGACCAGATGTGTGACCATGCCAGCGATGACTGAAGAATCGATGCCACCACTGAGGTAGATGCCGACGGGCACATCGGCGCGAAGTCGGATCTTGATTGCGTCGAGCATGCGTTCGCGGACGCCCTGGATCATGTCTTCGGGGGTGCGAGCATCGACGGCATGCTTGTCTGGATAGCTGATGTCCCAATACGGGCGTTGTTCAATGTGATCGAAGGACTGGCATGTAAGGTAATGTCCAGGGCGGACCTGCTTGCGTGTCAATACGGTGCTCTTCGCATTCCCACGATCCAACATACCTTGGCAATGCCCTTGAAGAGAGTCCTCTCGTCGTGATTCCAGCCAGCATCGAGCAGACTCTTGACGTCCCACTCAGGCTTCCAACCCAGAGGCAGGAAAGCCTTGATCTCGGCAGCGATCAGAAGTCGTCCCTCCTGGATGGTCCAGAACAGCGGCTTGATACCGTAGCGATCTCTAGCAGCAATGAGGAGCTGCTGTGACTCGTCAAATATGACACAAGCAAATTCTCCTCTCAGGTGATGGAGGAAGTTCAGGCCGTAATACTTGTAGAGGGCAATGGCGAGCTCAGAATCCGAGCGACCGCGGAACTTATAGTCGGTCTTGGTCTCGAGGTCTTTGCGGATATTATCGTAGTCGTAGAACTCGCCATTGACGACTGCATGTACGGTGCGGTCATTGTCATGGAACGGCTGAATACCATCGGGAGACAGGTCATTGATGGCTAGACGGACATGACCAAAGGCTGCGGAACTAGAGGTATTAGTAGGAAGTTGGGCAGGGGTATAGACAGGGTTCATGTAATCAGAGGACCAACGCGCTTGTCATTGCTGATCCACTGGCCGCGAGAGTCGGGTCCGCGGTGTTTGATCTGGTCAAGAGAAGCATCAAGTTCGGCGGCGAGCTTTGTGTGATCTGCGTCGCCGTTTGTTTGAACGCCGGGTATAGCCTTCTTGACTTGTGCAAGTTCAGGAAGCTTGTGATGGGAATGCTGCAGGGCAAGGATGCAGGATATGCCACACATGATGACCAAATAATGTAGATGACGATCAAAGAATATCACCCAGGGTGCAGTAGGTTGGTGAACAGATGAAACGGGTAGACGAGGATGCAGGAACGAGGGAATAGGAACAGGAAAGATCAGAGAGGGGTGGGCAGAGACATGGATCAAAGGTTCGAGGTGCTGCAAAACGAGCCAGGATGGGCAACAACGAATCGTGATGCAACTGGCAGGCGGGTGACGCTGACGTTTGGGACGGAGCGAACCTACCGTTATCGCAATTGCCAAACGGAGGAAAGCCGAGGGGACTGTTTCAGCAGCGGGCTGCTATCGCAAGACTCCTGGCCAGTCGTGAGGTGCTGAGTACTGCGAGAAGTGGTGCTTGTGAAGACTGCAAGGAACGTGACACTAGCTCTCTGTACTCGGGCAGACGGTGAGACGCTTGATGCAAGAAACAAGCAGCCCGCATGTTTGTCTTGATCAAGCACCAGGAAGCAGGATGGAGGAGTCTGGAAGGTTCCGGGTAATGTCGGTTGTTGACTGGCGATCGGAGGTCGGTGGCAGCGACCGGGATTTCGTCATGCCGAGGGCGTGTGGAGGTGGCACTTTGAGGCTCATAAAGGCGGCGGCGACCTTTGAACTGAAGCTTTTGCTGCTTCTTTGACGCCCGCCTCATCCAAACAACCGCCCACACACATCCAGCACAATGGCGTTCCTCATGCGCCGACCGTTCGCCGTGACATCTGCGCTCAAGCAGACACCCATCACATCTACCGCCTTCCGCGCCTTCCACCAGGGACCCGTCTCTAAGGCACCCTCCAACTTCAGCAACAAGTTCGCCTCATCACGAGCAACTTTCCGAAACGCCTTTCAATCCAGCTTCCGTCGCAACTATCAGCAACCCGCGGCGTTCCCCAACCCTGCCGCCTCTGGAAACCTCACTCAGCGCCTTCTCTATGGCGGTGCCATCTTCGGTGGTACTCTGCTCGCCATCAAGTGAGTAGTCATGAACGGGCTTGGAATGCGCCACTGGTACTAACAACAATCACAGCCTCGTCTTCAACCGCGAGACCAGAGATGATGGCGGCATGCCTCCGTTCGAACGCTCCTACCTGAACGACACTTTCTTGCACACTGGTCTTGGTATCGGAATCATCGGTATCGCCGCTCGCGCCCTTCACAGCAACGGATGGAGTTACCGTCTCATGGCCGCTAACCCTTGGTTGATTCTCGGTATTGGTCTTGTTGGCTCCATCGGTACTATGATGGGTACCCGCATGTGCCCTCCTGAGAAGTGAGTTGCTCCGGATCCGCTATACACGACCCGCGCCAAAGACTAACACCCGTCTCAGCTACGTCGCCAAGTACGCCCTCTGGACCGCCTTCAACCTGACCCAGGCCGCCCTTTTGTCTCCCCTCATGTTCTACAACCCCGCCATTCTCGCTCGCGCCGGTCTCTACACTGTTGGTCTGATGGGCAGCATCGCCTTTGTTGGTGCCACTGCCAAGCAAGAGAAATACCTATACATCGGTGGCCCTCTCCTCGCTGGTGTCGCTGTTGTCGCTCTGTCTGGTCTTGCTCCTCTCGTTCTCCCCGCCACCGCCACTCGCGCTCTCATGTTCACCGAGAACCTTTGGCTCTACGGTGGTCTCGTCGTCTTTGGTGGCTTTACCCTCTACGACGTTCAGAAGGTCCTCCACCACGCCCGTCTCAGCGAGCGCGGTCTGATCAAGCGCGACCCCGTCAACGAGGCCATCTCGCTTGAGCTTGACTTCATCAACATCTTCGTCCGTATGGTCCAGATTCTGGCCATGCAGCAGAACAGAAGAAAGTAAACCACTCCCTCTGATTCACCAACGTTCTGATAACAACCGAGCATCTTGTCTCCGTTGTTCTTCTGTATTATCTGGATTGCACCATTCATACCTATTTCCTTGTATTTTAGCCTCCCTCCTCTTGATTGTTTCGATCAATCATAAGAAATGATACACATGTCACAGCCAAAGTACGTACTTTCTCAGATCTGATCCGTTTCCATAGTAGTTGTGAAAGGACTCTACCCTCGCTTCTCGAAGATGGTCATGACTCGCGGCACGCATCTCATCAAAGCAGGGCTAACTTCGCGACTACCACTAAATGAGATTTTAGAGTCATCGAGTCGTCATGGTTGTATAACTCCAAGTCTCTTTGTTAACTGCCACTGATTCCTTAGCTCTCTGACTCGCCTCCTCAACCTCTACACGAGCTCGCGGAAAGTCTGAAATTGTACTGGTATGCTTACTCCACTGAAGAACTTGTCAAATCTTCCAGAACCATTCCCATGCATTCAATACCTTCTTTCGGCGATGGATTTTACGGTCTATATGAATCAACTCTTTGCAATGCTGGAGATACTTCCATGCCAGAGCAGTGGAGGAAGGTTCCAGAGGTTTTGAATCATTGGGTGTGCTTGAACTACAAAGACTGGCCTCTCTTTGATGTTCCAGAGCAGTCGGAGTCGGATGCAAACGCTGCACCGAAGCGATCATTTGATGACTGGATGGAGTTTATATCTTGTGGTCGTAACAAAGCTTGACTTCACCAGTCATTCTCACTGAGGGGGTGTCCCCATACTCACGTTTTGTTGATTTCATCATCGACCTCAAATAACTACCATAGAGCTATCGATGGTCATAGAAATCCAATGTAGTCTTATGCTTTCATTTGAACTTATTGGAGCTCGAGAAGGGTCGCTGTTACTTTCCCATTCTGCTCTGAAGACTCCGTGGAAACTGTTGACGGGTCGTTGTTGCTTGGTGCATCTTGCAGAAAAGGTCACCTCGGATATCAGAAATCTGTCTCAGCGGCTCAGCGCAACAATCGACGGCATGGCTCTCATCCAAGGTATCATTTGATTCACAAAGCATCACCACAAGTGGTTTATGTCGTCAAATGCTCTGCAGTAGCCGGATAAGATCATTGATTGTATCTGGAGTGCTTGTAAATGATATCACCCTGGCCTCTAGCACTAAAAATTCTTGGTCCGGCATATACTGGCCGCTGACGACAGCAGTTTAACACGTCTGTGGAAGCCGCGTTCTTCTTACCCGGTCCCGCCAAACACTGTCATTGAGCCTTGTCCTTCCTAGACATCGCGGGAGATTCGATGTCATACATTGAGCGGAAACGGTTTCTTTTCGCCAATGTCTCTTGGCCTCGAAAGGATCACCTGTTTCCCCGATAATTTCTCTTGTTCTCACTCTCGGTCTTCTTGCCGGCCTCGGTATCGCTTCTGCAAGGTCGCTCCGGTAGAGGATACCATGACCCCACAGAACATTGATGGGAAGATCCACAGACAAGTGACTGCAAGACTGGTTGATGAAATCTAAGATGCAACATCACTTGGCGACACGAAACCGCCACAGGACCATCACAGTGAGGATCTGAGTGAAATGCCCGGCTTCAAGGCATACCTTTAAGCCTCAAAGAGACAAGCACGAAGACAAGGAGTTTCGCATCGAACAAGCAAAGTCTTGCTTTGTCCAACTCTCGCACAAGACTGTCAAGACAGCCGTTGCCAGAAAGCCATCTCGTGTGCCAAGTAATTGGCAGATGCGACGAAGGATCCTCAGCTCTAACATTCGACCAATACTTGGTATAGGGACGGCAAGGATGATCGTGCTAATCGCTGACCGTTGCCATCTTGATCCTTCACACGCGATGATACTTGCAGATCACACAGGTTATCCCCATGGGGCCTCCAAATCTTTATCATTGTTTCTCCAGGCCAAGACGAATAGTAGCACAAGTGCAGCTTGGCGAGTGCATGGCGCATGAAAGCATACCGCAAAATGGATGTAGGTCTGCGGGGTTGAGTATATCGGTATTGCCAGTTTGATCATGTCGTTCATGGATGTTACCTTGGCTGAACGAGTTGGAGGTGCGGGATAATTGACAGGTGGTACAATATATGGATGCGAGAAGGAAGTGGCTGAATACAAATAGGGGAGCATGGTGCCCAAACATCCTCCAGCATTCCTCCTCAAGCATCGCTCGTGTATTTGAGCCTTTTGTCGCCGCTCTTCTGTTTCTTCTCTCATCACAGCGCAAGACTTTGGTCAGCATGTCGACATTCAACGAACTTGCCGACCCAATCGCTCAGGGCATTTGGCCAACGGCAAAACAATCCTGGTCCGACCTTTTCAAATGGAAGCAAAGAGTGGTTGTCTATAATGAAAGCGGCGAAACGACAACTGAGTGGCAGACCCCTCCAAGGCTCAGAAACCCCTTCAGCCTCATGGCACAACTCACCGCCATGAACTGGGTCTTCTTCATCGTCGGTCTTGCCGCCTGGACTGCTGATGCCTTCGACTTTCATGCCTTGTCCATTCAAACTGTCAAGCTGTCAAAGTACTACAAGGTCACCAAAACTGACATCTCCGAGGCCATCACTCTCACACTACTGTTGCGATCTGTTGGAGCTGCCATGTTTGGTTTCGCCGGTGACAAGTATGGTCGTAAGTGGCCGATGGTTGCCAACATGATTATTCTGGGTCTTTTGCAGATTGCCACCATCTATTCTACCACTTTTAATCAGTTCTTGGCTGTTCGCAGCTTGTTCGGTCTCTTCATGGGCGGAGTGTAGGCCTTTTCGACCTCCACCACCACAATCTCCATGGCTAACATTATCATAGGTACGGAAATGCAGTAGCCATGGCCCTCGAAAACTGTCCTACCGACGCACGTGGTCTCATGTCCGGTATCCTACAACAAGGCTACTCCATGGGCTACGTCTTCGCCGCCTGCGCTAACCTCGGCGTAGGCGGCGCCATCGAGACCTGGAAAACCGTCTTCTGGATCGCGGCCGGTCTTTCAATCGGTGTCGGCCTGATCCGCTGCTGCTTCCCCGAGTCCAAGCAATTTCTCGAAAACAAGAAGAATGGGCATAAGAAAGCTCCTGGGGCCTTTTGGCAGGAGACCAAACTTATGCTTGCGCGGCAGTGGAAGATGTGTGTTTATTGTATCATTCTGATGACGTGGTTTAATTGTGAGTGTTTGAAATACTTTGGTTGATTTGCCCATGCTGACTTTGCTACAGATTACAGTCACACTTCGCAAGATAGCTACACCACTTTTATGCTTACACAGAAGGGTCTGAACAATGACGGTGCATCTCGCGCATCTATTCTAATGAAGACCGGAGCTTGTAAGCCCATCGATGGTCCCGGTTCTTTATCACAAATGCTAACATGACCCCCTTTCAGGTGTCGGAGGAACAATCATCGGCTACCTCTCCCAATTCGTCGGCCGCCGGCGTGCCATCATCGTTGCGGCACTAATCTCAGCTTGTCTCATTCCCGCTTGGATCCTCCCTCAAGGCGAAGGCTCCCTCTCAGCTTCCGGCTTCATGATGCAATTCTTCGTCCAAGGCGCTTGGGGTGTCGTAAGCAACCGACGTTCTTTCCCTTCCAGAGCTTTTGCTAATCGCACCAAAAGATCCCTATCCATTTGAACGAACTGGCACCTCCAGCCTTCCGCTCCTCGTTCCCAGGAATTACCTATCAACTGGGTAATATGATTTCTTCACCCTCGGCCCAGATTGTCAATGCTATCGCAGAGTCAAACTTTGTCACCGGAGCTACGGGTAAAAGAGTAGAGGCTTATGGACCTGTGATGGGTATTGCGACTGCGATTATCGCACTGGGTATCGCTGTAACTACTGCTTTCGGTCCCGAGAAGAGAGGAAGAAGCTTCGAGATCCCTGTTGCTGTTGATATGATGCAGACCAAGGATATTGAGGAGGGAAGGGATAGCATGGATAAGCATGAAGTCAATGAAGAAAGAATCGAGAAGACGGAGACTAGATAAGCAGCTGCTATAATTAGTGGTTGCCCAATAGCTTCAATGTTATTCCGTCACCTCAAAACAATGGTAGACAATCTTTGCATTTATCCCTGCCTTTCCACATCGGACCTAGACGCCCTTCCACTTCCCCTTGATCAAATCCGCCGCCTTCTCTGCCATTGCATAGACAATACTGGTCGGATGTCCATTAACCTCGAATGGAATCGCACTCGCATCCACAACTCTCAAATTACTCACTCCGTATACAATCATCTCTTTATCAACCACACCACCCAATTTCCTATCCATCATACCAGCAGTGCCTACACCATGCCAAACCGCCGCTCCAGAAGTGTTGAAAAACCCCCGATATTGCCGCTCTGTTGCATTTTCCGGCAACACATCAAACCCAGGATTCGTCTCTACAGGATCCAAAAAAGAAGACAGCGGAGGTGTGGCGTACAGTTTTCTGGCGAATTTCACCAGTGCGACTTGTACTTGGAAATCAAAGTCGAATTGGAACCAATTGGGATTTATGAGTGGTTTAGCAGGGTTGGTAGCGTTGATGTGTACTTCTCCGGATGACAAGGGGAGAGTTTGCCAGAATGCTGCGAAAGTGGGTTGGAGGATTAATTCTCCGATGGGGACGAAGGGGTTGGAGAGTAAGTCTACTCTGGCGTATAAGCGTGCGCGTTCTGCGGAGGGAGTGGTTGCGCCATTGCTTCTTGCTGCGATTTCGGCGGCGTAGGAAGGGATGGAGTGGCGGAGAGATGTAAGGATGGAAGAAGTATTGGCGCCGAAGAGGTCGTGGGCTGTGACGAAAGCGTAGGTGGGGATGTTGGTGAGGTCGTAGGTGAAGTTGTTGGTGATGCTGGTGTTAAAGGCTATGTTGTAATTGATCTGGTCTTGCATATGGAGACCGACGCCGGGGAGGTCGACTTTGACGGGGATTGAAGCATTGGCTAAGATTTTCGAGTTGCCTATGCCTGAGGCTTCGAGTAGAGTTGGAGTTCTCACGGTGCCTAGGGAAAGAATGATCTCGCGAGCTGCATTGATAGTTTTCTCTTCTCCATAGGCGGTGACAACGTCTACTCCAGTTGCAATCATGGATTTCGAGGATGAGTCCTGCTTCAACTCGAGCTTCAAAGCTGTTGTATAAGTGAAGACTTTCAAGTTCGTCCTATTGGCGATGGGTGCCAGATATGCTCTGTTGCCATCCTCGCGAATAGCTCCTTGATCGAGGTTATACTCGGAGGGCTTCAAGAACAGTCCAGGGAGCGTTCCGGTATTAGGATCTTGATTCCATTCAAAACCCAACGACTGCCATGTTTGGTTAAGAGCTTTGCCAAAGGCACCAACGTTGAGAAGCGGGGGCCATGCGATATCCAAAGGTCCGTCAAAGCCGTGGTACCCAGCATTGTATGTTGCACCCTGTGCTTGTTGACTTTCAGGTGGGATCTGTAGGTTCTCGCTTTTTCGAAAGTAGTGGAGGATTGATCGCCATGTCCAACCAGAATTACCCACAGCTTCCCATGTCTGGTATTCTTGCATTGCAGGGCGAAGATATGTCCATCCTGATACATGTCAGCAGCACATCCAAAGAGATTGTCAAGGCCAAGTCGCGACGAAGTTACCATTGAGATTGCTCGTCCCACCGAGACATTTGCCCGCATGATAAGGCTTGACACTGCCATTGAGGTGCTGCTGCGGAACAGTCGTGTATTGCCAGTCCAAGTCAGTGTTGCAAGCCGGGCAGTCCCCATAGATGGTCCTGGCCAAAGGATTTTCCAGAGCGGAGCCACCAGCTTCAATCAATGCCACAGAGACAGACTTGTTCTCAGACAAGCGATTTGCCAGTACAGTACCCGCGGTCCCTCCACCGATGATTACATAGTCAAAAATTAGATCTTGAGTGGCTGTCGCTTGTGCAGGCGGAAGCAGGGCAGAAACGACACAGACTATGCCCGCGAGATGCAACATGATGGCGAGCAATGGGATGAGAGATGATGAAAAGGCTTACGGAAGTGACGCGAGATCTATATCTCATCTGTTCAGGCTGGAACCGATGATCCCCACCTTGTGTTGGCATACAAGTAGCCGGTGATAGCACGGTGTTCGCTCACTGCTTATCCAATACTTGGTTAGAGTTCAATTGGTCGGTTGCCCTTCTCCATGCATGAAAGTGGGTATAGACGTTGCACCGAGAGCGTGCCCTGCGAATTTGCAACGCGATCGTCGCGTGTCGCGCCTGAGACATCAAGGTCTAGAGCAAGAGCTCACAAGAGCAGGGCTTGGCAACAAGCGAGTCTTGTACGCGAACTAGGAAGGAGACATCTTTACACAAATCGCGTCTCTTTGAGATGGCTGGGAAGGAGCAAGAGACTACCGAAGCTAGAACTCTAAACTCATGGTTTGCGAGGAGAAGCAGTACCGTGACTTTTGGCCATCGGGAAAGAAGTTTCGCCCACGATCCGCACTTTGCTCTTTCCCGAGCCTCACCGTACGCATCTTGAGAATGCATCAATTTCGTGCATTAACTGTGATGAATTGCGTCTAGTTGTTCGATCTGCCAGCCCCACGCAAACTCCTTCTCGTAGGCATGTCATCCGCCCCGTGCAATGCGGGCGAGCATGGGTAAGTTTGCTTTCCTCTGTTCAACACCTCAGCGTACGCAGCGCGTATCCCTAGGCTACCCCGCCTACTCATCCCCGTATCTCGGAGAAGACAGTAGCATGGAGGAGCTTTTATTGCCTTTCTCTGTTGATATGCGGAATCGTCGACTGGATCACTGAGTATGCCGCGTATTGATGTGAACTTGAACACAAACAAGACTAATCACAGTGATTTCGCCTCTCCCGGGAGCATCACTCTATAAATGTCTGGCATGTCGCCTTCCGACTTTGCTGAGTATCAAGACAAACCATGTTTCATCTTTCCACTTGATCTTTCGCCTCGACTCCCTTGGTGACCTTCGTCGCAAGCACACAAAGCGGCAACGAGAATGTCTCTTACACCAATCCAATTCTCCCTGGATGGAATAGTGACCCTTCTTGTGTCTTCGTGGCCGAGCGCGACAACACCTTCTTTTGTACCACATCATCGTTTCTCGCATATCCTGGAGCACCGATCCACCCCTCTAAGGACCTCATCAACTGGAAACTGGCAAGCAGTGTGATTAACCGTCCAGAACAGCTGCCAACTCTGTTGACAAATAACAACATTGAAGGAGGAGGTATTTTCGCTTCAACTCTTTGCTATTACAGCAGTACCTTTTACCTGATCACGACCTACGTTGAGGACCCTTTGCCCCCACATTTTACAGCTTTATCTCGAGAGATGCAACCAACGACTCGGCATGGTCAATGCCTTTCGCAATCGAGACACCGTACATCATTGATCCTGGCATCTTCTCCGATGATGACCGTAGTATTGTTGTCGCCTACGTAGGTCACCCCATCAAGGCACAGATCATCGACATGAAGGCTAGAAACCTCACCGAAACGTTCGACATGGTGAATGGAACAGGAAATGGCTTTACCAAGAGGTCCTCATATCTACAAGAAGGATGGCTACTACTACCTCTTGACTGTAGAGAGTGGTACTGAGTTGGGCCACTCGGCCGCCATATTTCTTCTGAGTCATCTCAGATAGTTGGTGAATGTTGTGCATTCAGAGTCTGTCACGGACCGAGAGACACGGCAGTCACAGCGTTGGTATGTCCGAAAATTCCTCCGAGAAGCTTTCGACTACTAGGCTGTTATCAAACTCATGCGCGCAGAGCGATAGCAAGACAGCTTTCCATCTCGAATGGGCGTGACTTTCACAAAGTTTCTGTTCTTATCATCGGCGACGTCCGCCGTAGCACTTTCATATCATCGAATTCGATCGGCGACATGGAGCATATAAAAGACCAATGTGCGCTCAAATGTTCCCGCTCAGATCTATCGGCAGCTAAATCATGACCAGATTATTCAAAACTGCCTTTGGTCACACTCTTGTGACCCTGACACTTCTCTTTGTTTCCTTCGGCCCTGGTAGGGCCTACAGATCGAACTCAACATGGATCACGAACAGCAGTATCTATACGTCATCGACGACAGGGGCTACGACATCATCCGGCACGTTAAGCAAACCCAAAGTCTTGATCATAGGGAACACATTCGAATTCACCTACTTATCCGGCCTCAACTTTACGACATCTTGTACAGGTCCATTGCTGACCTCACTATATGCTTGTACGGAGACTGGAGAGATATGCAAGCTGGAATGCGGACAGGAGCTGGTATCTGCGCAACAAATTACCGCTCTAGCCTTGGTACCCGGGATTGATCTTACCGCCACCTATGTGATTATCACAGGGACGGGTGGCGTGAATCCAAAGTATGGTACTGCTGGTGGTGTGGCAATCAGCCAGTACAGTATTCAGTTGGAATGGCTCAGCATGTTCCTTGGCTCCGACCTGCCTGCGAACTTCTCTTCTCAGTACATGTATGCCTATGCACAGGCTTCACCCTTTGAATACCCGAGTCTGGTGGGATCTGAAGTTTACGAGCTGAACACCGCCCTTGTCGATCGTATAGCCGCCATCTCCACGGATCTGGAGTTTGAGGACGTTGACAGCGATCTGCAGCGCCTAAGGCAGACGTATCTCTTCGAAGCCGCAAGAAAAGCACCGTTCTTGGCACATTGCGATGTTGTGTCCTCACAAATCTACTGGCACGGCGATGTCGCCGGTCACAATGTCGAAGTGTACGCCAATATTGTAACCAGTGGAGCTGCAAAGCCTTGCAACACGAACCAAGATGACCAAGGACGGCTACTAGGACTCGCAGGTGCTGCTGAAGCTGGGTTCCTTGACTTTTCCCGTGTCGCCATGATCAAGGCCTTTTCAAATTTCGATCGTCCTCCACCTCAGTTGAGCGCTTACCAGAGCAGATACTATGTTGGGGAGGCAGCCACAGGACCTGGGCTACGTAATGCATGGAGCGTCATTCGAGGTATCGTGGCGGATGTGCTGGAACATTGGGAAGATGTATATGAAGATGGCATCTCAGCCCCCAGTTATGTTGGTGACGCCAAGGGCACTTTAGGCGGTACACCTCCATTTGTACAGAACTCAACCGCCGTCGCTGGTTCTGTACAGGGTGCATGAGAGTAAGCGGATCACAGAGAGGGATGAGAATTGTGAAAGTAGAGAGCATGCATACAATCTACGTTGAGACCAGTTGTAAGAGAACGACAACTCCGATTGTTCAGAATCATCGTCAATATCGCGAGGGCGGTTCGGCTCAATCGATGGTCACATATACGGAATGTTGTTGATGAAGATGTGTCACCATCCTAGTATACGCATAAGCGACTTCGGACCACCTCGACGGCGGCTTCGATCATAATCACATACCACCCTGTCGAAGGAGTGATTAGAGAGATGAGAGGGCTCATGCACAGTGCTAAGCTCAAGTTCACAACCGACGACGGCCAAGAAGCTGATTTTCGGCCGAAAGATTTTGACTCGACCTTCAACATCGGCCGACGGAAGCAGGTTTCGCAAAGAGCATTCCATGCCAGAATGATACAAAACCACGCGTCAATACTATCTTGGACACTTGGCCACCGTCATGATAAGTGGCTGTACATGATGCATTGGCCAGCAGCACGAGATATAAGATCAGGCATGATGGTCTACGACATGTCACATCAAATCAGATTCAGACAACAACCAACAACAGCATCAATCCCACAATGAAGATCACCACCACCAACATCGCCACCTTTGGTATGGTCCTGCTTCAATCAGCCGCCGCGCAAAACATGTCTTATGGCGCCAACAACTTCTACCGCAGCGACAATGTCACGATCTGGCCAATCTCCTTCCCTACAATCTACCACACCACCATCGCAGCCAACCTCTTCCTCCCAGATACCTTAGATCGCAGCACCAACCACTCCGCCATCATCGTCAGCCACCCCATGGGCGCAGTGAAAGAACAAAGCGCCAATCTCTACGCTACAAAGATGGCCGAACAGGGGTTCATCGCCGTCTCCATCGACTTGCCTTCTTATGGAGGAAGTCAAGGTCTCCCCCTCAACAACGTAAACCCAGACATGTATGCCGAAGCCATCAGTGCTGCGGTCGACTACCTCGGTCTCCAATCCTACGTCGACCGCAGACGCATAGGCGCAATAGGTATCTGCGGATCCGGCAGTTTCGTCATCAGCGCTGCAAAAATAGACCCGAGGATTTCCGCAGTGGCTACGTCAAGCATGTACGACATGGGCGCCGTCAACCGTGATGGACTGGAAAATTCCCAAAACTTGCAACAGCGTAAAGAACTCATCGCACAAGCGGCAGGACAACGCTGGATAGAAGCTGCAGGAGGGGAAGTGGAATATAATCTGGGCACCCCTTTGCGATTAACCAGTTCCTCCAGTGCAGTCGATGCAGAGTTTTATGATTTCTATCGTACTTCTCGTGGTGAAGTTACTCCTCCTGGTTCAGCTCCTAATATCACAACCGCACGCACGACAACTAGCAATATCAAGTTCATGAACTTCTACCCCTTTAACGACATCGAAACTATTTCGCCTAGACCCATGTTGTTCATTGCTGGCGATATTGCTCACTCCCGCGAATTCAGCGCTGATGCATATGCGCGTGCTGCGGAACCGAAGGAAATCATTTGGGTTCCTGGTGCTGGTCATGCTGATTTGTATGATCGCGTGGATTTGATTCCTTTCTCTAGGTTGTTTGAGTTCTTCCGCACAAGTCTGCCTTCCCAGTAAGCGTATATTCGACTTGTGAGGATGGGAGTGGTAACACAAGGGGATACAAATTCTGAGAGACAATCACAGTAGCGGTAGACACGGTGTACAAGTCAGAAGCATGCAGGAAATTCATATCAATTCAATTGTGATTGTGAGCAACAAAGAAATACGATGCGGTCAATGATGCCGTCGTCCGGTTCTGTCGATAACAGTCCTATCCCCTAAACCGATATTCCTCCTGGCGACTCCATCAAGTCTCGAACACACTGAATGCCGCTTCGATGAGTCTGTCAAAGTTCTGGAAGACGGTCAGTAGACGACAGGACGATGGCTGGGACATTTACACTTACCGGAGTACCGAAGCCGGTGACAGCGTCCCACCCATCGGCAGCTGGGAAACCATCCGTGTCGCAACCGACTGAAGAACCATCTTCGACGTCAGTAAAAGCTGCAGAAGCTGCACCATATATCCATGGGTTCAAGAAGCCAAGCACGGGTTTGCCAGCTGCGATGCGTGCATCGTTGACCAATGCAATCACAGCTGCAAAGATGGGTGCAGATGCGCTCGTGCCGCTGTTGGATGTCTTGATACCACTCGTCACGATGGTGGTCCGTGCTCCTTGGGCTGCAACATCTGGATAGGCCCGTCCAGAGCGGTTGTACATTCCTGCGTGCATATCACCTATCCCTTCAAGATACCCGTGGACGGCGTCGACTTGGTACTTTGGCATGGCAAAGTGATTGGAAAAGCCAGCACCACTACCATAAGCTGACACGGCAACTTCAGGCTCAAAGCCCTTTGTGGCGCCGACAGCCGTGATCCAAGGACAAGATGCAGGAAATGTCGGATGGAATTCGGAACCGCAAGACTCGTCTCGGACACCGGCCACACCAGCATCACCGCTGGCGAAGATAAGTGAGACCCCACGAACGCCAAGCTCCTTGTAGCCATCACATAAACGTGTCGTTGTCGCGAGCGGCCACGTGTGTTCGTTGGCCCCCCAAGAAGTGCTGATGACTTGCGGCAAACTGTCTTGTGCCAACACGTAAACCATCCACTCAATGAAATCGTCGCCTGGCTTTAGCTTTCGGATGGCCCAAGGGTCATCCTATCTACCAGTTGACCATGCCATGAATGAGGTTGGCCAAGAGATTCCGATGGCCAACTCTGCATCCATATCAGCCTCGGCGAGATCTGTGGGATCTGTCAAATTCTCATAATGATCTAAAACATCTGCGGTGAAGACAATGGGGAATGTATCGGCGACTTCTACTGCTTCCGGACGGAACTTCTTGAGGTATTGTCTGATGTCGGATCGCCTCTGAGCCTGATAGTTGTTAGCCCATACGCCTTGAAATGCAGGGTGTGTGGCATGCATACTAAGCCATGATAACTTGTGACGCCGATCATGTTTCTCTCGGGTACCTGGGCAGTGTAGTTCATCGTTCCGTACAGGCAGCGCAGACAACGAAGCGAAGTCTCAGTAGGGTCGCAAAGTTTGCCGATGTTGCAAGCTGAAGAACCTGAGGCCTACGAGACGCGGATCAGTCAGATACCCTTGACAGACGTGTGATGTGTGCAGACTTACATCGTTCGGCATCGTCTCCAACAAGTCCTCTCTTTGATGCCGTCTCATCGGAACATGCTCATGTGTTGGGTGGATTAGCGGCTTGGGAGTCCGGAAGAAAGAGGTGGTGGGTTGAATCAGGTCAACATATCCATGTAGGTAGACGGGTAGCGACCACTCTGAAGTGCGAACCAATGTCGAGCCGTCCGTGTAACGGTAATTGAAGTAGGTGGTGTTCAAGAGGCTCTCGACCTTGTGAACAGGCAAGTCGACGTTGATCCAGTCTCTGGTGGAGCTGAGTGCGGCAGTATCGATGCCATGTCCTAGAAGCTAGCCAAAGACGGCATCGATGGTTGCATTCGAGGGAGCGACAAGATCACGAACTTGCTTGGCAGAGAGGTATTGGCCATAGCGGGGATGGGACGGATCAGAGACTTCCAGGGCGATCTTTGTGAGGGCGTCGGAGTTTTGCTGTTTGAGAGCAATCTGAAGACTGATGGTCTGATACTCGACGGGAGAGGTTATCTTGGTCCAGCCTTGTGGTGCATCGTGTCTCTCTTTGACTGCGTATGCTGCCGTGTTGGATGTAGGTGCAGCTATGGCATTTGGGAGAAGAAGTGCAAGGATACCGAACGTGAAGAGATGCATCGAAGGCATGATGGGCGTGTAAACGCAAAGGATGGCACAATTGATGGGATAAGAGGGATATGCGGGAAGATGATGCTTCAAGTAAGGGTTGGTGATGATGCAAGCAAAAGCTGATAATCTGTTTGAAGAAGAATTGGTGGTGATGATGTTCGAGTAAGAGTTGACAAGGAAGCTTGACGAACAGCAAGAGCGAGTCGTCGCTGGAGTTGCACGCTTGCGCATGACGCCAAGCTTTCGCATGGTGATCAAGAACGACCGAATTAGGTGAATTGATTCGAAGGGAAGCCACGATGCTCAATTCCACCAGCAAGCGTCACTGCAATATCGAAAACTCACTGGAGTCTTTTCGTAAAACGCAGGCGCGAACCAACTCTCAGCGCGCAAATGCTTCGCGCGAAGCCCACGATCCGGTCAGGACCCGTTGACTAGAGTGATGCTGCGAGTCTGAAAGAACACCTTGTTCACAATATACGACATGTTTGAACATCACGTTTTTTTAAATTTGTCAAGAAGTGACGTTCAGACCAAAAGAAGTGCTTGCCATCCTTCGCGCCAAGTGATTGACCCCGTACACAGCCTCGAAGGATTCAATCGACGTTTTGCATATCCTCCTTCTTCTAGGCACCAGCCTGATCCACAAAGCTTCAAGGCACCAAGATAACGCCAACACAATATAAAGTATACAACAAACGTGAACAAATCGCAACCTCAGACACACTCGATAACGATTCGTTCCAGATAACTCCTCTTCGAAACTTCGCCGCGTTTTCCACAACGATCTCCCAAGACTTCTCACCATGAAGATTACCGCCATTGCCAGCAGCATCGCTGCCTTGTCCACCCTCGCTCAAGCATCCATAAACCTCAGCTACGAAAAACCCGCCTCCGGATCAATTGTCTCTCACAGCGAAGTCCGCGTAGCCTGGGAGACAACCGAAACCTACGTTTGTCATCCATTCCCCTACTTCCCCATATCATTCCACTAACAACCACAGGATCTCATGCTCTCCCTCGTCAAACACGAACCCGACACAAACCACTGGCCCCTCGGCTACAGACCCATGAGAACAGTATGGATGAAACTTCGCATGGACGCCGGCAACGCTTCGTTCGCATTCTGGGACATCCCAGAGGTTGATGGAAAAGGATGGTATGCTTTCGAGATGGAAGGGAGGGAGGCCAGAGATGACGGGAAGATTGTGACTTTGGATAGGACGTTGACGGAGTGGTTTCCTATCCATAAAGCTGGCAAATATCCTAAGGGTGGTGAGAGAGCTCAAGAGGAGTTGAAGGTTTGATGGGTAGGATGGGATGCGGGCTGGTCGGGCTGGTGATGATGGATGCGGAGGACTTTGGTGGCATTTCATGTACCTTCCCGTCATCGCTCCCAACGAAGAGTCGTTTCTTGACCAGCATGAGTCAAAGCGAATTGTCGCGCTTTTCGTTCAAATCCAGTAAAGTCTTCCAAGAACAAACGAGCCGCGCTCTCATTCAACACACAGCCTTCTTCAAAATTCGGATCCGACAGCATCGCCTGTAAAGATACAAGAACAGTCTGTATAGTGAACGCAGGCGACCACTGCGACTTCTCCAACTCAGCAAGCTGTACGTTGCCTTGTGGGGACACGTTAGGGTGGAAGATTGGGGTGGAGAACATAATCCGAAGAGCGTTGTGAGGATAATCGTCTGGATAGCGGACGTTAATGGTAAACACTATACCAGCATAAGGAGATCCGGAAGGGCCAGTGATGGTAGCCACCCAGTGGTGAAGATCATCTTGATTGACGGGGTTTGCTGAGCATCCTTCCAGAGGCTCGCGCTGGAATTTCAGGGATTCTTGAGTAATACGTTTTGTAGTCATTTTAATGGTTGCAGACAATATTGATTTGAAGAATTTTTAGGGAGATGAACGAAGGTCAACATCTCGGTTGGGTAATGGTGAGTCATGGAGAGTACATCAGGCCAAGTCACAACCGGTGACCCATTGCAAGTAGTCATCGACGCGATGACTCGGTCGTTCCAGACGAATGTTTCGCTGACCGTTATACTGGACGTACACAATTTGAGCAAGCGCATGGTATAGTCATCCTAAATAGATTCAAGCAAATTCCATGAAAATTCCATGCAAATTCCATGTAACGCTTCCAAGGGAATGCTCAAAATATTCCAGGCATGGGCAACGGGTTCGAGCTCGCGGCAACCTTGCTCGGCGAATTTAAACAGAAAGGCACACTTTTCGAGTTGAATCTGTCGTAGGTGTTTGTATCAGGCGCACACTGATCAAATCCGTTCTGCATCCTGTTCAAAGTGCAAGGGCTTGGCTTGGGATATCCAGGGAAGGTGGTAGCGCCTTGAGCTGCTGGAGCACCGCTGGGAACAGGACATCCGTATTGACCGAACAGAGATGTTACGGTATTCAGAGCACCTACAGCTGTCGAGAGCACATTACTGAACTCACTGACGAAGTCACCGTAGAGAGCTCCTTCCAGAGCACAGATAGTTCCGTTCACAGTGGTGCCTCCGTAGTTGCCACTGCCGGCAAAAGAAGCGAGACTTTGCTGTCCATTGAAGTCGCCAGCTGTACCGGTGTTGGCGCCGAAGAGGTCGGGTTGACCCAAGATGGCGGCTACACCGGTATACAGAGTGATGATGCCATCAATACCCTCAGAGAGGAACATGGGGAAGCCCCGACGATACCAGCCCTGCGGAGGAATTTGCTCGGGTTGGTATGAGACTGTGCCGTTGGTGTTGAAATAAGCACCGTCGAAAGACGCGATTGATGCCTCGTTGGCAACACCCCCGTATCCGATAGTACCATTGGAGAAGAAGCCGGCGGTGAAGTAGGTAGCTCCGATAGTCAGTGCAGATGAGGGCGGCAAGAAATAGAAGTTCGGGTTGTTGTTGCGAGAGTTTTGATACTGAGCCGCAGAGTGGTGAATCAAGGCCTTGACGTTGTACTGACCACCGCCATAAGTCTTCGCTTTGTCTTGTAGGTCCTTGAAGATGCTGCCATTCATGTTGTGGTTATCGCCATCGCAGAGGTAAAAATCGCAGCGGGTGCCAGAAGCATCACCTTCTTTGAACCGGAGATGACCGGATAGACCGGTTTCGGTTCCCAATGCACTGCCTAGTGCACCAGCGGAGTTGGTGCGCTTATCTGCACCACCAATTGAGTATCGCATTGTAGGTATGTCGCCGGCAAAGAGGACTGAACCACCTGCAAGAAAAGTGGTGAGATCGCTGGACGTGGACAATTAGCAGGAGCAAAAGAAGAAACATTGCGCGCACACATACGCTCCCATGTTGAACACGCGTGCTGCAGCAACAACAGTTTGCGCCACGGTGGTGATTCCATTGCGAGGGATATAGCCATGGTTGGCCAGAGTGTTCATACCGGGACAAGGCCCTCTCTGATCTGAAGGCGCAGGATCTTTGTAAGGGTATGCTGCCTCCGGAAATTTCTTCAAGCCGGTGATGTTGCTTGGTAGGAAGTCGGGAAGTGTGTGAGGCAAGCAGTTGGCAGTAGTCCGTTTCTCCAGTATGGGCTCAAATTCTGCCTCAGTGTCGCCACAAGATCCAGTGTAATCGGCCATAGCGGCGAAGAAGTCATCTCGCTCTTGTAGTTGATCTTGGTAGATGGATTTGAGAAGTGATACCAGCTCTGGGTCTTTCTTTACGATGTCCAACCCGCGTTTGGCATTCTCTGCAAAGTCTCGATGAAGCCACGGGAAGGAGACGGATTCCGTGATGAGGCTGAGAAAGAAGACAGCGGTTAGCTTCATTTTGTCGTTGAAACTCGATTCGAGTATGATCAAGTATGATATGAGACAGAAGGGGGTGAAGACCTTTATACCTCCTACTCGAGCACGGCTCGCTTTGCAGCAGACGAGATGAACGACCCTTGTGCGCACGTAGAGCCTATGCTGTCATCGGCCTGTGGCTTCGCAGTGGATTCGAGTCGAGAGACCTATAACGCAGCCGCGTTAAGCCACCGATCAAACACTGTCTTAGGAAACAACTGATTGTGCTACATGGCGTCTGATGATGAGTGGCTCGGTGCACCTCGCTCTCGCGACGGGCCGGACCAGGCTGTCCTAGCGCTACTGCGAGGGCAAGGAGTGAAGTGGCTCTTACTCGACGCGAAAACCCAATGCAGGATGTGACGGAGTCTTCGAGTTAACCGCAGCGGCCTATTTGCCAGGAATTATGACCAAAATCCGCTTCTAGAAGCTCAATAAGACCAAGCGAGGCACTTTGGAAGCGGATGACATCGCTTTGGCGTTCGACTTGCAGGGAAGTGGCTCTGTGCTGTGCATCATGCATCAGGAGGGTCGTCAAAGGTGCATGCGAGATGACCAGAAATGATGACACAGGAAATGGAACTTGCACTCGGAAGGAGTATCAAAACCTGGTTTTCGATGTCAAGGTACCTGGATATGCATGAGACTGCCAGATTCGCACATTGTGAGCCGTGTGGTATTGTTCGGTTAGACGTTCTCCAGACGCCACAGTGGAGCACCAGCCGCTCTCCTGCAGCTGTCAAACTAGTCTACAAGCGGTAACTCAAGATCTCCTCATCTGAGAGCCGTGGACTATCCAGCCACTCACGTAGATCCTGATCTTCGATTCCGGGAATGGTGTTGAGCGGAGGTGACTCGAACGCCATTTCTTGACTCTGCAAGCTTGCCAGAAGTTGTGTTTCCAACAAAACATCAACATCTAGTGGACCGAATTCAGAACCGAAAACGCTTGCAGATTCATCTGTTGTAGGCGACTCCCATGGTGTCTCTCCCGGTTGCGAATCTATGCTAGTCATTGGCCCATCTTCTGGTTGCGCGCCGCGAATTACACGTCGCTCCAGTGTAGCGAGCATGTCACAGAAGCCAGGAGGCATACCGTGCTCTTGATATCCGTCTCTGATTGCTTTGGCACTTGAACCTAGCAAAGCAAGATCTGTATGTGCAGACCAAGCGCTTCGGTGTCTCAGATTGTAGACAGTCAGAACGTATACTGCTAGGAGCGGCTGGTTCAAGGTGACAAAAGGCGAGGAATGACCTTGCTCGATGTATTGCAAATAGGTAGTCAGGATATCTCTGGCTGATTTCGCGCAGATCCCTTCACTCTTCTCCAGTTGGCGACCATGACTCCTGTTTGCTCTGACACTTGGAGTATCAGCTGAAAGGCCATCAATCAAGGCTGTGCGGTGTAATGTGATGAGTGCATGGTGGAAATGAAAAGTCAGAGAGGTTCTGAAGGCAAGCAAAGCAGGTGGACAACGGAGAAGGCCACGACGAGGCCTCCAAGGCTCGGGCAGGTTGTCCGACCATCTGGTCAGAGACTCATCAAGTTTGTTTTGGATCGTCAATATACCGTCCAAGTCGGGTGGTGTTGCGCAAATACTTTGGTCGAACAATGTTTCCGTGATGTGACTCTGGATGTGCGCAAGATTCACTAGAGGTTTCAAGAAATCTGCTGGAACATCTGAGGCTGCATTAAGGATGTTCCTGTCAAATTGACAGCTTCGTACACTTGATGGGCGACCGCTCTCGAATGCTAGGTTCTGCTCCAGCGCACATGCTGTCAACCATGTCCTCTGATCCGACCTTTGACGTGCTGGAGATAGGTAGTCGTCGCAGCCAAAGAGCTTCTGGTGTAAGCCCATAGAACTGAAGATGCGAAGGGCTTGTCCAAGAGCCATAGAAGCAGCTCCACTTTTGCTCCGTCCACGATGCTCCAAGGAGATTAGCAGAAGAGCTTGCGCGGACTCCATGTAAGGCAAGCTGACCAGGTGACCCACGAGTGAACAAGCGCCCTCAATGTACGCTTGAGCGATGCCAATGTGACCTTTCGTACGCGCACCGAGAGCAATGCAGGCATACACGCACGCCATGGCTGGTCGATCACCGGTCGGTCTTTCTTCCAAGTGGTCGTATCTGCTAAGATATGTCGCAGCTCTGACGATTTGCTCCCTTCCGATCACAGGAAAGAATGGGGCGATCTCCTGGAAATAGGCATCTGTGTAGATATGCCAATCAACACAGAGAGCCGGCATACTCAAGGTCGGTGGCATGTCCATCTCCTCGCAATGAGAAGTGCCGTGGCGGAATTGCTCCGAGAAGTCAAGATTGAGACCATCAGTGTTCAGTTGAAGCCACTCTGAGAAAGCTTGAAGGCTGCTCGGGCCTTTGTATTTGCGATGAGAAGTACTCGAAGACGTGTAGAGGGTGAAAGCATGCTGACTCTCTTGAACTCGACAATTCCATGGGCGAGAGGATTTTTGATTCGCCAATGTAGGTGGAGATTCTGTGGTAAGGGTTTGATCTGTATGGAGAGAGTAGATAGTATCCGGTGTATCCACGCCGGAATGTGATGATTGTCCTGGCGAGTCGTCGTCGGATGTAGTGTCGCTGTCTTCGAAGAAATTCTTCAGTATCTCATCAACATCATCCTCCTGTCGGACGGTTATTGGTGAGGGCAGGATATTGTTCTTGTGGCTGAGGTCGCGTTCTTTGGAGAGAAAGGTCTGGTCACTTTCAACTGGGTTTGGCGTAATACACGAACTGTCCCCCGAACACGCGCAAAATACTTGGCTGTCATCATGTCTGGTTTTATTGACCTTAGACAGATGTACTGATCTCTGTTAGGTCGAGTTGGAAGTCTAGTGGAAAGAGCTCACCATCTGCGATAACGCTTGCGTTTCCGACTCTTTCCTATGCTATCGGGAGATGTCGAACCACTTTGAGATGTCATCTTTCCATGTACCTTGATAGTGTAGATCCCCGGGGGCCCTGATGGTCAAATGCATCTGAGTCGAACTCAAAATCAACAAGCCTGAGCCGGAGAATGCACCTAGAAGTGCACCTGCCTTCTGCGCAAGGTCGGTCATCTCGGCGGGTGTGGAGGGCGCGCCATCGCTGGCTAGGTTCAGCAGGGCCCAGAGTTTTGTCGGAGTCACCTGGCGAATGCGCTGCTCGGAGAGGCGCCGAGAGAATGTCTCATGGCGGGTTTGGGCACTCTCGCCGAAGAGAAACGAAGGGCGGAAAAAGGAGAGGCGAGCAAAGCTCCGAAGGTCAAAGCGCCGGAGGCTGAGAGCGGGCGAGATCAACGCGCGGTCGACAAGCCGACTCACCGAACCGAACCGAGGATCCTTCCCTCCACTCACACCCGCAACATCGCAACAACCAACAACGAAGGTCATGCGACAATGATATGCCGCTTGTCGGTCACAATGTACCAGCACCGATATAAGACTACATGTCCGAGGTCAACGAGTAGCTCCACTCTAAAGCGCAGATAACCTCAACAATAAACATCCATCGTTACCCCTCCTCATGTCTTGCACTTCCATCTCTTTCAGACTTATTGTCCAGGATTATCACAAATGGCGATCGGGTCAGAAGTAGAACATTGGGATGTGGTGATTGTTGGTGCCGGCATCGCTGGTCTTGCTGCCGTGAGGATGACCTCAGCGTCCGGATCTTCTGATTTTTCACTGACATTTCTACTCAGGCAATCGCTCTCCGTCAAGAAGGCCGCAGTATTCTAGTTCTCGAAAAGTCAAGCATGAACAAAGAAGTCGGCGCATTGATCTCTCTTCAACCAAATGCCTCGAAGATCGTCAATGGCTGGAACATGACTCCCTTCCTGGAAGAAAAGAAACCAATGGTCGATGAAGCTTTCCGTCTTCTCAATATCGAGGGGAAATTGCAAGTCGAAATGAAACTCAACACTTCACAGTTTGGAGCCGATAGGATGCTATACCATCGTCAGGATCTCCATGATGCACTTCGTCAAGCTGCGACGTCGGATGACATGCCTGGTTCCCCGGCTGTCATCCGTACTTCTTCTGGCGTTCTCGGTTGTGATTGCGACACTGGAGTTGTTCATATCAGCAAAGGAAGCTCCGTCCAAGGAGACGTGATTGTCGGAGCAGACGGTATCCGTAGCGCGATCAGAGACGAAGTCATCAAGGGCTCCGCAAGCGAAGGATCAAAAGCCATACCCACCGGCCTCTCGGCCTACCGTATTCTCGTTGAAACAGACAAATTGCCAAAACTGGATATCTCAGAAGACGTCTTTTCTCTCAAAAGGTCAGCAACGACCATGATCGTCGGCCACGACAAGCGCGTCATCATGGGTCCCGGCAGAGGCGGCGAAATGTTCGGTCTCGTCTGTCTTGTCCCTGATCCAAACCCAAACAACGAAGGTACCTCATGGAACAATTCTGCTCCTTTGAAAGAAGTACTTGAGGCTTTTGCAGCTTTCCCTGCTTGGGTAAAAGAGATCATATCTCATGCCCCTGATGTTGCACTTTGGCAACTACGGGATATCGACCCCCTCACAACCTGGACAAAAGGACGAGCCATATTGATTGGAGATGCAGCTCACGCCATGTTACCGACTCAAGGTCAAGGCGCGAGTCAAAGTATCGAAGACGCAGAAGCACTACAAGCATATCTATCCGACATCGGCAAGGAGGCATCCGGACAAGACATTCAGGAGCGTCTCGAGGCTGTTCAAAGAGCACGATATGATCGAGCCTCATTGATCCAAGCATACAGCAGACTGCAAGCAAAACCAGCTGCATCACAAGACAACAAGACAGTCAAGCTGAATCCGCAGGAGTTCATGGAGTATAATTGTAACTATTCTGGTGCGAAAAATTGGGTGGAGAGGAATAGGGAAGCTGAAGAGATGGCGTACAAACAGACAGCAGCGAGAGCCTGAACCTGAACTTGTGATGAATAGCATAACCCGTTCTAACCTCCACCCCCTTCCTTTCGTCATCATTTCATATCGCGCCCTTCGAAGCCTCATAGGCATAGATCCGGCCAGACAATTTACAAGACCATGTGCCTTCCATGTCTTTTATCCGTCAAACATCATCAATGTGCTTGCATCGCCCAACCCTTATTGAGCTTCTCCTCCATCTTTCCCAACTTCTGTCTCGCCTTCTCCAACTTCTCCTCAGCTTCTCTCAAGTCCATCTCCAAAGTCACAACGCCATCCATCAAAGCCCTAAAATTTGCCTCCAATTCCTCAAGCTCCCTGGATGACGAACGCAGTTTTTCTCTCACCAGCATATTGTATCCGAGTGATTCTTCACCCGTGCTTGCCAGGTGACGACTGGCATCAAAGGTAGAGATGCACGAGCGCTCTCTGATGCCGTGGTTCTTGTCCTTTTGCTCCCGCTTCTTGCTCACATCTTCAAAAATCTTCTTGCTCTTCTCTTTTTCTGCAGCTTCAAATCTGGTTGTTGCTTCGATTGCATCCTCCTCAGCAGCGGCCATTGAGTCTTAATTTGATGGGTATGGTAATGAATGGCGGAAAGTGGATCTCTGAGGTTCGACAACCGGGGAAGTGTAATCGGCGACGATGCCTTGAGACGAAGGGTCGCAAACGGTGTGTGATGGAATGTGACAATAGGTCATCGAACTGAATAGTGTCGAGAGAAGCCAGAAGCCACGATTTGCTCCAGATGTCGCTGCTCGTGTTCGCAATCCGGTGCGACGGTCTCGAGATTGGTACGTCAGGCGTAGGTAGTCGGGCTTGGACGACAAGGAGAGCCGCAAATTTGGACGAGACCGGGGCAATCGGAAAAGGGTTCCCTGTATCGGTCACGACTGGATATTTGAAAGGCAGGAGCGAATCTGAGATTGTTGTGTGAAATTGATACGCGGCCGGGAAATCAAAAGACTGACTGTCTTGGAGAAGGCGCGTTCGAGGAAAGAGCAACACGACTTGACTCTGGAGATTTACTGGAAAAAAACATCAAGAGTAAACTCAGTCGATGCACCTTGATAAGGAAGTCGAATAATGTCGAGAAGACAAACAAAGAATTGAATACCTACAAGACGCCGGGAACAAAGACCATGCCTAACGCCAATATACCAGTTTTCAACCAACAATTCCATCAATGCTCATCATTATCTCATGATGAGTAAAGGTCAATTGCACTCTGTAGCGCGTCGTCAATCACAGCAACAGCAGCAACACCGTTTTCCTTATCCGCCGTGATCTTCGCAACCAAAGCAGCCGAGAAGGTATCATGATCGTTTTTAAGCAGCTTCAATCCAGCAAGAATGACAACCTTCTGGTTCTCGAAAACGTCGTATTTAGCCTTGAGGACATCGACGGAAGCCGGAATATCCACACCAACACTGGAGGCGGTGTATTCTACAATGGCAGTCGAGTCGGCGGCATTGAATGGCGTAGCTCGGAGGTTGGCGTCGAGGAAGCCTTTGCGGTTGGCGATATGGATGGCCGTAATGTCGGCGCCGATGGGAAATTCTTTGATGAGGCCGCCGTCGTAGGCCTCGATGGATACGGTCAAGGCGTTGACGCCGTCGTCGATGCCTTTGATATCGGAGATGAGTGTCTGGGCGGTGATGATGTCGCGAGCTTGTAGAGGTGCTGCTGCTGCGGTCCAAGCCAGGAGTGACGAGACGAGAAGTTGGAAGCGCATGATGTGTGGTGATAACTGACAATTGATATAGAGACTGGAAAACGAGATAGAATGGTTGTAAAAGCAATTGGGGATACCTAGCTAGATATTCAATTCATGGCGACCATGCATGACCTTCTTTCGTGCGTATGTTGTCATGGCAGTTGTAAAGCGCGGAGGTGGATCCTTGCTTGTTCCTGTTCTAGCCTGATCGGCAAAGATCGCCGCTGTCTTCTCTCGCACGTATTTCCAAGCCATACCGAGGCATGTCGCGAAAACATGTCAAGAAGCGAAAGGAACGATTTAAAGCATACTTTTGAGAAGGATGCTCCGCACGTAGCGCTGTCGGTGCGAGCTTGCCGAAGACCTCGTGCCTGACCGTTAGAAAACAACACGCGAGGGGAGCTGAAGTGATCGCCATATCAGGTGTGGGGTCGGTGAAGATCCTCAACCTAGAATTGAGTCGGCCGAGAGGACAACATCAATTTTCGTCCTTCGTCATGGTATGAACTGTTGAAGGGCCGAGGCACTTGTATGATCTTGCTGTGGGCATAAGAGGTACTTGCCTGCTGTTCTGCCATTCTGCCAACACCATCCCGTCTTTTCCCAAACCTCCAAAACTCACCATATTAAAATGCGTATTTTTTCTACCATCAGCACCTTGCTGCTGTCTGTCTCAACAGTAATCGCAGCTTCAGTTGATGACGTCTACAACGACATTACCTCTCTTGATCACGATGTCCAAGACCTGACATCGATGGTCCGCAGCTATCAAGGCGGCCTTCTCGCACAAGGGCCCCTTCTCCTCCAATTAACCAAAGTCCACATCGCGACTCGCAAGGGTGGCTTTGACGCATCGACTCTCCCTACCACTCTGCTCTCGGAAAGCGATGCCATAAGACTTATCGACCACGTCAACACAACGCTCTCGGTCGACAACCCTATTGCAGTCAACGTTCTCAAGTCGAAGAAGGCATTGTTCGATGCGAGCGGAACGGATCCATTCATCAAGGCTGGTCTGCAGATCCTGCTTGATGATCACTTGTACTTCAGCAACGAGATCTTGGAGAGAACACCCCAGGATTTGATTGCAGAGGCCAACGAGGTTGTGGATGTAATCAGCAATGCTCTGCAAGGTGGCATCGCAGCTTTTTCGTAGACAGTCAAGTCTTGCCATGCTCGGGCGTCGAGAATGAGACATCCCTACTCTTCATATCCCCATGTATATCTCAGGACCTCCCTGGTCTCCTTTCGTTTGTTGTAAATTGCCGCAGCCAGAACCTCTACGTGATATCGAGAGTGAAGCAATCTTCGTGAGCCTGACACTAGCCAAGGCTGGCTTTCACTTGTTCTCGTTCGTCTGGGCGATATCGATCATGTCGCGGCAAAATGTCGCTGTTCGATAAGGTCGGATCTTGGCTTGTACGCTTGAGCGTGCAAGACGAGGCGGCGTGGAATGCAAGACATCGGTCGTGAACATCGGCCCTAGCAGCAGTGTCGCTACCGGTAAGGAGTAATCGGTTGACTTTGGGCGACAGGCGGCGGGCGGTGGGCGGCTAATAGGGGTCGAGTCAAGCATCATGTCAGTATGTGATGGATGTGAGAACCAGCTCAAGCTTGCAGAAGACATGAAACGTCGACTTGAAGAAGGCAGGAGCTTGAACAAAGACTCGACGAGGGAAGGAAGGCGGAGAGCGGGCACGACTTTCTTGGCGTTGTGGAGAGCGCCCGCCCGAGGCAGAAGGCCCTCGACCCGTCGGAGGGGTTCACCTTTCCCGAACACATCACTTGCATACTCTCTGTCTCTATACAGCTCGGATCATCTTCAGCCGACAGAGAACGCTTTGTTCTCACCGCAGAGTAACAATTTTTTGTCGCTTTCAGTATCTTGTCATTTGCAAGAGACGACCGCGATGCAACGCGACGAGCTTCGCCGAAGAAAGCTGACGAAACATATTCACCGGACCTGATAATAAGGAAAACCAACAGACGACAAAAAAGAGAGAAGCACTGTTCATCCATTACACCTCATCAGCATGAACCCTCCTCCAGCAAAAAAGACTCGCCTCACGACGGCATGCAATGAGTGCAGGCGGCGAAAGGTCAAATGTGATGCAAACTATCCAAAATGCACAAATTGCTGCAGCAGGAATTCGGAATGCTTTACAAGCGATCCCAAAAGACCTGAAATTCCCGTTGTGAGAGAGTGGGTGGACGTCCCTGAGAAGCCAACCCAGAATCCACCTCCCGCTCCGATGCAGAACCCACCACCAATTGGTCCACTATCTGAACGGGAGGGCCTCAGTCACGAAGCGCCTGAGGCCAACTATCTTCCTCCGGCCATTAGGCGGTCAGTGGATTTACCTCAGCCATCTCCACAGCCATTGAACAACCATACGCCTTCCATCAATGGCAATTTGGGTACTCCCGTACTACCAGAAACAAATGATGTCTCACCTGTCCAGCAACCACACGACATGTCCTTTAATCTGGACTTCGTCAACAATCGCTTCAAAATGTTGGGCGCTAGTAGCGCACAGTGTTTGACAAAATCGTTTGACATATACTTGAAATCATACAATGTCGAACCAGTCTCTGCCCTCTTTCGTCATGGTATGCAGCATGCTGAGGAGATGGAATTGCCTTTAAGCCTGGAACTGCTTCCATTTCCCGATTACAGCACGAGAGAGGCTTATCTCACTGCTTACTTCACACGCTTGCACGTCTATTACCCAATCACCGACATCGACGACACAAAAGCCATCGTTCACCGAATTGCTCCTTTGCCAGACCTCAAATCGGTATCATATACTAAGGTGCCACTCCTTGCAATAGCATATCTTTTGATGAGTCTTGGAGCTGATGAGTTGAATGGCGCACCTTCCGGTATTGGCACAAGATATCTCAGGATCGGTGCGGCACTCGCCGGTCAGTCTATCAACTTCCCATACCTGACGACAGTGCAGTGTCTATTGTTGCTCGCCATATGCTACAGAGGAAGGTAAGAAATGACCATGTTTCCTGACGCCTGTGACCATAGAACAATTGACTGACGACCATTGAATAGGAACAAGGACGGTCTAGCCTGGGGCGCAACTGGAACTGCTGTCAGAATAGCTCAGTCAATGGGACTGCATCGACATTCCGCAGTCAGGCCCTCAGAACAGCATGGAATACAACGACGAGATCAGCAGTTGTTCCATGCTCGCATATGGGCTGTATGTTGTTGTCTCGAGAAGATGGGACAGTTGGAGTGTGGAAGACCTTCTGCAATTGGAGTGGTTAACACTGATCAGATGATGGCAGCGGATCAGCGTGCTCCCGGCCACGACTTTTTACAATGGAACATGGCTCTCGCGGAAGTTCAGCATGACATCTCAACACATCTATATGGTCACCAGCCAGGCGAAAGAACAGCGAAGCAAATCCTTCTCGACACCGCTAGACTGGATAAGAAGCTTCTGCTTTGGCCCTCGCTAGTACCGGCCGAATTACGACCAGGGAATGACTTACTCTGCGGTGATAATCAGCTACACCTTGCCGCTTTCATGTCTTTTCAGTACCACCAGTCCGTCATTGCAGTACATCGAGCTGCTTTGATACAACCGATAACAGCCTTGCAGCGGGAAATAGACAAGCTCTTACCTGACAATGACGCCAGATACAGGCTGAGAGGTGGCGAGGCCATATGTGTCAGTAGTGCAAGAGCTGTCGCTAGAATCACCATCGAACTGATGGAAAGGAAACTGGATTCGCGTCTCTTGAGCGCAGGGCCTGCATTGTTGGCATGCGTGGTGCTTGCTACGTTCATCATCAAGAATCCCGGAGGGAGGATGCAGCTTTCTGATCTGGAGGTGAGAGCGTCATCAGACATTGATATCAGATGAAGACTAACTATCTTATCCAGTTGCTAAAAGCGGTCACTGAATGGACATCAGCCCAATTCCGAAAAACCGGGATGGACGAGCAGTTCTCAAATGGTGAATCAATTGGCTCACTTTGCTACAGATCTTTTACTGACCACTCTCCAGGTGCAACGATCATCTGCGAGCGAACAATCGAATGCCTTGCGCGATGGAAAGCCGTACACAACAACAGACCTCCACAACACAGTCTCCCCAACATTTCGCGAACAAACGCAAGTAGCTCGAGCAACGCCACAAGCTCGAATGGATACACCATCAACAATGGCAGCAATATCTTCCAAGCTTCCCCAAACGATCATCTCACCTCAAGCAGTAGCGGACAAAGTCAGCAGGCTAATCTACGAGGCGGATCAAATTCATCGCCGGCGTCGAACATCATGGGGAGAGAACATTCGACTATGCAGATTGCCAATATCTTGCTTGACAATGCAAGTCACACGACGGCGATGGGTAGCCTGAACGACGGCTCGGATTTGAGCACATTGCCATTCGAAGGCTACAATCTTGAAGAATTATGGAATTGGATGGATTCTGGAGGTGATGTTGGAGGTTTCGAAGGTATTGATTGGGCAAACAGTACAGGTTTTGAAGATCACTGAATTTAGCGATCATCTTTGAAAGCACATTTATGGTTTGATCGAAATATGATTGGTATATCTATGAAAACTGAGAAACAATCTAAACATTAACCTCAACAAAAGGCAGAATGATTCTACTCGGGTGATCAGGACCAGAGTGAATAATGTGTTCTCCCCTGTTCAACTCATGCTCAGGTCTAGGACCCGAGAAACTGGTAAACTCGGCAATACTAGGATACTGTCCACCGATTCGTACAGAAATGCTCTCACCGGCATCATAATGCACACCCATTGCCCAAATACCGATTTCAAGCTTCACAATCTCATTGGGGCCGAGCTTTTGCTGACGCTTGTGAGGATGGAAGGGGAATTGCGGATGGATACTCTTGCTCTCGTCGATCTCGCGGTGGGAAGCACGCAGGATTCCCGTAGCGCCGGAGAAGAGATTCAAAGAGGCCATTTCCTTTTCTGGGATATCGTCGATTGATTTGACAGGAGTGGCCTCGATGGGGAAATTGAGATGGTATAGCGTTTTGCCATTCTTGTCCAATTTGCGGAGGATGATGAAGACGGTAAAGTCGTCGCGGGAAGTGTCGGCGCAGGAAACGTAGAGGATTGCTTTGGGCAGACCCAGCAGGGAAGTGGGTTTGTCGAAGGTCTTTGTGAATATGGCGAAACTGAGATGTTGTTCGGAGTCGTAGGTGAGTTTTTGGAGGGAGGAGAGGGGTTTGTCGACGAGTTTGTTGTCTGGGCTGAGGTAGAATTCTTTGTAGTCTGTGTTTGGGACGGGGAAATCCTCGATCAAAACGTGCTCGATGGCAGGGCGGTCGCCGAATTGAAGTAGAGACCAGCTGAGTCTGGGGGTAGACTCCCAGTCGTTCTTCTTGTTCTTGAGGAAACGGTCGAAGTACTTTTGCAACTCGTCGTTTGATTCTGGTTGACCATAGAGCTCATACCATTCCTGGGTGCTGCCCCAGTGGATCCATTTCTGGTCATGAGGGATCTCCATCCATCCTCTGATCGAACCCATGGTATGAAGAGCGCTGACTTCGGAGCCTCTGATGTAGACAGGGCACTTGATCTTCTTCATGTCGATTCTCTTGTCCTCCCAGAAAGCGCTTCCGGCAGGTTTACGTCTGTACATCTCTTCCAGATCTTCAAGACCGGCATTCGGCTGACCACGGACGATAGCCTTTGCGATCAGGTCGAAATTGCTCATGGAGAACCATCCACCTCTGCAGAATTGCTCGCGGTAGATGTCGTCCATACCCTCCCAGGGTGCGATAGCCTTAAGAGATGGCGGTTGTTGAGCGGCGATGTTCCATTGTGAGATTGCGAGAGCTGAGTTGCCAGCCATGCCGATGTTTCCATTGCACCTGAGCAGTGTTAGTCGAGCTGAACAAGAGAACTCAAGGACCTCAACTTACCAGTCCATCTTGGCGATGGCTTCTACGACATCGAATCCGTCTTCAGCATCTTGGGTGCCCATGACAGCAATCTGACCGTCGCTGTTGCCGGCACCACGGGAGTCTACGCTGACAATTGCGTAGCCACGAGGACACCAATGTGCGGGGTCGAGACCTTCAAATTTCTCGAGGCCACTGAGCATCTTGTCGGTAACACAACACTTCCAGACACAGATTGGAAGCATGTCAAGAGCGCTGTACTTCTTGCCATAGAACGACCAACTCAAGACTGCGGGTATCTTCTCGTCTGAGCCTGCAGGGCGGTAGATGTCGACGTAGAGGCGAGCGCCATCACGGACAATGATTTCGACGTCGTGCTGGACCAAAATGTCTCAATCCAGAGCCTTTGCGTTTCCTGGCCTTGAACCAGCTTTGTGTACTTCCTCGCGGCCAGGGGTGAAACCCAGATAACCGTTCTCGCCGACCTTGGGCTCTCCGATGCGCTTGAAAGCGATCTGTACAGGTGGCGGCATGTTTGTTGTCGAGTGTTTTGTGAGTTGCAGGCGGGGAAAGAGCGACAGACAAAGCTGGAGAAGGAGGTGATGTTGATGCACCTTGATGGGGCGGCCCCTCCATCTTATCTACTCGGCGCCCTTGAGACGCAACAGCAGCGACAGTCCCGAGCCCGCAATCTGTCCACACAAAGACCCACTCGCGGTGGTAAAGTGTCCGACTCACCGTCCGGCATGGTCTCTGGTAGTTGCGCAAGGATAGAGCGTCGAGCGACGATGAGGGGAAATTGGGAAGAAGTTTGCCCCGAGCTCATCTGACGATTCTCGGCCGAGGTGGCGCGTTCGGTCAAACTTTGCTGTGACCCCGCACCTTCGGTCGACTCGGCCACTAAGGATGAATCTGGACAAGGCCACCTCCTTGCCCCGCTTCCTTCTCATACCTGAACTCTATGATTTCGGTCGTGTGCTTAAGCTTTGAATGGATGCTTCGGAGAGGACAAATCGCACACGGGGCTCGGTAAGTGGCTCCCGTCAATATGTCTTAGGGTTTTCGTACTCTGTATCGACAACTAGCAAAGGATAAATCCGTCTCCGCCCTTAATTACCATTACCGCTAACCTTGTTTAACCTTGTGCAGGACGATGAAACTGACCTCACGAGAAATTTCTAAAATATCGTCTGCAACCTTCACAGAGAGTGTTCCTACTTTAGAGTTAAAGAATCTATTTAAGCACTATGACGACTAAAGAGATGGATTCCACAAGAACAGTTACGTAGTGATTAAGAATGTCACTAGTAAGGACATAGCATAGCACTACTGCGAAAAGCACATAAAGTGGCTTATATAGCTCGTGCTAGGCTTTGTCGAGAATTGCCCTAGGATATGGACTTAGGAACATCTACTAATATCTTCTAAGGGCGGATAAGTAATCTCGATTACCTCTTAAACAGTTACTAACTTTTTTAGTGTGTACTTCATGTACGCAGCTCCTTATGATTATATGTCGTAGCAAGCGCGCATAAACCTAAGGTCGTTATAAACTTCGAGATAACTAACAAACTGCTTGCTTATTCGATAGAACGAACGTTTTTATACCTAACTATTAGAACATTACATGAACATTCTAGCCTTACTACGATTAGAAGCCTTCGCGTAAGGATATGTAAGCTACATAAGATCTAATTAACTTCGCTTCCTACGGTTGCAAAGACGGAAATCTAATATTAACGGAAGGATCTATAAAGTTGTTTAACGAGATTCTCTTACATAAGAGGGAGTCGGTAGACTATAAGGATGCGCCTCTACTAGAGATTAAGGTAAGTGCTACATATACTTATATAGTATATTAGCTAACATAATAACAGTATACGGACCTATCCCTCTTTAGTGCGAAGAGCGTTAAGTAGTTTAAATTAGAAGGCCGCAAGATAACTAAAGTCGACATAGAGCCTAGTAATTTATTCTCTAGGACGCTCGCACGATGCACTACGCTAGATCCCCTAAGGTTAAGACTAAAAACGTTATATCTAATATGTTTGTATAACACCGAAAAGGTTCGCTACCGAGAATACCTTAAAGCTAGGGAGGAGTGCTCTAACAATTTGCTTACTACCATTCACTAGCCTTATATAAACATTCGCCCTACGTTAGAGTCGCCGATGCGAGATAGCAAAGGCTGTCCGAAGAACAAGGATAAGCCATTATAGAAGCTAGAGATGTTAGATCGACTACTGCGATTAGTAGGCGTAAAGGATTGCTAGAGGCTAATGGACTTTATAATAATGCACGATACGATATCGCAATGGAATCCTTCCGCTTACATCTGTCTAATATTTTACCGTATGCTGTGACGTAGAAGCGACTCGAGGAACGCTCGAGGGTAAGATCGCTGCTAATAAACACATTACCGTAAGCAAAGCAGTCGAAGTTAACAATCTCACTGCACGAACTAGGACCGGCAGGAACGACACTAGAGATACAGAATCCATGCTTTTGAGGATATTCTGTTTGATTCGAGACAGCAAAGACACGCTCCTATGACGTTCAAGGTGGGATCTCACCATGTTCTCTCTGTCAGAATGGTATGGGTTTATCTACTCCATTGCAGAGCGCGGGACAATATGGCATCCCTCACTTCCTGCCAAAGCAAGAACCGGTCCCACGAGGGTATCGACTGGCCTTCAATCACAACGATGACTACCCATCTTTTCTGGCACCTGTTTGGCCACCTTGCACCATCTTCTCCTCGAATCGATCCCATGTACGACCTACAAAAGCTACCCCTCTGACCGGGAGTCCTCTCCACTTTGCCACGTCTGGACTGCTTGGATTCGAGATCTTAGATCCAATTACCGAGCTTTCCTTGCTCAGCAACTGAATCAACTGCTCGAATACCAGTCTCAACCATCGTGGCACGCAAGATAACCCCCTCATTTGCCCCGAGCCCCAGGTTGATGATCGCCGAAGCCCCAGGCTAGCCCCCCACATCTCCACGTCTCGGCCATCTCAATTCGTGGAGTAGGTTTACTAGTGGCTCGGTTCGGTGGCTTCAACGAATCGGAGAGGCTACATTGACACGAAAGGCGTATTGTTGGCGTATACCAGATGACAATTCCCCAATTTTGCAGCTGATAAGCCACATTTACCGGCGCAGAGACTTGCGTCTCGCTCGCTCCTCCACACCTTGTCCAGCACCTCATCCGACAAGATGTGGAGGTGACTTGTGTCGAGCGAAGTGTATAAGTCGCACATCTGATCGACGGTCTTCTCTGTCTTTTTCTCATCACCACACCATCGCCACACTAGCGACAGCAGCAACAATCTCGCTACTACATCAACCGATTTCGTTCGTTGATTATCAATACGCCATCATGGGGAACGTCAAGGACAACAATGTCGAGTTCATCGAGGAGCTCGAGCATACCAAGACCCTCGACCAGGTCACGACCATGGGAACCGTCAAACTGACCGATGGAGCGGTTGTCTACATCCCAACGCCGACTGCGGATCCGCAAGACCCTCTGAATTGCCCTATCTGGCAAAAGTGGTTGATTTTGGTCATTATCTCATGCTGTAAGGACGACAAATTTTCACCAATTGGTTTCGCGGTCTAACTTTTCCAGTTTCGGCTCTCGGTCTGTCGCTCGTCAGTGGGTTTGGAGGTCTACTGGGCTTCTACATCCCTGGATATGTCGCAATTGGCAAGGGCTACGCCGACATCACTCATTTGATGACATACCCTACTCTCTTCATGTAAGTCTCGAACGCGTTCTATCGATCTGTATACAGGGCTCATACTTTTCAAGGGGTATTGGTAACATCATTGGTATGCCTTTCGCTATCGGTGTCGGCCGTCGCGTTATCATTCTGCTCTCCACGTTGATTCTCGTGGTCGGTGCTGTCCTTTGTGCTGTTTCTACAAGCTACGAGATGCATCTTGCTGCTCGCTGCATCGTCGGTCTTGCGGCAGGTCAGAGCGAAGCTCTTGTTCCCATGATCACTCAGGTAAGACTATGCGATTTTGAGTTCTCATGAACATGCACTGACCCTTGTAGGAAATGTACTTCCTGCACGAACGCAGCAAATACCTCATGACCCAACAAGCTATTCAAGTCATCCTCACCACCATCTACGTGGTATTCGCCATTCCCATTGCCGGTGCCATCACTCCCAAGTGGTGGTATGGTCTTGGTGCTGTTCTCTCGGCCGTCTTATTTGTCCTTGCTGCCCTCTTCTTGCCTGAGACCAAGTATGATCGCCCCCTCTCCTCATACCAGGAAGCCACCGAGCACAGCTTCGACGTCGAGGAGACTGTCAACAAGGCTTCTCCTTCCGTCACACTCTGCACCACCAGACCTGAGCTTGACTTTGCTCGCTACGCCCCTCGCACTTTCCGTTCTGACCTGAGGCTTTGGGTTGGCAAGCCTGATATGAAGGCTGTTCTCAATGTTTACAAGGTAAGAGACAAAATCCATCTTCGATCAACCTACATACTAACACGTATCTCCAGCAAATGTTCGGTCTGCTTCTCTTCCCCAACGTCTTCTGGGCTCTTTGCCTCAACGGTCTGACTCTCGGTGCCAACATCGCCATTGGTACGACATACGGAAATATCGTTAAAGCTCCTCCATACAACTGGTCTCAAGACAGCGCCAGCTACGTCAGCATCGGACAGATTGTCGTTGCCATCATTGCTCTTCCCATCCTCGGACATGGCTCAGACAGAATCGTCAAGTGGAAGGCTCAGCGCAATGGCGGTATTCACGAGCCCGAAAACCGCATCATTCCTCTTGCCTTCCCCTTGATAGTCGGAGTCTTCTCTTGCGTACTCTACGGACTCGCTGCCCAGAAGCCAACGCATTATCACTGGTTCACTTGTAAGCCTCCCATATCGATGAACAAGACCTGCCGAAAGTCACCAAATGATGTTCTGATGTTCGGGACGGATCTTGGTGGCTACATATCGGCAGCGTTGAATCTTATCACCTCCTTCCCAACGAGCCTATGCTAATCATACTCTTCTATCATAGATGTTTGGGTCGTCGCCGCCTACTACTTCGCTTTCGTGGGTGCCAACATCGTCGCCATCACCTACCTTCTCGACAGCTACCCGGCTCGCGCGGGACCTCTCTTAGTCATTGTCTGCGCCATGAGAGGAGTCATGAGCTTCGGTGTCAGCTATGGTATCCAGCCTATGATTGAAGCCAAGGGATACGATGGTGCTTTCGGCATCTTTGCCGCTTTGACTGCAGCTTTTGGTCTCATGGGTGTTGCTGTATACGTTTGGGGCAAGAACATCAGAGCCTTCACTGGCAGATGGGCCAAGGATAAGCAGGAGTAAGATTGATGATTGTATGAACGGTGGTGTAGCGGATTTGCGGAGATTTGTATATAGTTTATGATTTCTTGTACGTATTCATGATCGAGATGTGAATGTTTTGTCTTCATTGGTTACGCTCACTCTTCCTCCGATATCCGCATGTGATGAGAGTCATATTTCCACCGGGTCAAAGATGGTTGAAATTTTAGAACAGTCCAGACTTGCTGTCCGCTTTGATTCTTTTAGAAGCAAGCGATGATATTGGATACGTCTTTTGTTTTATTGCGGACACGCTTTTCTAGACAGAGATCTGAGAAACAGGACGTTCGTGAGTGCCTAACGCTATGTTTGAAAAGAAAGACAGTTTGGTCTCACAGATATTCAACATCTCCGTCCGGCAGCAAGCTGGCCCACTGTGATCAATATAACATAGTAAAGATACCTAGAGAACCAATTCACAGCTATATTCACATCCATCTTCGGAGTTAACGCGCAGATTGACAGGAAGTAATGCAGAGACATGTCGTCGTGAGGTTAACCCTGTTCGAGACCTCCGAACTTGAAGCCTACATTTCCCTTCTTCTCTAGCCTCCTTCTTAGGACGATAAACAACCAACAAGCAGAAGACTTGCTTACCCCGCTCCTACGACCCACTTCATCCTTCCCTCGAAATGCGTAAGCAATGCACGATCACTACAGAGTGCAACATCTCGGTCAAGCAAGCGCCCGAAGCTGCGCTTCTCGGGAAGTGGTCCCGAAATGTCCGTGCACTTCGGTCGAGTACGGAGATGCGGCTGGAACCAAGCAAGGTGCATTTTGCTTCCCCCAAGTCGCGACTCTTCGCGTTCCCATGTCGGTGACCATGATGCCGATGCGGCGACTGGTGGATGCCGTGCCGTTGGCTGGTCCAACACGCAAGATGAATCACCTTGTTGTCGTTGCCCTGACTTCTTCTCCAGTCTTTCCTCAGGAAACGCCATGATGTCGAAAACCGACACGACGATGATCGAAGAGCAGGGAAATAACCAGCAGGATCTGGAATTGAGTCGCACGGAGACTGGTGTATCGGAGAAAGTCCAAAACACCATGGGAACCACAAGAAGAAGACTTGTGATGCTTTCACTCTGTCTTGCACAATTTCTCGCCGCCATCGACATCACAATCGTCGCGACAGCACTTCCGACGATAGCGAGCAGTCTACACGCCACATCTGCTCAGTACACTTGGGTTGGATCCGCGTACAATCTTGCAAGCACAGCATCAACACCACTTTGGGCGAAATTATCAGATGTCGTTGGAAGAAAGACTGCTCTTCTTGCCGCAAACACTTTGTTCCTTGCCGGAAGTCTGCTAGCCGCTCTTGCGAATTCGATTTTGATTCTCATCGGAGGTCGCTGTTTGCAAGGTATTGGAGGTGGTGGTCTGATGATCCTCAATACCATCATCATCAGTGACATCTTCCCACTGGAAGATCGCGCAAAGTACTATGGGTTATCTGCAATCGTTTGGGCTATTGCAAGCGCTCTTGGTCCAATGCTTGGAGGTGTCTTTACGTCGACTATCGGATGGAGATGGTGTTGTAAGTTTTTATCACCCACAAACATGACAGCTCAAGCTAATCAGTCATTTGACAGTCTACATCAATCTGCCACTCGACGCTATCTCACTCGTCCTCGCCGTTCTCTGCCTCAAACTTAACATCAAGAGAGCTCCAGCCAAAGAGACCTTGAAAGAGCTCGATTGGACTGGCTGCTTCTTGATCGCCGCCGGAGCCATTCTGTTCCTTCTTGGACTGGAAAGTGGTGCCAGTCATCAACATTCATGGACATCCGCCTACACCCTGTGCATGATCATCTTCGGCGTCTTCCTCCTTGCAGCATTCATGATCTGGGAATGGAGATTCGCCAAGGTCCCCCTGATTCCCATACAGGTGTTTGCCTCACGTACCAGCCGTGCAGCACTTACTATAGCTTGCTGTCACAGCTTCGTCTTCATTGCGTTCGACTTCTACCTGGCTTTGTACTTTCAGGCGGTTCTCGGACGCTCGCCCATTATCTCGGGTGTACTGCTTTTCGCTTTGATTCTACCATTGTCTCTTTGCACTATGGCCACTGGAATGTTCATCGGCAAGACCGGCAAGGTCAGACCTGCTATATGGTTCGGATGTTTCTTCATGACGCTCGGCACGGGATTGTTCATCAACTTTGGCTCCAAGCTTGTCATCTGGAAGATCATCTTGTTTCAAATCATTGCTGGTATCGGAGTCGGCCCGCTATTCCAGGCTCCCATGATTGCTCTTCAAAGCGTAGTCAAGCAGAGAGATGTCGCAGCCGCCAACTCTGCTTTCACTTTCCTCCGCAGTCTCATCACTTCCCTTTCCATCGTCATTGGAGGCGTAGTATTGCAGAGAGGTCTCGGGTCTGATTCTTTGACCGGCAATGGACATGTTTCTGCCGGTGGCGGTGACAACTCGAAGAAGTATGCTGCAGCATTGAGTAACATGTGGATCTTCTACACAGCCTTCTGTGGAGTCATGCTTGTGTCGACGTTCTGGGTTGGCAAGATTGATGTGAGCAAAAAGCCAACTCACAATGAACAGAACGATGCAGTGGTGGAAGAGACCGTGGTGGCCCCGAAAGGTGCAGAGGCTCTTCCGAACAGCGGGGATATGGTCGAGAAGAAAATAAATGTCTGACAAGCAATTGAAGAACTCTATGTAGTACTTAGAAAGATTGATGATATATGGAAGACAGAACATACCATCAATGAACCTGCGTTGTAGTAAACACAAGCATCCAAACTTCGGCGTTCTGGGTATGATTTGTGATCCGATCTTGTGACAACCAGGCTTTGACTATTCGCCTCTTCTTTGTGTATTCGAAAACATGGGTCTCTCAGGTGCTCTAGAGCGGACATCGCAATCTCGAGCCAACATCTTCGAGTATCGAATCTGATCGCAGGAAGAAGCGCTACTAGCTCAACCATCGCCCAAGTCTGGATCACGAAGCATCATACGACTATCGAACTACCGTTTCATGCCGGAAACTCACACGGAGTCTCCTGAACTCAATGTCCTCCACATTTGCCAACGATCGGTTCGGTCGGCTCGGGGGCTGCACTCGGTTCGGTGCACTTCGGCGTCATCTCAGCAGATCAACCCCGCACCCCACACTCTTCCACCGTCGGATGCACTCGCCAGCAGCATCGAGTGGGCGAGGCTGTCCGTGGTACCTCCATCTCCAAGTCAGGCGTAAGGTTCCAGCGGCTCGGAGGACCCAGCAAAGGATATAACAGCGCTATTTCACAATCTCAGTCGACTTTTCCTTCCATCCTCACCATCTCCATCATCCAACCATATCACATACTCATACGATACACAATGGGTTTCTCAGAGGTCCACACAGAAGTTCCCAAGACCGCCATTTACCTTGTCGGCGAAAATGACTGGCAGACCGATCTTGCAAAGAACGGCTATGCCGTCGTGAAGGGTGCTGTTCCCAAGGATAGAGCTGACAACTACGCGAACCGTATGCACCAATGGTTGGAAGACTTGTATGTTCATTTCACTTTATTGGTGTTGACAGACGACACACTGACACATCACAGCGGCCTCGGATATGATCGCAACGACCGCAGCACATGGAAGAGCGAGCATCTCCCCGAGATCAACAACAAAGGCATGTGCCTCGACTACGCCGTCACCCATGAAGACTTTGCATGGGAGATTCGTGCTGAACCTGGTGTTCTCTCCGTCTTTGAAACCGTCCTCAACACCGAAGACTTGATTGTCAGTTTCGATGCCGTCAACTTCGGTCTCGCTGGCCGCAAAGATCTGCCTCCCAACAAGCCTTGGCCTCACCAAGATCAAGACCCCACCAAGAATGGCTTCAGATGTCTGCAAGGCTTGGTCAACCTCCTGCCCAACGGCCCCGATGATGGTGGGTTGATCGTATGCGAAGGAGCACATTTATTGAGTCAGCAATTCCACAAAGAGATCGCCGGCACAGAAACACCCATTCCTGCATGGAATCCCGAGTGGTATGGTTTCACAGACAAGGGCATGAAGTGGCTTGAAGACCACGGTTGCCGTTGGACAAAGGTCTGCGCTGAACCTGGAGATCTTCTTCTCTGGGACTCGCGCACACCTCATTACAACCTTTCTTCCACAACTGATCAGTCCCGTTTCTGTGTGTACACATGTTACATGCCCGTTACAGAAGCCTCTGAGGAGGAATTGCAGAGAAAGAAGGTCGTGTTTGAGGGTTGGTTCGGTACCACTCACTGTAAGTCTTGCCATCACGAACTATTCGAGAAAGATCACTGACATCAGACAGGGCCCAACTGCAAAGTCATGGGAAGGAACCAGGCATCAAGGAATGGCGAGCCTGACCCCCACAACAGATCTGAACCTAGAAAGAAGCCACAGCTGTCGGAGCGTGTGTACAAGTTGACTGGTATCCCTTACATCAAGACGCAAGCTTGAGTGGATTCATGATTGGAGTTTGTCTGTAAATAGCCATAATGCGAACAATGTTTCTTTCCAAGCAAGATTGGCGTCATTGACTCCTGGGTTGTAGTTACGCCGCGACATGTGCTGTTTGGACGAAGCGACGTGTTGAGCTGATATTTTGCGGCAGACGTGCTGGTACTCCTGCATTGACAGCTGGTTGAGAGTTGCCAGTACTAGATCACGCGTAGGTATATCTCTTCTCATTCCATCTCTTGCATCACCCTCGACCTTACTACACCAGACCAGTAGAGCGGGTGGTCACGATTGACGTGGAGCGCGGGCGTCATGGCGACATGGTTCGACGAGGTCGCGGTTTTCGACTTGGACATTTCCAGAACGGGCTGAGTCATTTACTCGGGCGCATGATGGGAGATTCGAAAGTCGGGTGTGTTGTTGTTGTCGAGGATGCGAAAGAAGTTGGTTGAGTGACTTGAGCTTTCGAGTCGAGATGGATGGGTGCGCACGGGCTTCGTCACGAATTTCTTCCGTTGCATTGTCGTCGTCGCTGTTTCGCTCTTGACATTTCTTTACAGAAAGCATCATCCCAAGCAGCTCTCATCGGACGCTACTATAGATCAGAGGCCATCAGACACTGCGGAAGCCTCACGCGTGACAGATTATCATGACTGGGGCTGACGAATATAGGCTACGAATCATCACGGCGAACCGACACGGTTGCGCAGGAAAGACAAGAAAAAGGCATCATCCATTACGGTATTATGCGTTTTATTATCATCCAAGATTATACCACACTACATCCAATATCATCCAAGATCTTCCAAAATATTACGGTCGGCAGAAAGCACGACTAGTAGCGCTTGCCAAAGGCCTCATCAAATCCAGTAAGAGTGTAGCGGTAACGAACCTTGTTCTCCTTCACACCAGTGACTGCCTTTGCACAGCCTTCTGCAGAAATGGGAATTGTTTCGATCCACGACTTGATGTTTTGCTTGGAGGCAAGCTCAAGCATGGCAACCATTTCAGGGTGATTGCCAATATGACTGGCGCCGATGTATGATCCATTGGGTGCAAAGTCTTGAGCCTTCATGGCTGGGAGATCGTAGTCGGGAAGACCGACGTTGTGGAAGCGGCCCATGACCTTGAGGGTACCCAGGTAAGTGGACATCTCAAACTCTTGGGTCATGTCAGAGCCTACGCATTGTCATGTCAGTAGGTGGTTTACTCTGTCTCATTGAGCGAACAACTCACAGTTCAAGATGAAGTCGAACTTGAAGGCGTATGGCTTGGCCCAGTCCTTGTCTCCAGAGTAGATGAAGTGGTCGGCACCGAGCTTCTTTGAGTCCTCCTCCTTGTCCTTGGTGTGGGAGATGGCGAAGACCTCTGCACCCAATGCATGTGCCCACATCAATGCGAAGTGACCGAGACCTCCAATTCCGACAATGCCGACCTTCTTGCCAGGACCACAGCCCAGACGAACGAGTGGTGAATAGGTCGTCAAACCAGCACACAGCATTGGGGCTGCGATGGCAGTATCGAGGTTCTCGGGAATCTTGAACACAAAGTACTCCTGGACTCTGATGTGGGAAGAGAATCCACCTTGGGAGACAACACCATCGTCGAACTTGGCACCGTAAGTGTCAACCCTGGAGATGTCGTCAGCATAGGCTATACTCGTAATTACGATAGGACTCACTGGTTGGGGCAGTAGTTCTCCTGGTCAGCCTTGCAGTTGTCGCAAGTCAAGTCTGCACCGACTTGAGCGCCGACACCGACACGGTCGCCGACCTTGATGTCCTTCACCTTGCTACCGACCTTGACTGCACGGCCTGGGCGGAAAAGTTAGTCACAATCTAACAAGCAAAAACGAAGGCATTGCGTCGCTACTTACCGATGATTTCGTGTCCGACACAGAGAGGAAGGGGAGTTTCACCCCAGCCACCAGTGATAGCTGTCTACGTCAGTGACTGATCCTTATCTCGACACATTGAAAGTCCTTACAGTGGACGTCGGAACCACAAACACCACATGCGTCGATGGCAATGTCGACATCATCCTCCTTGAATGTCTTGAGCTTGAATTCTTCCTTGTGGAAAGATTGCCACCTGTCGCTAACGTTAATATGTGTTCTGAGCTTCGGCGAGAAGCCACATACTTCTTGGGATCCTTGACAACAAATCCAGTTGCGGTCTCCGGGTAAGGCATGGTTGTGGATAAGAAAAGACGGGCTTTGCGTGAGGTGATGTGCTAACTACGAGAGGAACAAGTTGCTGCGAGAAAAAATTGAGAAGTGGTATGAGAAGAACACAAAGAGTCCGTACAGCGACAGCGTTTATACACATACGAACCTCGTTGTTTGGCTTTACTCACTATGACATGATGACGCTGTTGCTTGCTTTCCGGAGCCTCCGCTGATCGACCGTTCCGTCATCCTTCTGGATTCCATGTCAAATAACCTTAATTCTTTCCCCGGATCTGCTGCTGTGAAGGCAACTATTAGCGAATTATAGAAGAGTTGCTTTTGTTATCGCAGAGGTAGAATGGAATATGCAACATGGTCCTGAACAAGGCGCATGAGACTGACCATGAGACTATATCACAACTTAACGACAGAATAAACTCAGTCGTGGTGTTGCAGAACTCGGCTTGGCAGAAGGCTCCTGTCGCGAGATGCGTTGTTGGAGATGAATTTCTCTTCTGAAACGAAGAACGGAACAAGCCCTTCGCGATTTACACCTTCGACATATCAATCATCAGAGAATTGTTCTTAAATGATCATAGAGGTGTTACAGTAGAGAATAGAGCCTCTATGAGCTCGTCACTACGATAAGCACATCCAAGCAGGGTCACATCTGCAGGATCAGATAAGATGCGGAGATCCTCCACGAAATCTCTGCCATCCAGATCCTGAAGCCTCCAATATCGCATTACTTCCCAACAAGCATAGACTAAAGTTGGAATTTTGTCTATGTATCGATGAGTAGAGGGTACTCATGGAGATTGTATACATAGCGTCGTCAACGCTGTGCTGAAAGCGTGATCGCACTCACATCTACAGCGAAAGTCATCTCGTACTCGAGTACATGCTAGGATATCCTGCACCAAGCGTTACTGATCGTTCAGCTTCCGACCGGCAGATTCACCCGGAGGCTAGTCTCTTACTTCATCTCTGGATACATCGACCTTGTGTTTGCGAACATCTCCGAGCACCGGACAGGATTTCCCAAGCTGAGGAAACACACGATATTCTCTAGGACAGGTACTGGTATATGGCTTGACATACTTCTTGACAATGTTTCGAAAGTGAGACTGGAACTGAAAGCTCGACTAGTCATTTGAGATTGGCCATCCATATGTATTTGTCTATTAGCTTGGTATTATGTAGCAAGCGTTTTTGTAAGCTGAGTCTGCTTGAAGCGCAATTGTGTCCACTGCGAATCGTATTATCAGTATTGATATCCGTATTCAAGGTTTGTTCGATTAGCAGAATCGCAGATGTAGGCTGACATACCTCGGCGCATGAGATAGGCTCGTACTTTGGCGGATTGCTCTCGTCTATACAGGTGGGCAACACGCCACATTTCTCGTTGAAGTTGAAGCCAAAGAAGAAGGGCATGCTGATGCGATCGAAAGTGCTGCAGTTGAAGACGCGATGCACAGTGCTCTTAAATTTGTCATTTGTCAACCTCATCAGGTAGTCGCCGATGTTGACCACCAGCGTGCCGGGAATAGGTTTCGCCATGATCCATTGACCTTCAGGTGTCAGGATTTGCAGCCCGCCGACCTCGTCTTGCCACAGTAGCGTGAAGCACTGCAGATCTGTGTGGCTACCGAGGCCAACATCCCCGCTCTTGCTAGAGCTGTTCATGGCAGCAATCTCGGCAGGCGTGTTGGCCTCGTAAAAGTTCAGCACACCGTCGGAACCCGGGTACGTAGTCAGCTTGTCGAAGTGGTTTTCTGGCAAGTCCAGAGCAAGGGCGAAACTTTGTATCAGACGACGCGCAAGTTTGACACCAGATTGCCAGTAGGTAAGAATATCCGTCTTGAAGTTAGGCAGGTTTGAGGTTCCTTCCCAGACAAATTCCTCGCCGCGTAGGTGTGCCGCAACTTCAGCTGGGATGGCAGAGGGGTCTTTCGGATCGGGATCATACTGAGCATCGTATCGCCATGCAAAGCTTTCTTTGCGATCTTGTGGCAATATGTTAATTCAGACTATGTCAATACACTTGACTGTGGAGACTTGACCTACCGAGTGACTCTCCTTCGCTGACTTGGGTCGTTTTGGGTGCAGAGTATCCATTGAAGAACTTTGATTTGGCAGTCGAGATTTTGAGTTTCTCCTCTGCTGGCTGCTTGAAGAATATCAAGGCCTGCTTCCTCGCCTTCTCAATCACAGTTTCATCGATACCATGATTCTTTGCATAGAAGAAACCATAGGTAGTCGCTGCATGCTTGATTTTTTGGCTGAATCTCGATCTGGCTTCAGTATCGCCATACAAATCGGCGAAGTCGATGACTGGAATCTCTTCTGCGGTGGCCAGACGAGGAGGATTGATGAGGACGTCACGGAAGACTGGTCCGTAGGCAGTTCGGAGTTGTAGCTTCGTGTGTGTTACGGTAGTCGCCATTATCGCTACTGTATGATTGAGTGTGATGTTGCAGATTTGGTATCCTTGCTGAGGCTCGTTATATCTGAGTGTCGGATGGCCGGTTCTCTTGGTTATCAGCCTCCCTACCCCCGGCGGTTACTCTACAGCCTGTATCTAGGTGGATATGTATGCCTTGGGGGTCAGAAGATTGTGTGCTCTTTGCTCCGGGATCACATGCCATGAGCGTACTCTTGCGATCGTTGTAGGCCTTGATAGGGTGCTTGGATTCCGGATGTGGGGGTCATTTATGGTTATCTTGGGGCCAACCACGTCAGTCGATAAGCTATCTCGGCGAGCGGTGTCAAGGATCATGACCGCTTGCTACCAAGCGGTCGGGGTCAGATTATCTATGAGCTTCGTAGATCGTTCAGGCACGTCGATAAGACGCCGCAAACAGATGGTCGGAACAGTCACGATATTCAAGATAGGACATTGCCGATGAAGATAATAACAAATTCTTTCGTGCTCAGAATTGATTCTCATGCATAGGCCAAGGGGCAGACCAAACTACAATCCACTGTATCATATGGCAAGCCGTCTACTGTATCGACCATCAAAATCTCGAATCATACGAGTCCACGATATGCTGGCAGAATTGGTGCCATTGCGACAAGAACGCGACTTCTGCCCGCTCCTTTTCTTCCATGCCCATGCAACTATACTCAATGCTCCATTGGACGAGTACACGCCAGCCGACTAGACTCATAGAATTCGATCCCATCAGAACCTGGTAGAAATCGTGTGAGAGTGTTGCTTCCCATACACCAGGATCGTCGCTGTTGATAGAGCAAGGCACACAATTCGAAAGCAGAATTGGCAGGGGATGATTCTTGATCGTCGGGCATAGGCCAAGCACCTCGTTAGAGATGGGGCATATCTCGACAGCAATCTTATTCTCTTTGCATAGTTGCATGAGTAGTGGATGTTTGGTCAGGCTGTAGCCATGACCTATACGCTTTGTGCCCAGAAGAATTGCATCGTACAGATTTGAATCGACTTCGCCTCCGTGATCAAGCGTCTCGCCTGCGTGAAAGATGAAAGGAATGTGCAGACTGAGATCTTCACACTTTTGTCGGAACAGGAGCAGCTCTGGGATGAAGAATGAGAGTGGATGGCCTGCGTTTTCAGGGCCCGCCATGTCGAATCCACAGATCAGGTCAGGAAAAGCTTGCTTGAGCGCAATACAATCGTCGATGCACCAAAGCATCTCATCTTTTGTACATGATCGGAACGCAGTAAAGATGAATCGTGCACCACTGAAATGCAGACCTTTGGCCTTCATCTTTGGCAAGTCTTCAGATAGGACATCTGAGAGTAGTTGTACCATCTCTTTGTGGTTCAGGTCGGCCGTGCCGTCATCGCGACGTGCGTAATTACCGTAGTGCATTGATATGCGCAGCTCAACGTACATGATACCATCTCTGGCCAGACTCCAGATGACTCGGCGGAAATGGTTCTTGTACGCAGTTTCGTAATTGAATAGTCCTCGAAGAACGACAAAGGTGCGCATGAAATGAGACCAGATTCCATCCACCGTTTGTTCTGCATGGTAGGCGTCTTTTGCATGCAGTACGATCTTCGAAGCAATCCAGTCTTCAGCTCTTTGCATTCCTCCGGGAAACTGGTCGAGGAAAAGGGAGTACTTCATGAGAGATCCTGGAATGTATGACTTGGAGAAAGTGTTGGTGCCAATGGTTGGTTCGGAATCCTCGGCCAGCAATTGAAATCTTGGCAGCGCATGATCAAAGAAGCCTTTCGACACTAGCGGCGCATCTGTTTCGATATACAGATTCTTCTGGTTTCTTGCGTCGATTAAGAGACTCTCGTGAGGGCGTAGCATCGCCTCGAGATGGCAATGTAGCAGTGCTCCTTTGGGCGCCTTCTTCGCGATCTCAAGAACAGCGCTCTTTTGAATCGTGTCAATTCCGTGGAGATATTTGTGCGCAGCTTCGAAACCAGATCCGTCATTGAGGACCATGTGTACATTGGTTTCCTCCCAGGTTTTTATCTTCTCAACGATCCGGCTTGCCCTCTCCTCCAGATCTGTCGGTTTTGCGGTGGCGACGAAGCTAAGATCTCTTTCTGCTCTTACGAGAGCGTCTCGAGCTTTCGAAAATGCTTCAGTCGAGGTCAGATGATCCTTCGATGGTAGCTGGTAAGTGATGGCAGTGGGTGGCTTGATAGTCATGGTTGTTATGTTCGAGGCTTTTGGCCGTTATATGGTCGGAAGTTGAGAATGGCCAGTCTTTCCAAGGCATGTCGACTGAATATGTTGACTGAGCGGCGATGTCCGCGCATTCGAAGTTGATTTGGTATCTTATCTACGAGCGGATCTGTGTCGAACGCCCCACATATGCTGACCCCCAGATACAAGCTTATCGGACTCGATAGCACCCCATACCTACCAAGCCTATCTCGATGGGGTCAGATAGGTTGAGGGCATGCTCGAACACGACGGATGCGAAATTCGGTATCTATCGCAATGATTGTCGGCTCAACTGTGTCGCTCTCGTGCCCTGTGATTATGATGAAGATATGCAGAAAATTTGTACACATATATTCAGTGATTATTCGTATCACCTTCCCTGAGCTCATCTGTCTCATTCCACTGTGCTTCCATTGAACCCACTTTTGCCATTTACAAGATGTCGGACCTCGAAGCCAATTCGATACTGAACAAGCAAGAGAAGAGCCTAGTGCACCAATCTGTTCCTATATCGGACTTTGGAATTGGCGATAGCGCCGCAATCAAGCCAAGCTGGTCGTTTCGACTCTACTCTACCCTCCAAAAGCTCGATCATTATGGCGTTGAGTCTCGTGGTATCGAGAGAGTAGCGTCGGTTGAAAGACACAAGGCGACTTTATCAACATGGACTGGGCTGTGTCTGATCTGGTGAGCTAGTCCATATCCCAATCACAATGCGACAGTACTAACGTCTGACATAAGGACATCCGCCGGTATGGGACTCAGCACCTTCGCAACTGGGCTCATAGGTCCTCTGTACTACAACCTCACTTTTGCCCAAACGGTCGGTATAATTTTTGGCGCTGGCTTTCTCGGAGCCTTGGTCTCCGGCTGGCTTGCAACATTTGGAAAAAGGAACGGTCTTAGAGCTCTGACCAATTCCAGATATACCTTTGGATACTACGGTGCTATGTTTATGGCATTCCTCAATGTCATCACTGAGGGTGCTTTCGGGATACAAATGGCGATTCTTGGTGGCCAAGCTTTGGAAGTCGTGTCGAAGGGCAGACTTCCTGTTGCCGGCGGCATTCCGCTCGTTGTCATGGTCAGCTGGCTCATCGCTACCGGTGGCTACAAATTCATACACTATTGGTCGAGGTATGTTCAGCAGGTCCTGCGAGTTATCCTCAATCTGATCTCCATCTAGAATCGGGTTCGTGTTCCCGTTGATTGTCTGTATCGCCATGCTGGCGAAATCGAGTCCAATGTTTTCCAATGCTGGCACTGCTACACTTGATGCTGCCACTCAGAATGGCTTGACACTATCTTATTTTGCCATCATCTTCGGTAGCGGATCAGGCTGGGCAGCGGTCTCGGCAGACTATTATATCTATCTCGATGAGAGGACCCCAAGCTGGAAACCCTTCCTCATGTCCTTCTTAGGAACATGGCTTCTCCCGACTCTCATGTATTCCTGTGGAGCAGGATATGGAAGCATCTTGCTCAACAATGCTGACTGGGCGGAATACTACGAGGCAAATGGAGAAAGTGCGCCTGCTCTGTAAGTACCTTCTGATATGTCTCGGCACGCTTCCCTGGCTGATGTCTCACAGTATTCTATACTCCCTTGAATCACTCGGTAATGTGCGCTACTTCTTTGTCTTCATCATGGCTATCTCAACCCTCAACAACAACATTTTCAACCTGTACAGCATCAGCATCTCCATGCAACTCTTCGGCAAATGGACCACCTACGTGCCCCGCATGATCTGGAATTTGGTCGGCGCGATCGTCGTTTTCCTTATCGCCATCATCGGTCGAGATTCCATCTATACCATTATTGGCAATTCCGTCGCAGTCATCGCGTACTGGACTGCCATCTTCTTCGCCATAATTCTCATCGAGGACAGGGTCTTCCGTCGACGAACGGGCTACGATCACTCCGGGTGGAACGATTCCGGTAAGCTCCCTAAGGGGTATGCTGCAATGCTTGCATTTGGTATCGGCGCCGCTGGTTCTATCATCGGTATGGGGCAGACGTGGTATTACGGGTAAGAGTCACCATCTATTTTTCACTCGTTCGTGCAACGAAGCTAACGATGCAACACAGGCCAATTGCGCGACAGATCGGCGAAGAGGGTGGCGACGTCGGTATCGAGCTTGGGATGCTGTTCGCCATCATCGTGTACCCTGTGCTGCGTCATCTCGAATTGAAGAAATTTGGCAGATAGACGCATTTGCCATGTTTCATTCTCATGCAGTCTCATGACGGGCCTTGGATGAGTAAATCATAGAAGTTTAAAGCGCCATCAAAGGAGGAGCTGCCACTTTTTCAAGCACTGTTATCGCTTTCTCAATCATCCCACCTGGACTCTTCTTGAGTAATACTACAATGGATGTCATCACTTCCAGGACATCGAGGTTGCTAATTTGGCTGTACAAGCCGAACTCCGTTGTCGCCATCCGTGCAAGCGTGGAACCAACGCCAGGGGTAGGGAAACATTGATCTATACCTGCGGTCGCAGTCTGTTCTGCAGATGTGAAGTTCCACAATACGAGTCCTGCAAGGTACAGACTCCAGTTGCAGTGGTGACAATGGTGGTGCGAGTCAATCGTGATGTCGAATCGGTTTTGTACGACGCGGGCCGCTTCCGACGCAGCCACTGATGCAGCTCTCGTAGAAGCCCAGCAAGCAATTCTTTGCCTAGCTTTTGCAAAGTCATCAGGCCTTGTGCGCTTCCCCTCGATCTCTGTAGCGCCAGCAGCAATTTGCAAGTCGGCCGAACTGAGCTCACACAGCGTATGCGCAAGTCTGCAGAAGCATTGACAAGTCCTCCAAGTGAATTCCTCAACGTAGAACTGTCTGGCATCACCATTCCACCAGATCATCCAATTTTCGAATGAGGTCATGATCCGCGCCCTGAGGGAATGGATGCTTCCACTTGGTTTCGATATATAGGCATATCGTTGCTGACGCCATGTCTCGGACGCAATGCTGACCACACCATGAAGTATCACACGTGCATCCCCCGGATTTGCCGCGATGTGTATTGATCTTCCACTACTGCTGGGAAGGTTCCAGAACTGCTGCAACATGTTGAGGAATACTGGAGGCTTCTGGGGACTGTCCCTCACGCTGATCCTCCACTCCGCCAAACTGTCCGCAGTCCAGACTGAAACGCCCCATGGTAGATTCAAATCAATTTCGAACGGACTCATGCTGCTATTGCCTCCGAAAAGGACTGTTTGTTGGACGTCAAGGACGAAGGTCTGGAAGACGATCCGCTTCAAGCTTTCAGCTTTGATCCATTTGTACCAATGCTCGTAAGTCAATGTGTCCGGGTCGACATCACTGAGCTCGTTGGAAGCTTGTGACCAATCTAGCCTTTGTACTAGGCGCACAAGAACTCCGTGAAGTATAGAAGCGGTCCCGAACTCATCCGTCTCGCCATGATACCTGGCGAATAACAGGACAAGGAAAAGCGTTTGAACGACCCACAGCGCTGGAGAGGCAGATGTCGCGATTGCAGTCATGATGGAAGACCTGATTGCGCGTTGTATGATACGAGAAGCCTTGATCAACTCTGCGTTAGGCTCCTCCTGCTCCAACAGCACCCAGCCAAGAGTGATCGCTGCCCAAGCCAATTGATGTGGTGCTTCTTCTCCATAGTGGTCCTTGAGATAGACTTGCTCATCTTTTTCTGGAAACAAGATGCGTGAGTGTTGGAAATTGTACTCGCTTGAGACATATTTCGAGTAGAAGTGCACACCAGCAGTAAGATTGTGCAAGGAGAATACGTCTGACGTCAAAGCCTTAGCGTCTAATTCATCTCGCATGGCAAGTAACAATTCAAGCCGTTGAGCTTCGGTCATGGCATTGCAGACTCGCCACCTGCAGCGTTGTGAAGCATCGTGAGTTGTTATAGTGTGAGCTGCGATGGTAAATACCTGCAATGGTACGCCTGAAGGCAATGCGTCTTGGGTTGTGTTGGGAGCAAGCTGTGTATAGTTTCGGTTTGGATCCAGAATTCCTGATCCATGATCCACTTCGTGTCCGGATTGAAACGTGCTATCCAAAAGCCATTCAGAGTCATCAGTAGTAGTCAGTGGTACATGGGAATCATCAGGACCTAAGGATTGGGTGGTCAAGTCCTGATGATAACCGAAGAGGTCCATGAAGTCGTTGTCGATGGACATATCCTCCACGCGAGCTGTGTTTGGAGGAGGCATGCTAGACGTGTCGTTAGGCACTGAGCAGGAATTTGCCACATGGTCTGATCTTGCGTCTCTGTTCTCAATAGGCCGGTACTCGCTCTCCAGACTATGAGCAGAGTTTCGATGACACTGCCAAAGATCTCGCCGACTGAACGACATGTTGCATTCCGCACATGCCCATTTAGGAGTTACACGATCTGGTAAATCGTTAGAATGGAGAGCTACTAGCATACATCAATCGCATACGGTTCAGAGCATGTCTTTGCAGATGCTCATTCCGTGTGAACGCTTTGTGACAACCATGATGGTCGCAAACATACGGCCTGTCGAACGTGTGGCCTACTCTACGACTCCTGCTACGTTTCTGGATTGGAGCTATGTTCATGGTCAGGTAAGGGCAGGTATATAGCAACGAAGAGCTTGTTAGCCAGATGTCAATAATGTGGACGTACCGTTCGCTTCTTATCGCTGTACCCGCGGCTCCAGAGCGGGCCTCTCGGCCTTCTCCGCCACGTTATCAAGGAGCATGATTTCGACTTTAGCCCGTCCTGCTCTCGCCGCTAAGCTGCATCATCAATCGCTGCTCGGTCGAGCCTATCATATCCAAATGAGGGCTTATCACCAGTGTAGAGTGTGGAGCAGCTGGGCAAGTCATTCTGTAGAGGCTGCGACGACTTTTCGAGCAAAAGCTCAGGCGCGGGAAGGCAGACGCCATGGTGACAATGCCAATATTCCACGCCCAGCTGGAACTCATTCCTGGTTGAATTTCGAGTCCCTCTATTACTGCCATCGAGCATTAAACTCAACTGAAACATCATAATTCGCATCAGGTTGAGAATGTTTAGAATCTCACCGGGGTTAGTTGCTGATTGGTAGCCGAGCGAGCCGAACGAATCTCCACGCCTCGGGAAAGTTTGCTTGTGCAGCGTTCATAACTTAGTGCTTTGGCTGACAGGCCGCCCGCTGTATGACGACCTCCAGTGAAAAAGTACCGTCTTCACTGCAAATCATTTTCTACCTACGATCGTGGAAACGGCAGATAAAATGAGCTGAGGTGTTGTCCCATGTCTTGGTACCAAAGGACTGAATAAACAGCACTCATGCTTGTGTCAAAAAGCTTTACATGCCGTGGTAATGTTGGTATCATTCAGATGCAAGTCAGGATGTTTAGTGAGATTGATGGAGAAACATGTGAGCGAGTCGTGACTAATGTGCAAACTTTTTTTCTTCGTCGCATACCGTATGTTCTTGATGATAGTCACTTACCAGGTTAGACTGGACTGGATAAGGCCTACAGTGACACTGCCCGTTCTCTGTCAATCTTTCTGCAAGTTTCTCGATTTTGGAATTTCACAGAAATTCGGCCGAGAGTTGTTGACAGTGGGTTCGACGCTCGGGGCACCCTCGGCGGTTTCCTCTTTCCATCCAACTTTCAAACTCACGGTTCACGTTTGACAACCAAGCCTTGCATCTATTCCTCCTTTCCGGACCCGCAAGTAGTGCTGGGAAACCTGATATGGAACAGCCCGTGATATTAGAGAGAAGCGAAGAAACTCCGGAGAGCGCGTTATTGACCATTCTGTCAGCTCTGCAATCTTCTCTCAGATTTCAACAACTGCACAACTCTCAGTTTTCAGAGACTTGACATCTCTAGCCTTCATGATCAGAGCCATCGATATGCGCAGGGCACCGGTCAGTCTTTTGCCATACATGGCAATCATAGCATCCATCATCTTTGGTATCGACCTCGCCTATTCTCTCATCCGACGAAAGCTCACCTGGCACCGGATTGCTCAAAACATTGTCGTTTGGTCATGCAGTGTGGGCCTCCTTCACCTATCGCAGCCTCGCGAGGTTTGGACATTTTGTCTCGCCTTGGGCTACACGGTCTGGAATCTGCTTCCAGGATCATTCGCGTCTTTGAACATGCCGAGTCATTCGACTTTCATGCGAACTTTGAAAGTTCAAGACAAGCAGGCAGAATGCATGGTCTGCTGGGAGGAGCTCTGTCTTGCAACACTCCCTTGTAGACACGAAGCCTGCGAGCGCTGCTTACAATTGATGGGTGATCATTGCCAAACAGCCTGTCCTATGTGTCGGAAACCACTGTTCGGTGTGCTTGACTGGCAAGTCCTGGCGGCTATGAAGACATCTGTCGTATCTATGGCAATCACTAGCACTGTTTGCTTTCCCGAGGCGTTGCACGAGATCCTCCGCAGACATTACCTGCATGGTGGAATATGGATGGCCTGCCATTTCCTAGTTGGGTTTATGCTTTGGTTGATCGTAACTCGAGGCATTATTCCGAGGAAGGAAACTTGGTGGCGACTGACACCTGGAGCTTGGAGACTGGGAAATATCTGTGTGATGCTCGGGGCTAGCATCTATTCGGTTGTGTTGAAGTTGTGGCTGTTTGAAGGAAAGTTCAGATGAAAGATAGTCGGTACTTTCCCTTCTCTTCCGCTATGACTGTACCCAAAGAGCCCAATAATTTCCTTTAACTTCGCAAAGTTCCTGGTGTCGCCCTCTTTCGACGATTTCGCCTTCATGCAGCACCAATATTTGATCCGCATCGGCGATAGTGCTTAGGCGATGGGCAACGACGAGGACAGTCCTCCCTTGTTTGAGCCTTTCAAGCGCACCCTTGACCTTTCCTTCCGTCACTGTATCAATAGCGCTTGTCGCTTCATCTAGCAATACGATTGGCGTGTTTCTTAACAGTGCCCTTGCGATGGCTAGTCTCTGCGCCTCGCCACCAGATAGCTTGACGCCACGCTCTCCGACCTGCGTGTTGTAGCCATCAGAATGACGCATGATGGTATCATGAATTGCAGCTGCACGGCACGCTTCAAAGACCTCTTCATCCGTCGCCGAGCTACGTGCATAGCGAACATTCTCTATGATTGAGGCGTTGAAGAACATTGGCGTCTGAGGAACAACGCTGATGGCATCGCGAAGGGAACTCAAAGTGACGTTCTGTATCTGCTGGTCAGATATCGTGATGCTGCCAGATGTGATGTCGTGTAGTCGTAGCAAAAGTTTCAGAATGGAAGATTTGCCAGCGCCGGTCTGCCCGACAAATGCGATAGTTTGACCAGGCGAAGCAGTGAATGAAATGTTGCGTAGCGCATAACGGCCTTCGTCGTACATGAAAGATACGTCTTCGAAGCGAACTCCGCCATCGCGAACAGCAAGCGGATGTGCTTCGGGTGCATCTACAACCGAAGGTTTCGTCTTCAACAACAGAAGAAGTCGTTCAGCATCCACAAAGTCACCTGCTAACCATCGGATATGGTTGATCAGGTATTGAAGTGGGTAAATGATTGCATCCCAATATGTCAGGAAGAAGACGAAGTCCCCAGGCGGAGTTTTTCCAGCTGCGATACGCTGCAAAATCATGTAGGCAAGTGCAAACCAAGTCGCGGGTATTGAAAGCTCCACCACAGCTTGTATCAATGCCTGCTTTCTTTCAAACTTCGCCCTTGTTGCCGAGTGAGTAAAGACTGCGTCCGAGAGGGTTTTGGCCTCACGCTTGAACTGATTGAAGTAGGCCACGGTCTGCCATCCTTGAATAGCTTGATGTATTTTGCGGATCTGGAATCGCTCCGCTCTAGCCGTGTCTCTCCGGTTAGCAGCTGTGAGTTTGGTCGAGAAGCCTTGTGCGATCAGGTAGATAATGCACGAACCGAGCAATATCAATGCCACTGCAGGGTTGAACTTTCGGTAAAATATCGCACAAGCGACAATGACATCTACCAGCGGCGGTGCGATGTCGAAGACCACTGTTTGGAGTACCATGCCTAGCGACTCGCCTTGTTCGACTGCTTTCATGACCTCAGCCGAGTCTTGTGTAGAATGAAAATCAATCGACTGAGCCATGACATGGTTGAAAGCCGCATTGGTGAGACCCCGGTATGAGAATTGCTTGATGGGAATCTTGGATAACTCTTGGACAAGTAACAGGCCAGACTCACAATTAGCAACGTCCAGTGCAAGGAAGATGAGCAGTTCTCGGATTGGCATGACACCAGACGTGATCTTGTCCGCAATTAGTCCGAGCGTGTATGGAATAGCAGCTTGTATGACTCTTTCCAGAGTGAAAGTAATGATGCAGAGGAGTAAGCATAGTTGTATTTTGAAGTCTTTCCGAGGAACCACGAAAGGAATGAAGATTGTGAAATCCCGAAGATAGCCAAGCCAGCCATTGGTTTCGCTCAATCTTTTGGCGCGCGCATCCTTCACGTCTTGATCATCGTCACTCTCGTCGTCGCTGATGTCGTCTAAAACCTCGATATAGTCGTCTGTAGGAGTTTGAGGTAGTGCTAACTCGAGGAGAGGGTCGAAGTCTTCCGAGCCTTGGCCAGGCGATCTTGATGATTGGGGTAACATAGCAGGTATCGGATTAATTCGATATGAGTCGCGGGCGTGTTGTATATGTACGTTGCTGCTAGTAAACTAGGAGTGATGACTCAAGGTAGGTACTTCCATGCACCGTCACCGTGTCTTGGATCATGGAGCTGTGCACCCATCACATCGCGGTCAGTTCTTTAACGGGTCTGGCGGGAGGCTCAACCATCGAACTGGATTTATGGGCGCACATACCCTTTGTGCGCCGGTGCTAGCTCCTATAGGTCAGAAACACGATGTAAAGTCCCTGAAACAGTATTGCAACGCGGCTCATGAAATTCGAGCGTGGAGTTTGTTGTTCAACACTCAAATTCTCGTTCGCGGTCTTCGAGTTGCGACACCGTCCGGGGTCCGCGGGTTACCGTTTCTGAAAAATTGACTCGATACTAGTTGCTCGATTCTTATTGGCCGAGAATTCGAGCTCATCATCAATTGTATATGTCTTTGCTAGTTTGTCAACAGGGGTACTACTTGGTTGTCGGTAGAGTCGCGCTCATCGTCGTCAAGATTGAAATGCTGTGCTTGCTCCTATCTTCTGGTTTCAATCGCCCGAGTCAGGAGATCTGCTTCAGCGGTCGACTTGGGCCTCCAGATGAATGGCGAAGACATTGTGTCTGCAGGTCAAGCAAGACTTCGTGCCAGCACAACGACCACACGGCGGTCTCCTACAAAAATCATTTGCGTCGTTGTCAAGGTAGGTCCAGTGGACCGGAGCACCCAAAAGATTTCTCCAATTGCGCCTCTCGAGCCTCGAAAGAATTGTATGCAGGTTCGGATGCTTACCCGGCCATCGCTTGCTTCAGTCCCATCCACGATATCCGCGCTACCAGCTGCCGATGAGATGTATCTGCGATATGAATCAACAGAGGAAGCGAAGGATCAGATGAAGTCGAGAGAAGGTATGGCCTCGGTGCCTCGGGAGTCGGCGCTGCCTTGCCCCCACATTTTGACGATGTTGAATCATCAAAACAACTTCCGATGCTTTACTCACACCTCCCGACACCATGGACCGCTGCATTTCATGCGACGCTCCTGATTACGGCATCAAGTTCAGCCATGAGGGACACCACAGATTTTAGGCGGGGAGAAACACCCTTGTCGCCTTGCGACAGTCAAAAAGCCGTGAACTCCCTGGCTGCTTCAGCGATCGAGCCTTCGAAACTCGACATCGATCATCAAACGGCTCCATAACCTTGGTCGCCATGGAATCTCCAAACTCTGATCCGGAGAAGCCATCCCCTGTCGGCTCAAATGAAGAGCCAGAAGCATCTCTGACTTGGGATGATTCACGCGAAACGAGAAATCCTATCCACTGGAGCACTCCGAGAAGAGTCTTTCACACCGTTATACCATGTTGTGCAGCGTTTGAAGCGTAAGTTTATGATAGAAACAGTCGAGGAAACTAAATTTGACACATCGCAGCACTTTCGCGACATCTATCATCGTTCCAGCGACGCCAATGTTGATGCAGGAATTTGGCATTCCACGTACACAAGCACTTTTGTCTTTGACCCTCTACACAATGGGTATCGCAATTGGACCATTGTTTATCGCACCTTTGTCGGAAGTCTTTGGCAGAAAATATGTTTACGTCGCTTCGCTCACCATGCTACTGGCTTTTACAGGGGGTGCTGGAGCTGCTCAAAGTTTCGGTACATTACTCGCCTGCCGTTCGCTTGCCGGTATTCTCGGATCTTCCACGGTCGCTATCGGTGCTGGCACGATCGCAGATGTCTGGGCTCTGGGAAAGAGTGGTGGAACAGCATCTTTATTCTTTATCCTTGGACCTTTTCTCGGACCAACCCTTGGCCCACTTGCGGGTGCTTATATATTACATGACCGCAACGATGACTGGAGATGGACCATGTGGCTATTGATGATCGTAGGGGCGCCCATCTGGATTGGATCTATCATCATGAGCGAGACTTCACACACCATCCTTACGCAAAGACATGGCTATGTTCAAGAGCTGGCGAATGGAAAAGGCTTGTTCGCTGCGGCAGCCGAAAAGGTTCTGATTGGAATCAAGCGTCCGACAAAAATGCTATGTACAGAGCCCATTGTCATATCACTCTCACTCTACACCGCATTCGCCTACGCTACAGTGTTCAGCTACTTTGGAAGTGCCTCGTACGTTCTGCAAAGGTATTATCACTTCAACACCCGCGAAGTAGGCCTGAGCTTCATCAGTGTCATCATTGGTTACCTTCTGGCCGCCCTAATGTTTGGCACTTTTGACAAGACCCTCTTCGCAAAGGCAGTAGCAGCTGGTAATGGTACTGCTGCACCAGAGCATCGATTGTACGCTGGTATGGTAGGCAGCATCTTCTTACCAATCAGTCTTTTCTGGTATGCGTGGGAAGTCAAAATGAATGGCAATTGGGCAGCTCTCGTTGCCGCTGGTATACCATTTGGTCTCGGCTCATTCTCCATCTTCGTGAGTAATTTGTTTGATCTTGAGATCTTTTTTGCTCATTATTCTTAGCTGTCTTCGATCACATACATGGTTGATGTATACAAAGCCAGAGCTGCAGCTTCAGGTGAGTTCATTCAAGTTATTGCTGCGTATATCCCCATCTGACTTCTTGACAGCGATCGCAGCAAATGGTGTTTTGCGATATCTTCTTGGTGCAGTGTTTCCACTTTTCACCATTCAGATGTACCAGTCACTTGGCCCCCATTGGGCGAGTAGCATCTTCGCCTTCATTGCTGTCTTGCTCATGCCAATCCCTTGGCTTTTGTTCAAGTTTGGTCACAAGTTGCGATGATGGGGCAGGCGTTCATGTGTAAATTGGGAAGTATGAGGCTCCCTGAAACACACTACACCATTATGCAGAGATGCTGTCGTAAGGTCATCCATGATTCATCACCTCTGCTTCGACATTAACCGCGCTGACTACAACAGAAGGACTGCTGCAACTACAACAACGCCAACCATCCACAAGCTCGCGACTCGCGCTCTCGAAGCACCACCCATGACTGCATCGTCCCAGCACTTTGGATAGCCATTGTTGATCGATGAAGCATCAGCAATCAGAAAACTCTTGATGCTGATTGGAACCGTGTCACACTGTCCTCCAGCCTCACTCTGACACGTCCATCCAATCCAAGGCTCCAAAGTTCGAAGTTTTGATCCGTTGATCGAATGACAGTCTCTTCCCGAGTACACGCTCAGCTGTCTTGCAGCATCTCGTCCTGCGCCAATATTGCCTGTGATGTTGGTCTGCTGATACCACACCTGAGAGTAGTTGGCCTGAAGGTTATAGTTCTCGTTGCCGGATGCGGACCAACTGAAGTTCGTCGGTCGGTTTTGTAGTATCTCACTCTGTTGGACTATTCCGGTATTGTTGTTTTCGATGAACAACTCGTCGAGGTTAAAGCATACGCTGTAGTATGGGATCATGGCTGTCGAAAATGTTATACCCTGTTCAGTGCTTGTATTGGCGCAATTTCCAGCATCATTTTCCGAAAACGTGACAGTCAAGTTAATGCTGGAAGGGGGCTACTATCTTGCAGGGGGTTGGAAATTGAACCACTTACCCATTGCTGGATTGTGCTCGACATTGAGCAAACAACAAGGCCAGAGTGAATATCAACAAGGCCCAGGATTTCGGTGTTGCAGAAGGCATGATTAATGAGACACGGGCGAGTCAGGAATGGACTTGAAGCAAGAACAGAGGGGAAAGCTAGGGCTGGAAGAAGGAGGATATGGCTTGGTCTTGAACAAAACCCTGCAGCTATCTTCTGGGAGTGACGACGTGGGCCAAGGATGTTGCACGGCGGCTTGATTGATTTGCAGCAGTCAACCTGAACCAACACGTCGCACTAGTCGATCACTGCGTCTTGGAAGGATTGAGCCACTGTGTGACTGATAAACGTGTTCAAGGCCGCATGCGGTGGCAACGCCAGGCGGTGTTCTTCCAATTCTGGAAATCCCCACTGGCAAGCAATTCTCACACACACAACTGTCGATGTCGGTGTTGGTATGCACGTTGAGCGAAAAGAAGATAGGGTGCCTTCCAAAAGCTGTTGCCAAGTGGAGGAAGCGATCCCGGAGTCTGGATCGGACCGCGTCCCAAAACATCACCTTTATCAAGGCGGCTAACGTTGAACCCCTGATTTAGCCGCCAGAGGATCAGAAGCAGTCCAAATGCTTTTATTCTGTCAAAAACAGTCGACACATGGTGCAACTCGGATACAAGTTCAGAAATAGCGAGCAACACATGGAATTCGTACGACGACTCTGTCACTCTCATTTAGTCTAGCTATCCAACTCAAAGATCGCTCTCATCTCTTATCGCATGTTTCGGCAGCAGATAGAAGCCATGTTCGTTCCTGCCTGGCAGCCCATGATCTTGGTTGTCGTCGGCGCCACAACCCACACAATGAAGCGGCTCACGGCGAAGAACCTGTTTTGAGCTATTGTTAGTCTCGTTACGAACATTCAAGATGGACCGAGTACCCGCCTCTACATTCGCTGATAGGCCCCGGGTGACCAACTACTCGGCAGTATCCCTTGCATAGGAGCCCAGCGTTTGGTTGATCAGGACCTTCGTTGAGAAAGCATTCTTTCTTGCAATTGTTGACTGGCCCTACGCAGTATTGCATATCAGCATCTCAAAGACTAGGAAGATGATTAACTTACCGTCGTATGCTTTGCCCTTCATGTCTCCCTGCCCTTTGACGCACTTCTGCACGTCGTTCTGCCTTCTGTTGATAGTGGGAGACATCATGACACCTGAAATGGCGATGGTCAAGAGGAAAAATGATAACTTCATGATGAGAACTTTGTGTGTTTGACTGGAATGGTATGTGATTCCTGTGATGGGATCTCTCAAGACAAGGAGAGAACGAGTCCGTATTTGAAGTCTTTCGTCTGAAGAAGTCGTCTTCCGTCGCTGCAGGCCCCATGTGTTGTATCTAGCCATGGCCAACCCAACTCTTGATTCCCTCCTATCCAGGGAAACAACTGCAGATTGTTGTATGCCACAGCGTCATATGCAGTTGGTCATTATGCTAATGCACAGCCTGGACAATGACGGCGAGTCACGACTGGTGTCCTGCAACCTGTAACTTCGTGAAAGGAGAGAAGTTCACGACTGAAGCAAAAATAGATTTGTAGATCCGTTTTGCGTTCTCTCACACAAGCCAGCGATGTGACTGTTCTAGCAACCAGAATACCTGCAAATATTGTGGCGGTGAAGCCAAGAATTTGATGTATAGTTCCCCTCAACAAGCAGCACAGCTTGTTGGAGACGATGTGGCCTTACAAGACCGCCAGGGCCATTTGCCGTGCCGCAGCAAGCATCCGGAAACGACATACACCAATTCAGGTACCAAAACTGCGTTGAAAATTTGCTAGAGGGTAACAGATGTTCCCTGCGACCAGTAAATCATATAAAGAACTGTGTCTCGAGCTATCGCAATCTCTCCTACCATCCAAGTCATTCGTCCTCGTTCCTATCATTTCATCAACTCATCAAAACAGTAGCTCCTCGTCAGACCTTCTCATCGAACCATCGCTATGTCCGTGGGATTCATCGACGCCGATGGCTTGCTCAGCGGAGGTCTGGGGATTGTCGACTTTTTCAAAGGCCTCCTTCCAGAAGACCAAGCACCGCAAGGAACCACAGTCAACATCAAAGTCGGGATATCTCGAATCGGTGATGATGTCAACAACCTAGTGAGTTCTGTCTTTCTCCAGCACAGCAATTTCACTGACAGTTCAAAACTAGGGCGGAAAATTCAGTGCTGTCTATGGTTTCAACATTCTCAACGAATTCATCGGGCAAGCAAATGGTCAGAAAGTGGCAGAGGGCGATTCGGTTACCTTCACGATTGATCAAAGCTCTCCTGGCGAACAAGCATCTTTCGTGGGAATCTCGAATGCGGCAGATGCCACTTGTATCTCTTGGATTGCCGTCGGACAGCGCGACGATACACCTGGAGGCGCATGGACAGGAGATATCGGAGCTGAATGTCTACAAAGATGGCACGTCGGCAACCAAAAGGCTGGCAAGTTCAAGGACTCAAACGTGGACTATATTCCCAGATGTTTGTAAGATGTGAACGACTTGGGAGCTATGACTGACTTGATCCCAGGTACATGGGTCGACTCTGATTACACAGATGGTACCGTCAGTGCAGCTATGAAGTTCAGAACTTCGGCGTATGGCGAAAATGTCCAAGATACAGTGGGCAACAACGATCATTGCGCATTCACTATCTTTGGAAAGGATGATGGATCGATTGCTGGTAAGTCAAACAGGTGTTCATCTCCACTCTCCATGCGTGCTGATGATACCCAACAGGACAACTTGCCAAACGATCCGACTTCGACCGTCCTGAATGGATTATCAACCGCCTCATCACTTCTGATATTTCAAGTCAGCTTGCAAAAGAGCTTTGCTACTCCAACACATCCTGGGGTCCTGACTTCATCGGCGCCGATGGATACTTCTGTGAAATGAGCAAGAAGAAACTCTTGCCGCTGTGTTCAACGGAGGACGTCAATGGATGTATCGAGTACGATGCTACAGAGAAGACCATTCTGAAGCGCTCGACAATCGCAAGATGTGAGGTCAAGTCAGTGCACAAGTCCTACGAAACCATCACTCATAACAGCAATTCCTCCTGAACAGTGGATAAGAGAACCGGCGGTCTTGGACATGGCGGACTTTAGGATTGTGGGCTTTGTAAGCCTTGCAAAGCAGCGATATATTCTAATTTGGTTGAGTACAGCAAAGCTAGCTGTCTAAGAGCGTCTCAGATTGATTGCGATATCTCTCATATTAGTGGATGCAAATATGTTTCTACTCCTTCGAAAGGATTTTGATAAAGTCTTCCTTGCGCTCAGTTGCCCACTGTTTGAATGTCAAGGCAGGTCTTCCAAGCACATAAGGAACGTCGTCCCGAATGGTTCCGATGTAGCCCATCTGACCATCAGCAACCTGCCTCATGAAATCGGTGCTGCCTCCAGCATACCACGGCTCTGCTCCTGAATCCGGAGCTGAGACCAAGGCCTTGAAATCTTCCCATGTCTTGAGACTGAAAGTGATGCTGCGGCCGGTGGTTTCGCTGAAGATGGAAGCAACTTCTGATTCGTCCAACACATCGATGCTCATCCCGTAATCACGTTCATTGTGCTTCTCTGGCCCCTCATGCAGGACTGCTGCTGCCATCGCTGCGATATCGCTCACAGCAACCCATCCCACACAAGCTGTCCCCCAGTAAAGCATCAGTTGAGTCTTCTTCGGGACGGTGGCGCCGAATAGGTTGTCCGTGAAGACGTTTGGGTGGAGGTTCGTCCAGGCGATACCACTGGCCTTGATGTATGTTTCGATCATTTGGTGCCAGACAAGATGAGGGTCAGTGGTATCCCACTCGCCAAAGATTCCCAGATGGACAATATGCTTCACCCCTGCCTTTTTGGCAGCGTCTATGAAGGTCTTGCTTTGCGTGAGCATTGCCACCGTGTAGCCTGTCAATAGAAAGGCGCGATCCACCCCTGCCAGAGCGAGTGCGAAGGTGCTCGGATCATCCAGATCCAACTTGACCGCCTCTTTACCCTCCTTGCGAAAATCTTCCACGGCATTTCACGCCGAGAACATAGGCGAAGGCGAATGTCGTGGTTCTCTTCAAGATGTTTGCCGACCAAGCTGCCAATCTGGCCGGACGAGCCAAGAATCAAGATGGTTGGTTTCGTGGTTGAGACACTCATTGTAGATGTTTGGATGATGTAGTCTGTCAAAGCTGACTCGGGATGCGTTGATTCGAGATTAGAAAGGCGATCGCGTCGCGGCTTTCCATGAAATGGCGTATCCAGGAGGGTCGTACGCAGAGTATGCGCTTGGGTGGGACTGGACCACTTTCCACATTCCTCCATAGATTTCCTTTGAGGGTACGTCGTTCTCTGTAACTACTGAATGATTTGCATTGACCTTGTGAATGTAGAAGCTGCGACGATCCCACTCGCGGCTTTCACTGCCTCTGTCGCACTGTTCCGCAATCTCCAACTTCCTACTTCTTGGAATCCTGCAACCAAACCTACACCTTTGGTGCAAATACATCTGTCGGTGCATACGCTGTCAAGCTTGCACGCAACAGCAACATTCAACCAATCATCGCAATCGCTGGAAAGGGCACCGACTACGTCAAAACCATTGTTGATACCACCAAAGGCGATGCAATCTTCGACTACAGAGATGGTGCGGACGAGATGATAAGCAAGATCAAGAAGCACCTTGAGGCTGGGAACTACGGCCCAGTGCTTCATGGACTGGACCCAGTCATTGGAAAATCGAGTCAGAAGGTTCTGAATGAGATCGTCACGCCTGAGGGCGCAATTAATCTTGTCATGCCGAGCGACGCAGAGATAACGTCTGCCACCAAGACCATCACTTCGGTCGGCGTGGTACACAATACTGACAACGGGTCTCATGGAGCAGACGCTCGTGATTTGGGATTGGTGACAGCTCGCTGGCTCACGAAGGCTATGCAAGCGGGAACTTCCAAAGGCCGTCCTTTTGAGGTCCGGCCTGGAGGTCTGCACGCAGTAGACCAGGCATTAAAAGACTTGAAGGATGGAAAGAACAGTGCTACGAAGTATGTTTTTCGCATTGAAGATACGCCTGCTTCATGACAATCTAGGCAAAGATAGCATGTCTACACGCTTTAACGACCACATCGATTGTAAACCTCATGCGAATACAATGGCAAGTCATCTCATGTTCCCACTTCGCGACAAAGGGTGCTTGAAGTCTCAACAATACTCAATAACGTTCTGTTCCTTACTCGATGATTATCTAAATCGTTCCTGAAAAAAGTACGGACGTCCATCTTTCAGAATGAGGTCATGAGTGTCCCTGACTTCCTCAGAGTGGACACAAGCTGGTTGACCGTTTGATTTCACGGCAATGCAACTGTGCCAAGGCGACTTCTGGAATCCGCCATCTGCCCCCGGGATCAATGCTATGGAAAGCTTGGAAGCACCTGAGGATGGATGCATCGATAGGCGGACGTGGTGAGGAAACAGGGCCCGAATGGCGCCTGTGAACGCTTCGGATCGTCTCATCATCTTCTTTGCCGTCTTCTTGTATAGTCTAATTCTGGCACTGCTTCCTAGCCCTTTGAGCGACACACTCGTCTCCATCTCGGATTGTAAAAACTTGACCATGCCGCAGTAGGTCAGCATTGTATCCTTGTCGCTCTTGATTAGCTCTGTAAGGTGTTGCTCTGTTGGAGCGAAACGTGTTTCGAGCTCCTCACGGCACAGATGTGCCGTGTCGAGGAATGCTTTCTCCGTTAAGCCATCGTCGCAGATGAAGCCAAGCACACTCATGCAAGGCCTGAACCTGATGTGTTCTAGTTCTTTCTCTTTGATGATAGCTTGAAGCTCGACTCCATAGTCCCAACAATCTTGATCGCTGATACCAAGGACATCTAGCATCAGACGTTAGCACCGGAGTTGCTGTGGATCTCGTCACACTCACCGTTGAATAGAACTCCGTCAGAGGCGATGTTAACCATGGCCCCGAACTCATAGATCTTCTTGACATCCTTGGCCATTGCATTTAAACGGCGAAGAGCAAGTTCTTCTCCAAGGTCTGGGAGATGGCCTAGGACTTTGTTCTCGCGGTTCAGCTACAGATATGTTAGCCAAACGGGTATCTTAGGTTGATGAGACAAACTCACACTCTTGCATGGGAAAGCTGGCATCGTGAGCTGGACCGGTGAAGATCTCGAGATGTGATGATAGACATGGGGCAAGAACCGGAGTTTTCCGCTCCATGAGGCATGGCCTGTGGGTGTAGTGGTATCTGACAATCCGATATGGGTGCCATACTTCTCTAGGACATTCAAAACATCGAACGATAGACGGAAGTGTTCTGCCTCGATGGAGAAATCACCAAGTACATCGGGCGAGGAGGTTGAACGGGATGTAAATGTCTCTTCGGAGTCTGATTGAGAGTCGTCATGTATCTCTGTCACGGCGGTGTGAACTCCTTTGACTTTCTCGACAACAAGACCTGAAATACTGTTTGCAAGGTCAGAGTCATCCGACGAGTAAATTGAAACTGCAGCAGGTGCCATGGTGTTGATCTTGGGGTCTGAAGTCTTGATCTGAGAGTAAGGCTTGTTGTTGTTGAGCGACAAATCCAAGCTTTCCCACTGCTATTTGTATGCTTTGCTATCTGGATGCTGATACATCTAGCAATCCTTCCGGAGCTGTACAAGCGTACACGGTGGATTCTCGCAGCAACTTCTCCACCAATCAACTTGATGCGTGGTTAACAAAACGCTTTCTGGAATCCTTCGCTCCGTCTCGTCAGGCTTTCGTGCTACACCTGCGCAAGCGATTGCAGCGCAATATTATCCCGATGTGGCAAATGGTATCTCAAGTTTTTTACGTTGACCTGGGCGCCACTATCCCCACGGCTACCTAGAAGGATTTTCTGCAAGTTCACGTAAGTTTGCTTTGGCGCTTGTATATCACGTTGAGAATGCAGTCATCTCAAAAGCCTGGCAGTTTCAGCTGCAGCTGCTTTGTAATCCCCGAAGTAGTCAAGTACATGCCGTTTTCCAGATATGAAGCAGGCATACGATTCCGAAGTCGACGTCCATTTTGGAAATTCAGAGCACGAACGATTATCCCTCCAGCCTGTCAAGCAATCCAAGATGCCTTCCCGCCAAGTTAATCCAGATTCTCCCTCTCCTTTTGGAGTATTGCAAAACCTACGACCTGAACTTCCATACCCAAATGCTGCACTATCTTATTGGCATCGCACAACACGTGGATTTCCTTATCTCAGAGCAAATGAAACCGGTCCGCTGCCGACCACCATGCCCTACGCCATCATCGGATCGGGCCTCTCAGGCGCATTGACAGCGTTCGAGCTTATTCAAGCGGGCGTTAGACCTGATGAAATTCTGATTCTGGAAGCCAGAGAAGCTGTCTCTGGCTCAACCGGCCGCAATGCAGGCCATGTCCGTCCTGATGCTTGCAGTGGGTTCAACGATTATGCTGCTATCCACGGAACAGACGAGGCTCTACATATCGTCAACAACGAGCGAGTTGTTCTAACTTCCGTTCAACAATTTGTCCAAAAGCACAACATCGATTGCGATTTCCAACCCAAGCAAACTTTCGATGTTTGTCTTACTCGAGAAATTGCACAGGACGAGATGGACAACGTCGAACAGTATGCCAATGCTGGCGGCAGCTTGGACCATATCAAATTACATGAAGGCGATGCTGCGAAATTCCGGACTGGCGTGCGCGATGCTCTGACTGCATGGGAGTGGCCAGCGGCCTCGATCCATCCTGTGAAACTTGCGCAGTGGTTACTCACCGACTCCATAGAGAAAGGCTGCAGACTGTACACCAACTGTCCAGTCAGCCAAGTCACTCGAGGAGAAAACGACAAATGGAATATTCACACAGATCGAGGAGTCGTGGCTGCAGGCAGAGTCATACATTGTACCAACGCATATGCAGGAGCTCTACTTCCTCAGCTGTCAGCAATGCTTCTCACCCCAATCAAAGTACAGATGCACTCACTGATCCCGACTCAAGCTTTCTCAGGCAGCAATGTCTTGAAGACCTCAATGGCTCTCAGATATGAAAAGCACCGTTATTATGCTTTGACTCAAATGGCGGTAGATGGCATGATAATTTTCGGTGTCGCCAAACCCAGCGGGTTTACGTTTGATGAAACGTCTTACACCGATGAGTTGGTGATGGAAGGTCTGGAGAAGTTTGATTCGTTGTTCCCGAGAGCACACTATCAGAAGAAGAGGCATGGAGAAGGCTTGGACCATGCTTGGTCAGGTCTGATTGCCATGACCCCTGACAAGGTGCCCTACATTGGTGAGATCGATGGTTTTGAAGGACAGTTCATTTGTGCTGGTTTCAACGGACATGGTATGGCCCGTATCTTCAGCTGTGTGCCTGGTTTAGTCAAGCTGGTGCTTGGTGGGTCGTGGCAGGACACGAAGCTTCCCGAGTCTTTTCGTTACAGTCATGGAAGATTGAACAAGGCTCTTGCAGGTGATGGACTCTAGTATAGTTGTGGTCTATTCATAATGAAACCTTGTTACATGACGCTGCATTACTTCACATTACTGTCGTTCTGCTCGGTGAAGATTCGCAAAATCACTGCAATTACCAAGTCGAAGCTGCGTCGGATGTCCCAATTTTGACGTCGGATGAATTCTTCCGCCCACGTCCTTTGGGAGACATCGCTGGTGCGACTATAATAGATCGAAGGACTTTGACGTGATGCTGGTATGATCGGATGAATCATGCTTGCAGAGTCTACTCAAACGCCAGAACTAATTTAGGATGAGGTGCGCTTTATCGCGTTGCCGCGGCGTTATTGTCGAGATCCAAACGCGATGATTTCGTGATGCAGCTGAGTTGAGATGCAGCATGAAGGCAGGAGGACAGTTTCTCCCGTAATCTTCTCGTGATCGGCGCATTCAACACGTTATGGTCACTGCGCGAATATGCGCCACAGTTCGCTTACACTCGGCTACCCAGCGACTCCCGTACTCCAGCCTTACCCGCTACGCATGAAATTCCACGCTCTGACTGCGATTGTGCCCTTCAACGAAGCTCATGACTCTATTCCGTCGCATTCACGACAACGCCCAGCGCCCGGACAGCCAACAAAGTGAGGCCTTCCACGTTGTGCCCAGGCTTTCCGAGATAGTCCAGAACCCCGAGATCCTTCAGCTACTCACTCTCCATTCCATAGAAGTTTGCTCGTCTCATGCTCGCTTGAGGATTGATCCTTTTCAGCTTTGCTAGCTTTACTAACATTATGGCTTTCGATCAGGTGGTGACAAGACCGTCTCCTCAGCTAAGGCTTGCAACGGCCACGCTCAGTTCCTCTGTTGTCAATCGAGACTACGCGGCATGAAGGAGTTGGAGGATGCTTCCTCTCTCAGCTATCGGAGAGAATCTATTCCAGGCTCCCGCTCTGGTCTCTGTCGGATGATTTAAATCAAACATTCTTGCCGCAAGAATGTGAGCTTTCATCACATCGAGCTCCCATCTTCAAGCGCCAGCATGAGCTTTCTTTTCAGCGCCGCCGGGCTTTTCTTGACCCTTGCTTCCATCTCACAAGCAGCACCTTTCGTATACAACAAGAACTTGTTGCCTCGAAACAGTGTTCAAGCGACTCCTGGATCAGCGATCTACGACTACGTTGTTGTCGGAGGAGGTACTGCTGGTCTGGCGATAGCGGCAAGACTCTCGGAAGACGGCTCGAGAAGCGTGGCAGTCATTGAAGCTGGCACGTACTACGAAAGCTTTGGCAACACAAGCGAAATCCCGCTCTTCGACTCTTCTTGGACTGGAAAAGACCCGAAAGACACAAATCCCAACCTGGATTGGGACTTTGTCACAGTCCCGCAGAAGGTCAGTAATTATTGTTCTTGTTGCTGGGGGAATTCTAAACTGATTCGGTATGACAGGGAGTGTTCGGTGCAGAGATTCACTACCCTCGAGGCAAATGTCTGGGAGGTAGCAGCGCTCGTAACTACATGGGCTATCTCAGAGGCACCAAAGGCTCTTACCAACAGTGGGCTGACATGGTAGGAGACAGCTCTTACACATACGACAAATGGTTGCCTTATTTCCAAAAGAGTCTCGATTTCACTCCCCCGGACATGGCCAAGCGAGCCTTGAACGCTACACCGCAGTATGACTCTGCTAGTCTCGGAACGGGTGGTCCGCTCTCCATCACTTTCCCGAATTACGCTCAGGCAATGTCTTCGTGGGTCCAGAAAGGGATGCAAGAAGTTGGTATTGCAGTCAGCAATGGAGTCACAAGTGGAGTCCTCATGGGCTCGTCCTATGTCATTGCGACTCTCCAACACAATCAGAAGCGCGAGTCATCTGAGACCGCTTTCTTGACTTCTGCATCAAGTCGTTCCAACTTGCATATCTACACCAACACCATGGCCAAGAAGGTTGTCTTCTCCGGCAAAAAGGCAAAGGGTGTCCTTGCTTCGACCGGAAGTCAGCAATATACCTTGTCGGCAAAACGCGAAGTCATCCTCTCGGCGGGAGCTTTCCAGTCACCCCAACTGCTGATGGTCTCTGGTATCGGCCCTGCTGCCACCCTGTCGAAGTACAAGATTCCCGTCATCGCGGACCGTCCTGGTGTAGGTCAGAATCTGCAAGATCATATCTTGATGGGGCCCAGCTACCGTGTTAATGTCATCACTGCATCGGCCATGGCGAACCCTGCTTTTGCTGCTCAGGCCGTGGACCTATTCAACACGCAACAATCGGGTATCTTGACCAGTCCCGTGGGCGACTTCGGCGGATGGGAAAAACTTCCAGCACATCTGCGAGGCAACTTCTCCTCGGCCACACGATCGGTCCTTAACTCACTCCAGCCAGATTGGCCTGAGATTGAGTTTCTCAGTATGGGAGGCTACCTGGGCTACCAAGAGAACGGAAGTCAACCAGCAGATGAATACAATTATGCTACTATCGCCATTGCACTTGAAGCCCCTCAATCACGCGGTTCGGTCACTATCAGCAGTGCCGATACAAACGATGCGCCCGTCATTGATCCCGGATGGTTAACAAGCCCGGTCGATCAAGAAGTCGCGTTGGCTGGCTATAGACGCGTGCGCGAGATCTTCGCTACAAAGGCCATCGCCCCAGCCTTGATTGGTCAGGAAGTTTTCCCTGGTCTTCAGGTACGTGATCTTCATCATGTGTAGTTACGCATTTACATTTCAGCTAACTTTCAACAGGTCTCCTCGGATGCCGACCTGCTCCAGCTGATCAAGCAATCTGTTGGCTCAGTCTTTCACGCTTCGTGCACCTGCGCCATGGGTAAAAAGGGTGACAAGAATGCCGTTGTCGATTCGAATGCCAATGTCATCGGCGTTACTGGACTTCGTGTGGTCGACGCCAGCTCTTTCCCCTTCTTACTTCCAGGGCATCCCATGGCTACAGTTTGTGAGTATATATCCTCTCCCAGCCGACTTGATGATGTTCTTGAATTGCTGACAGAAAAAGACGCCTTGGCCGAGAAGATTGCCGCTCAGATCTTGCATTCGTGATCGCCGGATCGTCATCGGAATTGTGAAGGATGTTGACAGTCTGGGTTGCGAATCCAGGGAGCTGATTGATACACGGAGTTTTGGTGCTAAGTAATTGTATACGGTTGTGTATAAGGGAGTAAATGAACTAGTTTCACCCGTCTTCACAAGTCTTTGGTGATAGTTTTTCTTGTCGCAAAGCTGGACCGCTATCTCACATGTTGGTACTGCTGCATGGTCGGACCTGTCTTTTTTCCCCTCAAAATCTGTTGGCACAATCGCTGCTGCATGAAGTTGGACCTACGAGGCGAAGCCTTGAATCTTCAGTCTCAAGTAGATCTAAACAGAACTGTATCACGTATCCCACACCTTCATCACCAAGACACAATTATGTTTACAGATCCTATGAGTGATATGAATCAGAGGAACAACCCACGGCGCCCATTACAAATTGGACTAAAACTGGGATCTTTTGCTCTTACTGTCGAACATATATCAGAGTACGAATGTTATCGGATTTCTGTATATCATTACTATGATCATCCATCCTCCTTAGATCGGCCGCAGCAAGACTGTTGAGATCTATGCATAATCTGCCATTACAGATTCGCCCTGACCGTATACACAGCGAGACCTAGGGCATCACGTGTTTGGGCAATTATAAGGACAGAACTCGTGATTGATCTCCTGCCTCCGGATGACATTGGCCTACATCGCAACAGCAGGCGCCATCTTGACCGTCTGTAAAGGTATGTTAGTTTCGGGTAATTTACGAGGAATCTACAAGACATACTCTTAGACCAAGCGAAGCCCCAATACCGACAGCAGCAGCGACATAGACGGGGACGAATCTGTTACAATTTTCGGGTCAGCCATGGGCAAACTATGCGGCTGGTGGTAGTCAAGACTAGACACTTACACTTTCGCCATTGATTGAACGATGATGTTGAGGGTCTCAGCACGTTGCGTGGGATCAAGGGAAGCCAAAAACTCTCCACTGAGACCAAGTAAAGCTCCTTGAAGTTCTGACTTTGAATGACTAACGAGCAACGATTGCAGGCTCTCGAGGGCGGTGTTTACGAACAGTGAGCCACAGATCGACAAGGCGAGGGAGACACTAAGCAATTGAGCTAGGAAGATGTCAGCGATATGACAGTCTTATCAATGAGCATTGTTGTGGAAAATATACCGATCATGATGAAAGCAATACCCGATGACACAAGTTCAGGGTTTGTGATTGTCTGGATGACGGAAAACCCAGACTGCATTCCACATCCAGATCCAATGCCGAGGAGGACAGAGTATCCGTAGATGTGTGCCGTAGATGTGTTGACATCAATAAGTGCTAGAAAAGAAGAGTGTGTTAGTATTCAGATGATTGGATGACCATCCGAGTCTAAGTGTTACACTTACAGAAGAGAACACCCGCGACCAGCACGAGCATGCTACCGACCAAGAACCATGGCATATAGTATCCACCTTTTGACAGGTAACTGCCGTTTACCATGATCATGAATGTGATTGTGATGATGAGTGGGAGCAAACGCACGCCAGCCTCTAGCGGCGAGTCGCCTCTTGTGAATTGAAAATACATCGGGATGTAGTAGATGGGGACAAAACCGGCTGAGTTGAAGGTCGCTGTCAAGACAAACAACAAGATCGTTTCTTGGTTTCGGAGAAGCGTGGCTGGGAATAGCCGGGATGCCTTGGTGGTGAGAAGTGCTGCTCGTTGTTGGAGAATGAATGCTACCAACAGAGCCCCAGCGAGGACGAACGGCACAATGATTGATGCACTCTTCCAGGCATAGAGGGTGCCTCCGAAGTTGATTCCCATGACTAGGCAGACAAGACATCCGATGCTGAGAATTGTACCAAGGGCGTCGACCTGTGCGAATCGGGCGAGAATGGTTCGTGTAGGTTGAGGCCTATAGCTTGGGATGAGGAAGAGATAGACTGGACTCAGTAGGCCGATCAAACAAAGATTGATGTAGAAACCCCATCGCCATGTTGCGCTCGAATCAGCAAATGCGCCGCCAATGAGAGGACCGATCACGTTGCCGACACCGAAGATGAGACCACTATGAGGGTCAGAGGGTTTTAGGGTCCTAGGCTGATGACAGAGAGGTTGACATCAAGCAATGATGCAGACTTACACGAGCCCCAAATACATCGGCCTCTCCTTTCCGGTAGTGTTGCATGACAGCAATGTCATAACGCCCAGGTATATCCCGATACCGCCAACGCCAGCGATGACACGACCCACAATGAAAGCGTTGACGTTCGGTGCTGCACCACACAGAGCTGAACCGATCGAGAAGAGAACAATGCAAACAATGTACATCTTCTTTGCATCAAACATGGCGTACATGCTGCCGAAGGGGAGTACAAAACTCACACCTCCGATCATGAAACTGCAATCCTGTTAGTCGGACTATTGCGTATGATTGCGAAAGGCCACAGGACCTACGAAACTGAGAGCCATGGCAACTTGTCAACTCCTCCCATGTCTTTCACAATGACCTATACGCTTGTGAGCTTCATCTTCCACGATTGAGATCAGGAATTTCCGCGAACAGGGATGACATCGGCGGTGATGGTGTTGTCCAAAGCATAAAGCAATACGCTTGACAAGATGCTCAGCACAACGAGTAACCACTATGACTTTATTAGTATGTAGCTCCTGGACATGGGCGTTTTGCACATCTTGCACATCTCACCTTGAGTCCTTTGAGCTTTCGAGTCTCAGGTAGCTCGCTTGGTGATTCTGAAGCGGGACTTGCAAGGGACTCAACATCGTGTGTAATGAGATTAGTAGGCTGGGCGTCTGGGAAAGACGATTTCTCTGCTGGAATCATTGTGAGGGTATTCTCGAATCGGTGAAGAGGCCGCTACGAAACAAGAGCAGCGTGATCGATAACAGATGGAAATGTGGGAGCTTGTACAGGATAGAGACCTTCGGGCTTCAGACGATCATTTACACAAACGAGCATACTTCGGATGAATTGGCAATTCCGCCAGGCCGCCTCAAACGAAGAGTCCCTGCGTTTTAGCTACAGCAACGCGCCGCAGGATTGGGCTTGCCAGATCTGACTAGCTTCAGGACCCCCTGCCGGAAGGATTTTGCCAAGCATCACCACATAGTGCATGTCTTTACGTGATTGTTCGCATCTTTGTAAGCACTCAATTGGGTATTTGCACTGTGTCTCACATGATACCAACTTTGAGAGGCAGTCAGATGATAGCGGGCGCCCGAAAAGCCAGGGTCACAATTACCGGCGAAGACAAACCTACTTTCTGAGAAGACCAGAATATGAGAAGAGCAATACTTACAAAAGGGAAGGATGCAATTGCTCGTTCCTTGCTCGTCAACCCCAATGCAGCTCACAGTACTGTCACATTCTGATGTGCTCAACTGTACAATTTTTGTTTCCATGGCACCTCAGTATTCAATCGAGTCATGTCTACCCCTGGGCTTAACGCGGTACATGCCACGATTGCAGTTCATTGACAAGATTGATTGGATACTTAAATTGACGAGAAGAAATATGCTATTGTTTGTTGTTCTGTTACCATCACCGAATTAGCCTTCGTGTCATGATCTCGTCCAGATAGTTGTCGGTGATTTGAGCCCTGCTCTTCTGGAATGACGACACAGTCTGCTGTACTGCAACTATAAGAGACTCCCTGAGCTTGATTGACTGCACGGTACCCTGCTCAAATCCAATCTCCAATCGTGCCAACTCTTCATCATTCTCCAGAAAGAAGTTCAGGTACTCAAAGAGCGTTTCTACGTTGAAGCTCGCATCGTCAGGGAAGGCAAGCTCAATCTTTTGTCGCACCAATGCGCGTTCATCAGTCAGAAAGACTGCTGACACAGGGACTGAAGCTGACATCTTCGCCTCTGGCCCTTGCAAAGAAGGCAGAAGGCTTGAGTAGAGGAAAGCAGCTCGTTGAGAGCCCAAAGCTTCGGCATACTTTCTCACCTCGCTGAAATAGCCGTCGATATCCCAAGAGCAGGCAATCAGACATCCCATCTTTTGAAGTAAGACTCGGTCTTCCTGTCCAAGGATATCGGGGAAGGACGTTGCGAATGTGCCTGCGCTTTGAGTTGAGCAGCAATAGAACATGCCGACATTGTGTTCATCCTCAAAGCCAAGCGCCTGTTTAATGTCCGAGACTTTGATCATACGGGCAATGCGAATGATATTCTGATAAAATGCCCCTCCGACGAAATCGAGATTCGAAAACATAAATGTCTTTTGCGGATTGAATGAGAAGGCAAGTATGTCTTTGGCGTTATCCACTGTGTATCGCTTCACTGTGTGTACATCCAAGGAAGCAGAATGTAGAAGCTTCATGTCATCGGTGAGCATCATGATAAGCGGAGCATCGAAAACATCTTGAAGCCATCTAGAATTGATCAGTACTAGTACATTCAAGGAAGGAATGGTCAACATACTTTGTGAATTCGAACGGTATAGAATGCCCAAGATGCAGACTCTCACTGCTTGGACCGCGTCCAGTGAAGAGATAAAATGGTTCCTTGCGTTCATATTTATCAAGTATGATCTCCAAGTCTCGATGGCTGAAGACGATACCCCTACGCAAAAAGTGATGCGGCTCGCGGCCAGTCACATTTTGGAAGCGCTGAAGGATGTTCTTGTCGATGAGACTTGCATGGGATCTGGTGATAAAGGCATGAACCTCATATTTCAGCGGGTTGTTCATCTCGAATGCTCGTGGTGGTTGGAAGGTGAAAGTGTTCCAATCGGGCGGCAACGCATGTCTATCTTATCTCCAATCGAGAAATTGAAAGCCTATTGATATCGTAATGGTTCTTACATAAGATCTTGGCGCCTGACATGAAGCTTTTTGTTAGGACGGCCCGAAGCGCTCGGGAGACTCCAAGGTTCGTTGCGTCCTTGCAAAGCCACACCTTACGACTTTGCAATGTCTCTCAGGACCCGGCATTTGGCGAAGAATATCCATACCGTTACAGTAAACTTCTCACTTCCACCATGTCCGACAAGTCGCGACTAGCCTGAGTAGAGTCAAATCTTCTCCCAAAATGTCCGCAACTAGATCTTGGCTGTAGCATGGAAGTCTGTGGTTATGGAAGGTCGCGATGCTCAAGCAAGTCATTCGATCGTCAAAACAACGCAACCTGGTTCAAATTGTTGCATGTATGTTCGCTCCCCTGATAAATAAAAGCTGCACAATCACATCTTGCCCATTCGCTGCCGCAATGTGTAGTGGTGTCTGACCTCTTGCGTCCTTCACCTCAAGCAAAGCACCGGCGCCCAATAAACTTGTGACGATACCCTCATGACCTTGAGCCACGGCAATGTGTAACGCTGTCCGCCCATTTTTTTCCTGCACATCAAGACATGAGGGATGTTTGATCAATTCTTCGACGACGCTTTGTTGTGAATTGCATACAGCGAGATGCAGGCAGGTGCGGCCCATTGAGTCTTGGGGGAGCACGTTGGATTGTAATCGTAGAAGGAGCTGCACAGTGGACAACCTGCCGCTTTCAGCTGCAATGTGCAGTGCAGTTTTGCCATCTTGAGGTATGTCAGATGTAACCAGGCTGCTGGACTAGGGCACACAGATCTTAGTGCTTGCCGGTAGGAAAAAAAAGGTCTCGACATGACACTCACCTCTTCGAGTGGCCTAGCACAGAACCGTGGGCTGGCATGTTCACGATTTGCGAGTCCGATTCCGTTCAAACTTAGAACGACTGGGTATGCTTCGTCCAAGTCCCATGACCCAAGGGATGGCATGTCTTGGTCTGGATTGTAGGATATTTCCACGTTCGCCGGTGGTGTTTGGAGCCCGATACGGCTGATTGGTATGGCGTTGTCGCGGCTGTCGAAGTAAGACACGGATTCTGTGCTCTCGTCCGGACCTCCAAGGATCGGCACGCGGACGGTTGGCATCGACAATTGGTTGGAGATGGCTTGTCTGTTCGGATCGTCTTGATCTGTTCCCGGAGATGCACCAGTAAGGAGAGTCATCTTTGCCACGGTCATGGTATCTCGAAAGCTCTCCAACTCTTCCATTCGAGACTTTAGTCGCTTGCCTATAGTTGAGCCATGTCAGTGTCGGTCCGAATCACTCTTGCTTACAACTTACGGTATGCTTTCTGTGCAATACGATTCTGTAGTTTCTTCCGAGTTGCAGCATCCTCAACCAGGGCCACATTTGTACGGCACCTTGAGTCCATCTGGTCGCTGTAACCAGCATCGCCAGTGTAAGGATCGCTATCATTCAAGGCACAACTCGACATGATGGACTGCGGAATTATGAGATCGGCAGAATAGTTCTTGTCAGAGCCGGCAGGCCAATCCGGGCCTTTTGCAGTGTCTGATTCTCATGCCGACAGAGCAAACCGCAGCCTTGTCTCAGCAACCAGCGGCGGAATTGATTGAACAGGATTGTGGCAGCTGAACTCTACGGAGCTGAACAGTCGGAGGCTGGCGCTTTGCATATGATACAGAAGGAAGAATATTGTTGGAGGTTACCATTGTCTACATTGGGAAAGTACATGGATCGCTAATATACGGCTGATTTGGCGGTTGAAGGAATTAGCGCAGGCTAATACTAGAGGTGAGGCTGTCTGTCGTGTATAGTATTGGTGAGGCACAGCGCTATTGTCGCAGGAAGTCATCTAGCTACATACGGGCGTAAAGAGCCAAAGAATTGCTCATTCAGCCAGTGAATGGCGCACAACATGCGCCTACGGGAAGGATTGAGATTTGTGACTAGCGCGGTTCTGGCGTGCCTGAATCCTGGAGGGGGAGGCTGACGACTCACCACTGCATATGCCCTGCAGATTACGATATTATCACCGTTAGCTGGGACGGGCCGCTGCCGGCTATGCTTTGAGGAGTCAGGACGGACAAACACGTTATGCAGCTCGTTGTTCCCGAGCTGAAGGATGCGGAATGCGGGCAAACTCGACGCCGTCTAATGATGGAGTTGGCGTTCCTCTGTTGTTAACCCCGAAGGCTTTGTCAAGTCGGGGCAACTTCACTCGACATGGCTGATGGTCGCTGGCCGCATCCGTCTAGCCGCTTCACGTCAGAATAGATGCCCCTCTCGTGATGCTGGTTATTGTTCTGGACTTGATCTGGAATGCACTCGCCGTCTCGAAGATAAAAGAGGCTCCAAGCAGCACCGAATACTCAAAACAAATCACATCAGCTCTCCTTCTCCATTCTTCACTTTAGCAACGCAGCAAACCACAGTTACGCCATCAATACCACCACCATCACCACTACTGAACAATGCCTTCTTCCAACACTCCCTACCAGCCTTATGCTACAAGATACGTCGACGGACCTGCATCTGGCCCAACTGCCGCAGAGATTGTCAAAGATCTCGGCCTCGAGGGCAAACTTCAGGACAAGGTCATCTTGATTACTGGAGCATCGGCCGGACTCGGTCAGGAGACTGCTCGCGCTCTTCACACAACTGGAGCAAAGCTCTACCTCACAGGCCGTGATCTCGCCAAAGGCCAGGCCGTCGCTGATGACCTCATCGCAAGCAACCCCAACGGCCAGAAGCCCGTCTTGATCGGCTTGGAGCTGGACAACCTCGAGAGCGTCAGAGAAGCAGCTAAGCAGTTCCTCGCTCAAGAGAAACGCCTTGATATTCTCATCTTCAACGCTGGTATTATGGCAGTCCCTGAGGGTCGCACCGTCGATGGGTTCGAGACTCAGCTCGGAACCAACTACTTCGGCCACTTCTTGCTCTTCCACCTCATCAAGTCTACCTTGCTTGCCTCCCCAGAGTCTCCTAGCCGTGTCATTACTCTCTCAAGCGCCGGTCACAAGGCAGGAGGTGTCTTCTTTGATGATCTCGACCTTTCCAAGCAAGGCTACAACCCCATGGTCGCTTACGCCCAAAGCAAGACGGCCACAATCCATCTGGCAAACTCCATCGACCGTCACTACAGCGCGTCAGGCATCCGTGCTGTTTCAGTTCACCCGGGAATGATTTTTGAGACTTCGCTAGGTCGCCACATGTCGCAAGAAGAGCTTGCCGGATTCGCCCCCATGGCACCTTTTGCCAGACCTCTTGCGCAAGGTGCAGCAACCACTGTCTGGGCAGCACTCGAGCCTCACTTCAACAAGCAAGGTGGTGTCTATCTCGCTGATGCTGGTGTTTCAAGCGCGGCTGCCGAAGATGAGCACTTTGCTGGACCTGGATATGCTCCTCATGCCTTTGACGAGGCAGCCGAGGAGAAGTTGTGGAAGCTCAGCTTTGGTGCTGTCGGTCTGAAAGAGGATGATAATTGAGCATCTCGATGCATTGAATAGGTGGTCACCTGTGCGAGCAGTTCTGGCTAAAATCAACATAGAGTCTCCTTGTCCTGCGACCTGTTATCTTGTGTGTTTCCTATGCTCTTGCTTCTTCGTTCCGAACTGAACAGAGTGGTCGTTCTTCTTCGTTGCTGCTCGCCAACTGTGGTTCTCACGATGTCGGAATTTGTAGTGAGAGAAGGAGTGTTTTAGTAGAGCGTTTGTGGTTGTTTGTGTAGCTATCATAGTCCAGAGCTACGTAGTCCCTAATCCAGTGTCATTAAAATCACTCAAGCTGGACACCCAGACGAGTCTGCTCGTGGAGGTGCGTAGTATCCTAAGCCTGTAGTCGCTGGCTGCTTTCGGGCGAAGCGGTAGAGCAGCAGGGCTTTGCGTCTGTGTTCGCAGTGTAATCAGGGCATGTCGGCGAGGTTGCGACGCGTTTCCTTCGTTGTTGGTCCAAGTCGCTAGCTAGTCCCTGGAGAGATCTGGTTGTTCCGTCCAGGCGCTTTCTTTTCAGACCGCCTCTTGTATGAATGCCATGCTCTTGCTTGTTCCTATAGGGTGGGGTGGTGAAGATAGCGTGTGTCGCGGTTTTAGGGTTCGAGCGGAGACGTCGACACGTCGTGGGTGGATGGTGGATGGTGGAATCGTGGATGTGCTTCACTGAATCGAGTAGTTACAAGGAGCGCCGACACAATCTAGTTGGGTGCAAGAAGTCCTATGTCCAATATTCGAATGTCGTTGTAGTCGCCTGTGGTGTTGATAGAGTTGAAGATCGCGGATCAAAGTCGAAACTCAAAACCGCATGCGCACGGCAATCCGGTTCGCGCGCACAGACGCTGCCGAGTCTTCTCCATGATGCGCGAATGGTGCGCTGATTGAATATGTGATTATTATTCTTCTTAAAACTCACCATGCGACTGACATGAAAAAGGACATCCAACAACAGCGTCGAATAGCACGACTGTTGCGATCGTCAAATTGACGCTGGGATATGCAAAAACTTGAGGGAGGCAATGGTCAATAGAGAAGAACGAAATTTCATTGGCAATCCTGAAGCAACTCCCAATTCATCAGACACCAGTAACACCAATTCTGATGCGAATCAACTCTTCAAGCCTTCTGACCAGACCTGATCCATCACTCTCCCATCCCTTCTGACCAACCCCTGATCCATCACCCCCTTGATCTATCCCACGGACCAAGTGCCAGGCTAAAATAGCTGTCAAAATGCAAGAAGCTTTTCGACATTAGCAGTTTGTCCAGTGAGAGAGACTATTCAACGAATGAAATCACGGAAGATGCCATGGTTAGTGATGATCTTGCCAGCCTCCTTGTTGAACGTGTTACGACCGCTAGGGCGGGATGCTGCGTTCGCCTCTGGCACGGTCATCTTTCCGGAGTTGACCCGGCCGAAGGTGCGGCAGAGGGAGTGAAGTATCCCATCGTCGGTCTTGTTTGCCACAAATTGATCTACGTCAATCTCCATGCCATAGCCAAGACGGCCATGTGCGATGGGCGAGAATTTGGCCTGCAGAGCGGCCGCCTCCTGAAGAAGATAGCGGTTTTGGACCATCCCGGCCCAAACGAAGAGCTTGACGTGGTTCTTGCGGCGTTTCATGAGGTCCTCAATGAACATCTTAAACGATGCCCAATCGGTTGTGACTCCAGTAAGGCTGCGGACCCAGATGTAGATCTCGCTGCGCTCAGGGATGGTTGTGATTGTTGCAGATACAGCGCGATTTTTGGCACCGTGACCGACATCAGTTCCGAAGACGATGGGGTGATAAGATGGCTTATGTGTCGCAAAGATGTGGTATTGGCCGGTGAGTTCCACGGTCTCCAGGAGAGGGTAGATTTGACGGAACAAGCTCTTTGTGGCGGCCTTCATCTTGCGGTACTTGGACCTGGGTTTGACTGGTCCAGATGCTCGGCTGAAGGTAATGGCGTAGCGTTTGGTGATTGATGCGGGTCTAGGGGAGGCGAGTGTCTTCAGGGTCTTGTTATCTATAATGTATTGTTAGTTACCTGCCACCATAACTTGGTAACACTTGTAGGGGGGTTAAACTAGAGGAGTTGATATAGCTCTGACTCCCCTTTGTTTAACCACCCCCTATAAGCGTCAGTAAGGATAAGGTACTTACAAGCTGCGAGGGCGCCGGTGGTCTTGTCGGCAAGACTTCTGGTTGGTCCACGAGCCATGTTATCTGTTAAGTTGGTGGATAAGGTTGTTGTAAGGGGTTCAGGGGTGCTGTGATGAAGCTTGAGGAAAAGGAAGAGCGAGCGAAGAAGATATAGCAAAATCTTAGACAAAGACCGTGTAGTCCATGGAAGAAGAGAGAAATGGAAAGCTGGAATCGCGAGTGTTCGTCTCTTCGTTTGTCCAAGGTCCAACACCGGGTTTTCGGAAGCCAGACACCCCCGACGCGGAAGCATGCGTAGAACCAACTAGAGCAAGCTTGTCACAAGTTGTCAGGTTGACACACGGCCCTTTCATTCCAGGACCGGATTGATGCTTGCTATGGGTTGATTGAAGTCGTCATCATGTTGCAGTACGATCATCAGATGGTTGGGCTCCAGGCGGCCAGAGATGTCTTGACTCTTCAGTCGTTTACGCTTACAGTGTCTGATCATGTCTCGATGCGAAACACGGTAAGGATACTCAATGTCTTCAGTAAGTCTGTTCTGCAAAGTCACCAAATGCTCCGCAAAGACCGGCAGCGACTTTCTGAACACCTTGGGTAGAGCGCAGTTTGTTTTACGCACGGTCTGGGTCGGTTTCTGGAAATGGACGGCACGCTCTATGCCTGGTAAGAATGACAATTCTCGCCCAAGTTGGTCGAAGAGTCGAAATGTCGAAAAATGAAAAGAGCCCATGTGCGGGCTTTCATGCACAACAATATGCGCCCTCTCAACCTTCGTCCCGTAACGAAAAGCCAAGCATAACAAGCATAATAAGCGCAATGCTCACAAAACTGCATAAGATCAGAGTGTAGCAGCACAACACAATTCCACCAGCACTTGCGCGGTGCCAAAGGCCAAGATTTTGGCCTGCGTTGCTTGCGGAGCTTGCCGTCAAGCTGAACTGTGGGGAAACTCATTCTGGTTGGACAGCTCGTACTGCGACATTCTTTCTTCCTCTTCTTACATGGACGCTGCATCTTGGAAGCACGCGCGTCAATGTGTAGTATTCAGATCTCTCTGCCACAACTTGATAGTAAAAAAAGTAAAGAGGTAGGTATTCAATCCAATGTCGGCATATTCTGTCACGTCGAGTGTAACGCCACGCGACTTGAGTAAGAGAAGGCAGGTGCAAGTATGCCCAGGCAGCACCTTCGCTCGCCCATTCTCCTTCGCACTTGATTTCGTTTCTTTCTTCCTTTCTTTCGTCGCACCCAATTTCTGAATTTTGTCCCGTCCGCCTGTACAAGTCCTTTGTCTGTTCTATACCACTACCAATCAATTGCCGAGGGTCAATCTACCCGGACGACATCAAAATCAACATGTACGACTCAACAATTGCAATCTACCTTGCCGTCGTACTGATTCTTAAATAGCAAAAGACCTTTTTATAGGCGATCTCTCTGCTTTTCGCTTCCCGCCTGTATGAAAGACTTGTTCATTATTTTAATTGTTTATGATCTGACTGGTGCAAAGCTTCATCAACATCATCAAACTCCTTCCCCGGCAGTTCATCGTATGCTTTCATCATCATCATCATCATCGCTTGTTTGAGTATTGTCTGACATGATGTACAAGATGGTCAATGAACCCAAGACCGGCACTACACAATGGGCCAATGAGCTCATGAGATGTTTTGGTGCGCCGGCAAGTTATGTCGTCAAGGGTGGTGAACTCGTTCGCGTTTTTGCCGGAGGCGATGATGGCGATGCCAACGAGGAAGAGGATGAAGAAGAGGTCACAGATGGTGATGAGGAAGAGGAGGACGTCGGCCTTGGGCTGAGTCAGTTGCCCGGCCACGACGCCGAAGACGATGAAGATGAAGACGATGAAGACGAAGATGCTGGTGAGGGTGATGATGAAGAGGAGGAAGAAGATGGTATCCCGACGGAGGGTGAGGGTACGAGTGTTGAGGAGGGTGATGTCGATGAAATCCTCGACTTCAGGCAGTACGGACCGGGTCGTGCCGTCAAGAACACGATCCCTCGCTTTGCTTGGTTGCTGGTTCGCTGGGTCGACAAGTCGAGACCCGAATCTTGGTTGGATTCGGCTGCGCTTCATGCGCCAGTGAAGATTGCTGCCTTTTGGTCGGCAGAGGGTCTGAGACCAAAGGTGTAATGTTTGCTCTTGATTCTTTAGCTGCTCGATTTTTGAAACAATGATGAATTTTGCTGCAATTGTTATGTGTTTATTGTAATCCAGTCTTCTTGTAAATAGTTTACTATCGCGTTCACAATCTTGGAAATCATGCGGTCAAGGGATGTACATATGAACCAGCATGTAGAAGAGGTAGACGTGGTCGACGTTCAAGTAATTTGGGACATCATAGCTCCGCATACATGACTTGAAGCTGCTGTCTGAATTTGAAGTGTGGGTTAGAGGTGAGATGGAAAGAATGGCAATGGCGACGGACGCAGGTACAAGAACCGCAGAAGACGTGCAGCAGGTCAAGGTGGATAGAAAGCTGGGTTTGCATGTGTTGAACGGTGGACATGTCACAGAGAACACGTCGGATGTGGATACGGATGCAGTATAGGACGCGTACAGAAGTATAGTGGCGTAAAGAAGACCATGCAGCTTATTGTGTAAGGGCGACTAATCGACTGTTAATCATGAGAGCGATAGCATCATGCGAAAGGAAACAAGCTCCCGCTAATGGTGGCCGAAGATGATGGCGGGTTTGCTGCGGAGGAGAAACTCGAGAAGGAGTGCTAGAGTCACTCGGTAAGAGTAGCGGGCATATTAAGTAAGTCAAAAAGCTTGGTGCATGTAGGAGGTAGCGTTGCTTAAGTAACTTGAAGGACTACGTAAAGGCGTAACGAAGAAGCAGACGCAGGAGTGATACAGGGCGTCAGCGAGGTGCACGAGTCACAGTTTAACATGACTTATAATGAAGGCGTTTCTTGCTTACAATTGATACGAGAGGTCGAGAAGGAAGGCGAATGTGATATGGCAACAGGAGTGCGCTTGGTTGTGTGTGTCCATGTCAGTCAAAGTGCTGGAAATACCAGGAAACATGTTGAAGAGAGTCAAGTTCCAGCAAAGAGGGAGACAAATGGTGGCAGAAGCGGTGCCGAAAGAGAGGATGCAATCACTGAAGAAGGTCAGAGCAGGCAGAAACAAGCCAGGACTGGGTGTGTGTGGGTGTACGTGGTCGAATAGTCGAAGAGCTTGCAACGCGGGCAAGGAAAGCGGACTGTAGCAACGGCCGCGGAGGCGGAGAGATGGCCGACAGAGAAGTCGTGGAGAAATCGAAGCCATCGCGAGGCAGGATACTTTTGCAATCAGTGCGGCCTCCCGGAGGAAATAAGCCCGTTCACGAACTCTCGGGTTGATGGCAGCCACTCTCCATAGGCGATGTCCTCTTACTCGAGATTTTTGTGCATTTTGATGGTTGGAACGACAGGGAGGACGGGCATCGGAGGGCGGATTTCCATCTCCGGTTCGGCCGAAGCTTTCAAAACAACCTTGATGATTTGAGGCTCTGCCGCTCCAATCTCTTATTTCCGTGGTGCCAAGCTCCAGAAATCGGAGCTTCGAGCCTCGAAGTCGAGAGAGAACGATTTTCAATTCTTGTCCCACAGCCACCACGCAGACATTCAACTCAACCAAATCAATTCTCACAGTCTTGGATCTGGCATGCCTTTTGAGGTTCGCGCATACGACACTCCCCCAACCGATCGAGCGATGCGCACACCTGCCTATCCTGCCTGAGCGAGTCGCCTGCTCACTCGTCGCCCTCCCGCCCAGAACCGCACAACCACAACCCTCTTACGCACATTCGCTTCCTCGCTACCATTAGACGAAAATGTGCCCGACCGAGTCACTGTAGAGCCTGACTACTCTTCCGATGAACGAGCTCATGCCATCAATACACACAGACACCGCGACGAAGAGCATGTGAGTTATGGAATGGTCAGAGCGACAATTGACAAGGGCCAGGTTTCAGACAAGTAGATCTTCTCGACAGGCAATTCCCCAGTTGCAAGAAACTCAACATCCACATGCGCAACCTCGTCCTGTCAAGCACCAACCGCCGTGTTGCAGGTCATGCGCCAATTCGCACCAACTCTCCCAAAAGCTCAAGGATCAGATCGAAAGAGATGGAAGAAGGGGACAACGTACATGTAGGGGCACAGGAATTGCACCAGAACCGAGCTCTCAGCATAGCAAATGCTCCTTGCAACATGGCAGTCAAAAGGCACAATGATTTATGGATTTTGGTGTAGGTCCAAAGAGATCAGAGTACCGCTCTCGATGGACATGTACTTGATCATCAAAAGCATTATGCCTTTTTGAAGCCAAGGTCGCAAGGCTATACAGGCGAGAGGGAGTGAGAGCCTCATGCCTATACCCCTGATCAAGGACTTCTCCCATCTCCTCTGTCAATTGCTGTTCACAGTATGCACATCAAAATGCACGTGGGTATTCGGAAACATAGAGATGTCCATTGAGAGCCCTGTGCCGGGTCCGCCGCCTCCCTGATCAAACTGTTCTCATCTCATTGCGGCACGGGACGCTACATGATGGATCACTGTCTACTTCTGTGCACTCTTTCCCTTCTTCTTCATCTTCTTGATGCTTCTAACAGACTTGTTCTCCTCAACATCTCCATCCTCCATCTCCTCGGCGACACGCTTCTTGCTGGAACGTTCCTCGGAACTAGGACCACTGTTGATGCCAGAATTGTCGGCGGTGTGACCGTTGGCTACATGCTCTTCACCGTTAGACTGGCGCTGCTTGGGCTTCTTCGCATCGGTGGCAGCATCTTCGTTACCGTTAGACTTGCGCTTCTTGCCTTTCTTGTCTGCGGCGGTGGAGGGAACTGCATGGTGCTCCAGTCAGTGTCATCATCTTTAGGAGTGGCCTCTCCTTGTGCAGAGCTCTGTTCCATGCATGCTGTAGAAAGGCACGTTGTTTTTGAGATCAGTCCAGCCCTCCACTGAGAGTGTGACAGTTGGGAACTCTCTACTGACGGCCGGACAGGGGTTGAAAAAGAGGGGGGAACGGTATGTACTCACGAGTCGACTTCTCCTTGTCCGCCTTCTCCTTGTCCGCCTTCTCCTTGCCGACCTTCTCCTTGCCGGCCTTCTCCCTGCCCCCCTTCTCTCTGGCCTCCACATACTCCTGATGAGTTGTAGCCGGCATTCTGTGATCCTCCTCACAGATCATGACCTTCTTCTTCTCCTTGGAAGTCGAGCCAGGGGTATCGTGGACTGACTGCTTCTCCTTGTTCTCCTGAACATCACCAGTCTCGGAAGCGGAGTCGGAATCATCCGAAACACTGTACGGTTCAGGCATAGGGGTGTTGTTGCGGATGGCATCGCTCACAGCAGCGTAATAGTCGGCAAGAGCGTCGCGGCTAGGCTTTTCTTCGATGAGCTCTTCGGCAAGGTGATCTTCTTCAATCTTATTGAGAGCGGTCGCATCATTCTTGTTGGTTTCTTCCATGACGGCATCGCGGGCCTTTGAAGCGGCTTCGATTGTGTTGTACTTGACGTGGTTGATCTCGCCTTTGTCGTCTCTTTCCCAAACAACTCTGGCATCGGGAGCGAGAAGGCGGAAGACCTCATTAACGGTACCGAGAGGATCGTAGTGCGACATTCTGCAGTAAGTCGGTCTTATGAATGAGCTCTGGACTCTAGCTAGCAACTTGCGTAATAAGGGGAGAGTACGAATTGCTGGTAGCAGTTTCGATGATAGAGAAAGGGGTGTTGATGGGGAGCAAGGGTAGTTGGAATGCCGCAGTGTTGATGGACAGCAGGTTTGCTTGGATGACCTCGTGCGAGAAAAAAAGTTCCTTGCGCGACAAAGATACGTTTGCTTTGACTGATAGTTCAATGATGAAACCGGATAATATTCGCTATGCAGGTATCCGTAACCCACCAACCCTTCCATATTCCTAAGCTTTCCATCCTCTTCTGTCCTTCTTCATGTTCTTCTTCCAACACCCCTGAGTCTTCTCTTCTCCTTCTTCCAACACCCCTGAGTTTTCTTAGCTCGCTTCTCGAAACCCAGTCATCTCTTCTCCATCCACCCTACTCGAACCATCATGTCGGAAGTCAAGTTCCCCAGCAACAAGAGGTTCATGAATTGCCTCAAATGCACCTCCCACAGCAAGACTTGTGACATGCCCGACAACGCTGCAAGATGTGTTCGCTGCGAACGCAAGAACTATAACTGCCTGGAATCGCCATACGTCATCAACTTCAAGCTCTTCAGAACCCAAGTTGTCCCTACCCTGGTGGGTGATGCTCTGGTCGCCACCTTTCTCCGTCAATTCGACAATCTCCTCGTCCATTACCCCGTCCTTCGACACCTCGCATTTCTTTTGGGTTCTCTCTACCAGCACCACGATGGCCTTTCCGCAGCTGACCGCCAGTCACACTCGTCAACCCCCTCTGAGCACTCCAAGACCGTCATGGATCATCACATCGACTTTATGTTCAAGATCGGCAACTTCTTCAAGCAGGAGGCTCAGGAGTCACCCGAAGCTACGTTTATACTCATGACCATGCTTCCCCCCTTCCACCTCTACATGGCTCGTCTTTTGAGTCAACGTGACGACGACTACACCATCCGCATCTGTCGCACTCTCTACGGATTGAGCAACTATCAAAGAGACCTCCGTGACAGTCTGCCTGAACTCAGCAAACAACCCGACTTTGGTCTTCTTCTTCGCTCAAACATTGGTTACGCCTCCCTCCCGAGTGATGATGAGCTTCAAAACTTCAAGCCTGTCGACAAGTTTTACAATCTGATCGACACATTCGGCCCCCCTGCCATCTCGGAAGTCGTCAAACCTCACATCAAACTTGCCGTCGACAATCTCTTCATGCTCCTCACCAGCGTCAGTCAAGCCATGGAGAAGAACAGAAAGGAGACTGCCCGCAACCCCACTCATGTCCTTGTCAACAATGATCGCAAGATCTTTACATGGATCCTCATTGATGAGTTTCCCCCTGAATTCTGGGCCTTGACCAATGAGCGTTCCAACGAGAGACCTCATCCCATCTTCCAAGCTCTTCTCTGTTACTGGGGTCTGCTCTGTAGCATGAAGAATGATGTCTGGTACTTTGAAGGTGTTGGTTACCGTCTTCTTCAAGACTTCTTGGTCGTTGCCAGAGACAAGGATATCGTTGCTGCTGGAGACAAGCCCCTTGCTGAAGTTTCCGCCTGGCAGACATTGTTCCATCCTCTTGTTGGTAAGCTTGGTGCCACTCATGTGAATTGGGTCAAGGGTACTGGTGATGCTCTTGCTCCTGAGTCTCCTTGAAGACTTGCCCCTAAGTCTCCTTAAAGACTTGCCCCTAAGTCTCCTTGAAGACTTGCCCCTGGGTCTCCTTGAATCTTCTCTGACTACATTCATGATTCATCCGCATGGACGACGGGCGAGCGTCCGCCACTCTTATTCCCTTCTTCTCCTTTGTTACTCATTCAGTCACTACCTGTTCTCGATTGCGCAGACATGGGTTCTAGGCCTTTCAACCGACATGGCAATCCCTGCACTCCTCTCGCATTGATATCTTTACTTAGAATAGCTTCTGCAAAACATTATGACATTCTTCATCCATTTTTGATGCCGTGAACACTGACACTGGAGGATCTGTCACTTTTAGCCATTCCCTACAGCCATGCCTGATGTTGTCTGGTCTGTGAAAATGTACAATGTTTTTGAGATCAGTGCAACCGTCTAGTGAGGAACTGAGAGCGTAATGGTTAGCGGCGCTCGTGGAGATGATATCGGACTTTGGAGTTTCATCTCCGAGCGCTTGCAGACTTGCGGAGTTGTTGTTTACGACGATCCCAGACTTTAAGATAGCCATCCACGCCACGCCCATTATCGCACTAAGAACAAGAGACCGTCCAAGTAGTCCAACAAACTCATCGCCATAAATCAGGATTCAAAATGCGTAGACAATTACTCGCACATGGTTCTTGTCGAGAAAGGGACCACGGCGTCGAAACATAAAACACAACACCGCCAAGTCGCATGCTTCAACTTCATGACCATTAGAACACAAGACACTTACGCCATTGCATAACTCACACAGCACGAGATTCAACCTCGCTCATTATCGTTCCCAAACCAAGGTCATTGCCCAAGTCCGAAAGCAGAAGCGCACNGGGAAGACCTATACCCCTCGTGTATCCCTTAGTTTACCCTCCTTTCTTTCATTACCACTGCGTAGTAAACAGAAGAGTAGATGAAAAAGTTGGGACAAGGGGTATGGAGGAAGTACAAAAGTATGAATTGATGAATTGAGAATCTGCCATGTAAGTTGCATGATGCGCATGATTGCGGAACCAATGCAGACTTCGACATCGAGGTTGCGACAAGAATGAGGCATCACGAAGATCGCTACAGCAACGTTGCGAAAGTTCTCCGACCCAGTGTTTGCGCAAGTACTGTTTGGCCTCGACAGGGGAAACTCAAGTGTGCACATCTCTTTATTCTTTCAAATCGCTTCAAGCCAAATACCATCAAGTCGCAGCTGTCTGTATTGCGGAGGTGCGTCAGGCGTGGTGGTCGAGGAAGGATGCTCGTACGTGGAACTGAGACGGAAGGCGTGAATGATGATGCTCGTGGACGAAGGACGAAGGGCTCGTAGGCGCAATGTATATGCTTTCGAGATTGTATGATCTTGGGAAAGTGTGGACAGAGGAGTTGTTGGGGTCTCGGGAGTTTCGTGGTCTGGGGCGTGAACAGCCGAAGGCCGCATCATTCGGCCGAGTGCATGTACGTTGTTGGGCTAAGGAGCTTGCGGTCTTGAATCAGCCAGAGATACCATTTCGGAGTCTTGGTTAAGATGAACGCGACAAGCTGTGGTAGCCAGGTAGCGCCGGTTCCATAACTTCTGGGTGTACGCGACAGGCAGCGATGTTACGGGCGGACCGTCGCTTGTGGTTGGATGGAGCGGGTCTGGTCGTGTCGTCTTGTCGGACTTGCGCCGCCATCGTTACAGTTCCATCATCGCTCATAAGCCGTGGCGTCGTCTCCAAGCAACCGCAAGCACCGGTGTGTATTCGCCTCATCTCCTCCTCTTATCCTGATCCAGAACGTAAAGCGGCGCGGGAATGTACTTCGGTAAGGTGCAGTTGGACAATGTTCGCAAGAGCGATCATCCTAGGCAGCAGTCGCAAGTCGAGCATGTCGTGGAGCGGAGAGCGAGAAGGAAGGCGGGTTGAGCCCTCGAGTCGGCGTGACAGCTCAAGGCGATGAATCGAAGGTGTCATGTCCCGCTTGAATCAGTGGCATTGAGAAGCGCATGGTGAGTTTGCCCGGGCGGGTTGATTGAATGGACGCGAATTCGTGGTCGATGATGTCTTCGCTGTCGGTGGTGTTGAGTTTGAGGCAAGAGTCGAGGCTGTCGAGCTGGTGTCGGCGAGTCGCAACGCCCGCAAGCTTTCGACTTTGCGGCAAGCTCTGTGTGGCCGCGGATGCCCTTTTCAATGCAGCGATAGAAGCAACCGAAGCCGCTCCCTCTGCGCATCATACTCAGACAAGAGAACACCAACTGCAAACCCAACTGCTCGACACCTTCCACGCCGATGCCACCCATGACAGCGACTTGGAGACCTGGAGATCCCTGGTACAACAAGAGGCCGCGGCCAACAACAGCTGTGTACATGTCGGATCACTGGGAGAGTTGGTCATTCTGGACAACCAAGAGAACAAGATTTGCAGATGGAGCCATGGACGAAGCACGCCGAAGCATGGAAGATCGACTTCTCTACCAACTCTGCACCACAGAAAGTCCATAGGGTGTTTGATGCCCTACTCCTGCCCCAGCGACTTGCCTCCGAAAGCTTGGGGAAACATCAAACGCCCGAAGGTTAGATCGAGTCGACGGTTGAGTCCCAATTCGCCTACGCCACGCCCGATGCTTTGGGTCCATGCCACACATACAAGAGCTTGAGAACGCCTGGCAGTCTCGAAGGTGGGCGTGAGCTCCTTCAAGGGTTGTTCGATGCACGGAAGCGTGGCCACGGCAAGTGGTTCATGCAACAAGTCGCCGACTCACCAGCTGGAATGGCACTGGAAATGACTTCACCGAACTCTACGGCTCCTCCGAAAGCAGCGACCTTCAAACCGGACAAGATGCTGCCGCTGTGATATCCTTACTTCTACGTACCCACTAGCGCTGCTTTCGAGCTCAACGTCTCGAGCAACTTGGTTTATTTCTTCGTCGATGGAACAAGATCACCAGCTGCCAATCGCTTGCTCTTTTTCATCCTCGGCGCCACCGAACCTAGCAATCATTGGAGCCATTCACCTTTTCTTACGTCAAGCGATAACCCTCCTTAGCCCTGCCGGACCTTCTCTCTGTCTCTTTTCGTCTACCCACCTTGTTATTCCCGACCTTCGCGTATGCTTCGCGCACTCTGGATTGTTTATTGCGAACAGGTCGCGGCTCATCCTCTTCTGGCTCCCTCTTGGACTGACCGGGAGTCTCAAGGACCTTGTCGAGAAGCTTGTCGAGAAAAGACAAATAGGAGGAATGTATGTGCCATCCCTGATAACCTCTGGCAAGGCGAAGAACCATGTCTTGTCGCCCTCACCCCCCCGCTCTCCTCCACCCAACTTTCCTGCAGGCCATGCTGTCGGCTCCGTTGAGGTCATGCTCGCCTTCATGTGCCTCCACTGCTCGTACCACCTCTCCGCTCAGGAGATGGGTAAGTCTCCTGTCCTGCTGTCCCCATGCTGTACGCATACGCTAACAGTCCTTTTTTAGATGATTGCGACGCTTGCCATGAGCCCTGCATGCGCAAGAGCTGTTGGCGCTGCGTCCGCGGCTCGCACGGCTGCAAGAATGTTCCCGCCATTCTCATCCCATACCTCAACGATGACATCCGTGCTAAGGATGCTCTCCTGCTCGCCCGTCATCGCCAGTCCGCCCACCTCCGCATGTAAGAGCTCATCGTCACGCGTGTCCTGGCCGAGTTCCACGTGCTTGCAGCAACTCGTCCACCGAGGGTTTGCCTCATGTCTTGACGCGCAACATGACCTCCGACGAGCTGTTGCGCCGTGAGCAGCTCACTGAGCAGCAGCGCAACCGCCGCGCCCTTGAGGACTTAGCCTGTTCCGGTCCCGCCGGTCGCTCTCCCATGGAGCTCGACTCTGATGATCTAGCAAGGCGGAGAACCATGTCAAGATTACCGGTCTCGGCAGCTGGCCTTTGATCAAGCCCTCGATTGAGAGGATAATTCGAGCCTAAGGATTTGGATAACAGGAACACATACTTTTCCGGGTGAAGTCGATTGTAGCGATCAACTCTCATTCTGGTGATACACCCTGGGTGACTTGTTGAATCTGTGAATTCCTTCCATGGGCTAATTGGCCATTGATCTCTTTTCAAGACACTCGAACTCCAAGGGACTTGACCTGTTCTCTTTCAATGGAGTGAGAACAGTCTGAAGCAAGCAATCTCCCCGAGCTCGGATAATTCTCTTCACAAAGGCAGAGAGCTTGAATGCCTCGCACACTTTGCTACCTTCCTTTTCGACATTGTTCAAATCATCTTTCATGTACAAGGACCTTTCGGCGACGGGAGGTAATTGACAGAACTCATGAAGACTGTATCGCAGCTGCAAGCCCCAACCTGGTCTCATGAGCCTGGACCTACTGGACGTGACTTCGGATTGGAACGTTTTGGCATTCTTCGCTCTTCATAAACAATTTGTCCTGCGTCCTGCTTGGATCGTTCCATCATCTCCTGTCTGTGCCTGCCTGTCTGTCTGTCTGTCTGTCTGTCTGTCTGTCTGTCTGTCTGTCTGTCTGTCTGTCTGTCTGTCTGGTCGTGATACCTCGACTCCACAGTCCCCCGTATATCTCGCATCGGAACTGCTATCTACAGTCCTCATGGGTGAACGAACTTCCTCGGAGATCGGCTATATTGGTGCACAGCGGGACGTAGGCAGACACAGCGTCCCTCCCGACGTACTCTCTGCATAAGTGCTCAGGTTGACAAGCTTTGATTGCCCTTGACATCGACAACGCCAGTGTTGCGGACGCAAACAATAATGTTGTCGTTAACCATATTGTTGGCATAGGGGAATGCAACAACCATCTTACTGTCCCTGGCAGATGTGAGGGCAAGTCCATACAGCGAGTCTGATGTTCAGTTCCGCTTTCATTGGAGTTTAAAGTAAGAGCGGGGATCTGAGCTTCATGCTCATACGGAGTGCTGTCGAGCAGTGCACAGGTGCAAGCACTTCGTCTTGCACTGAACAATTGAGACGTTCAGGAGACTGGCATTGCCTACTTCGAGGCCCTCAGCATCGGTGATGACGCCTGTCTCTGCTTTGAGGCTTTCACACTTCCTGTCCGTCCAGCCCCGTGGCCACAAAGTTAGGGCCATCTTAGCTTCATCTCCACCCTGGTGACCAAAAGAACTATTACATTGAGCAAGTGATCTCCAACATCGAACGTACAGTGCGTGATGACTGATATGAGCCTTCCCTTCTATACTACAAGGCATGATATCACTCACCAGGCCAGCTCAAGCTTCGGGTAAGACCGGTTTGTGCGGCGTGCGGCGACATATCTCTAAGTAAAGTCCTGCATAGTCGTGATGATGAAAGATATCGAAGACACGAGGGATTATAGTACGTCCTTTGTTGAGATCTGCAGCTGGATAATCCATCTCGAAGTCAGTATCCTCCTTGCTCCTTGCCTGAAATTGAGATGTGTCGATCACGGCCTCGGCTTCTGTCCACGGAGTTGATCTCCGTCAGGGTCCACGCTGCCGTTGTGGGGAAGCTCGATTTGTTGGAAGGACCCGATGGGTGTCGGTAATTTGGAGCCTTGGCACGCACGGACGAAGAATTCTCTGTAAAACCAGCGATATTTACATAGTTTACTCAATTCAACTGACGTAACCACAACACGGTTTCAACACGATTTCAGAAACTCTCCAAGGCCGCAAAGCTGCAGAGTCAAGTTCTCTTCACCTTTTGGGTATCTGCACTTGCCACGTCTGCAGGTCACGACTCCCAATCACAACTTCGCCAGCCTGACTCGATCTCGGTATAATCTTGACATTGGCCACTCAATTCGCTTCAGTCCTTTTTGCACGACCACCGAAGCTCTCCGTCCACCGAAGCTCTCGCTGATACCACCGCCTACCATGTTACGATCGTTCAGCACTCGACCACACCGACTTAGCCACCATCCCTCCTGCCCAGCGTGATGACTGCAGACTCATCTCTCTGTACCATCGTGTCCCGAAATATTATAACGGCACTTTCACCTCACGCATCATCGTCGCTTGTCATTCCGCCTGTCAGATGCACATTGCGATACCTGAGACATCAATGCCCACTACCTCCCACACCTTGCGCGAGAGTATCACGACACACGATTGTCCGTCACGGATTTGACCAGACACCCCGCCACATCTACGTAACAGAGGCAGCTCTTAAGTGTTACTGATCAACATCCTGGCAGACTTGTGTGCCCAAGGAATATGCTTTCAAAGCACCCGCCGCTTCAGGAGCCGAATCAAAGGGATACCACAGCTCAAAACACACATCTTCATGGCTGTGATGCCCTATCCGCTCGCCGACTATCCGGCTGAGCGCTCACCTCACCCATCTCGTACAGATCGTTCGTCCCACCACCTCCGCCTTCTCCAATCCACACGCTTTCCCTGTTGGCATCTCAGATTGAACACGACACGAGGATTCTCGAGGTCTCCATCATCCCATCACGACAACCCACAGAAGCGCACCCCATAGAAAGAGCTGTTGTCGAGCGACATCAAGGAGGGACAAAAGGTACAGAAAACAGAAGCATTGAGCATGGCTGGGACGGACAATGGACATTCCTACACAGTGCTCTTGTCAATCGGTCTGACATACCGTTGGCGCTTGTAGCTGCGTTCTATTGTTATAATCGATCTATGGCTATGGTCTTCTTTGCTCTCCGTGCTTGTCTTCTGCCCCTCCAAGGTTGCTGTACTGCAGGCCCTACGTGTATCTGGTCCCCAGGAGTTGCTTTGCTATGTAGATTCTCCTCCAGCCTGGTTCCCATCTCATATACTGTGACGCCCCCTTCTCTCTACAGTTCGTGGTAAGCTCTCTCGTCAGTGTCCGACGAAGCAGTACATTCAAAGCCGATGTTCTCTGCCTTTGCGTGGATACCACTAGACTACCCCGTGAGTGGCCTTCTTCCCTCCTCATCGCCATCTTAGACATTCCTCTACAACCTACTGTGCTTTTTTGCCCACATGTAGGATAAAGGGTTCTTCCCGCCGATCATCATGATCTTGTCGTACGTACTAGCTCTGGCCCTGACAATGTTCGCTTGATCATTCAATCATCTTCAGCTTCGCCCATGGTCTTTGCTGTTCTGCGTTGGTGTTCCCTGTTCACGCTTCTTCTAGGTCTCACTTTCAACATCTTTACACATTTGCTTACTGCCAGGCTGCTGTTGGAAAGAAGTTCCATTGATCTTTTCTGTCTAATCCTTGTCTCTTGCATGTTGGATTAGCTGAAGTTACGCAAATGAATGACCACGCAGCGCCATCAAATCGGATCAAAAGCAAGGTGTTGCTTCTCCATGACTTAGAGCGGCTAGACCTTGGCAGGCAAATACAAGGGACATCACAAATGTACACTAATCATCTTATTGTCTGCAATGAAGATACCGGCCTTTTTCGGATCCATTCACAATATCTCGACCACAAGGACAGGGTTGCTAGCACAGCGAGATCACTTGGGCATGCAATTGCGAAAAAGAACTTGACTATGGAACAATGTACAAGAGATTCGAGTATAGAGCTTGTCCAGCAAGCGCCTTTCATTCAGAGTCGCTCCCGTATCGCAACGATAGGCATTGTGATTGCTCAAAGGAATGAGCACTTCTTTTATCTGCGTTGTGCGTCGACAGCTCCAATCCACAAGACCGTCATCTTAGAACGTTATTGCATCTCTTGTCACCTCGCGTATGTCACCAGGAACAAAGTCTCCGCAGAAACTCGCTTGTTTGGAGGAAAGAAGCAAAGCACGGGGATTAGCAGTATGGAGCTGGAAAAGTCATAGACATGATCACACCATGCGAGAATGATAGCGCCGAAGAGAACTATTGCATTGCATAGCGCCATGATGCTAACAAGACTTTAGTATGTTTCTACTGACCGGCCCTTCTTCTACGCTCATCATCAAGTCTCTGCTGCTCACTCTCAGTTCTCGGACCATCAAACATGGCCTTGTCAACAGGCTCCTCCAAAAGTAGTCCTCCAAGAGTCTTGACTCTGGAGATTGCGGTATACAACAATCCACTCGTGAATTGATGCTGCGAGATGTCCAACACGACCTTTTGAAGGGTCAGACTTTGGGATCTGTGAACGGTGGTAGCCCAAGCAAGAATCAATGGGAATTGAGTACGACGGTAGGTCAAACCAAGATGTTGAACAGTGTGCGTAGACCGGAAGATGGGGATGACGCGTGAGCCGTCAGGTAGAGGATTAGGGAGTGTACGCCCAGTGTAATTGTCCAGTTCAACAAGAACGGCGTATGGAGGATCACGGCGGGGAACCTCGCCTTGACGCCAGCGGATATCCTTGACAGTGCCAAAACTGCCATTGACAACACCGTCATGAATGCTCAAATTCTCCATGACCATGACCCGACTTCCAAGAGTCAAGGTGAGGACACTGGGTAGATCACCTGCCTCGTCTGACTTGACACGGGAGTTGTTACCAGAGGCAGGAATTGACAAGACGGGCTGGAGGGATTTGGTAATCTGCTCTGCATTGTACCTATCAACCTGGTTCCAGGTGTAGTAAAGACGGACGGCGTCGTTGAAAGTATGAATGTCTGCCTCGGACATCTCCGACATACATCTTGCAGTCAGGGCTTTCCAATTCACATCACTCATACCGCGAGCGTTGCGGATGTCGGTAAGAATGCGCTGAAACACAACATCTTGATCTTGACGGTGAGCGGTGGTCAGAAAGAATGACTTGGTAAAAGCGAGGTATGACAGGCACATCTCAGACTTGAACAATGACCATCTAGTGTACGGCTCTAGTTGGAAGAAGTCACCAACAAGGATGACCGATAGTCCGCCAAAGAATTTGTCGGAGAGGGCAGTGAGTTCGCGACATCTTCGATCAATGCTGGTCAGAAGTACCCTGTCAATCATGGACTTCTCATCGAGAATCACGACTCTTAGACCAGCTAGCTTTTGACGGAGATTGGCCAGTTTGGCTGCATCGAGGGCGAGATATCCTTTGATGCCAATGTCGAACGTTTCGTGAATGGTAGAGCCTTGAATGTTTCGAGCGGCGACACCGGTTGGGGCAGCCTTGATGAAAGGAGTGCCGCGGTAGCCGAGGGAAGTTGCGAATCTATTGATTCTCTGATAGATTGATTCCAAGAGGAAAGACTTCCCAGTGCCTGGACCTCCATCGATCTGAACCAGGAAGGGTTTGTCGGCCATGGCGGACGATAACAGGGTGTCAGCGAGGGGAATCACGTGATTGTAGACTTTGAGTTGATCAGAGCTAAGGATGTCCTTGATTGACAAATCATGCTGCGTAATGTCTGCAGCTGATACGGTGGGCGAAGAAGGTAGGGTAGGAGACGGATCGACATGTGCAGATGCCGACCAAAAGTTTCAATCGATACCCATGACATCCAGCTGCCCGACGTGAGGCGACCAATCCATGGCGAGGTCAATGTCACGCTGACCAAGTGTAGTGTTTTGGTAGTTATGTTGAGACCTGATGAGTTCGAGAAGAGTATTGAATGCTTCCAGGTCCTCGACACTTTCTACAACGGCATCATTGGACAAGAGATAGTCACGCTGATGGGGGGCGTGAAGAAATCGGCACGAGTCGTATGCTTGCGCATAGTTGGATAGGTTTTGAGCCGTGTACAGGCTGCTCTCATCAAGTTGGAAAGGATGATGCAACAGCATCTTCATTCTGGCCATATCAGAAGATCCGACAGCAGGGTTAGGGATGTACATGGGAACTTGGCATTTGGCCAACGTGCGTGTGACGTTCCTGGGGTCGCGGAATAATGCAAACTCTAGCATGGTCATGTTGGAATGATTTAACACGTTTCGATTAAGGTAGCGATTGAGAACAGAATGCTGACTCTGGTCGGACTTTACTCTGGTGTCGATCTTGATCACAGACCGAGAAGAGTGGATGAGGTTGAGTTGGAGGAGATTATGGCAAATCTCTTGGACCGAGTATTCACGGCCTCCAACAAGTTGAGCCAAAGATGAGGTGACTCTGGACAAGACAGGATGGAGAGTGGGAGAGGTGTGTATGGCGGATGTCAGAGAAGAGACAATCTCACCAACCTCGTTGTCAGCGGAGTATGTCGAGGGGGTGTTGGCTTTGGAGACATAGGCGAGGATCTCCTTGTTGCCAGTAAGAACATCGACAGAGATGTTGCCGCTCCAGCCAACGAGAACAACCCGATTGTAAGAGGTGATGAGGTTTTTGTTTCGCTTGGGTTCAAAGAACCACTTGCCGGTAACTCGCTGAACCAGCCCAGCCTTGTCTCTGTTTGGGATGTTGACGAGTCCATATCTACAAGTACTGGGTGTGCAGCCAGGAGATTGGGCACAAGAGTGGGTCTGATACATATCAACAGTTGCGCGAAGGTCAGGAATGTTGGACGTTGTGGGATGCTGCCATGCTTCGACATGCGCATTCCAAAAGGCTGCTAGGACGTCTCTCTGATGTGATGTATCGCATTTAGGCTTGGGTGAATTCGCCGTCCACAGAACAGTGTGCCAGTGTATGACACCATTCTTTTGATACTCCACACGTCCCCACCAATCCTCGACATCGAACAAAGGTTTGAGAACTTGCTCGAAGAAGGTGCTCTGACGAGTCATGATGTAGCGAGTGACAATTGCCGGGTTGGAGTCGACCATGTCTTGAATCTCCTGCCGGGTATGAGGGTGTCCAAATATGAAACCAGGAAGGACCGCATGTAGATCAGTCCACTCGAGAAGGTTGGATGACAAGGTGACAAACAAGTTGGGGTCACCAATCAAGTTTACCATCGCCCAAAGCTTTTTTCTCTGGCCTTGCCACCATGGGGCACTACCGACAACGACCTGAGATCCGTAATCAAAGACTCTACGTAGAATGGTGAGATCATCATCTTGTAGAGCAGCACGGAGCTCATCCTCGGTAAGAGCTCCAGCGATCTCCTTGCCAAGGTAGGTGCTCCTGGTGTTGATTTGACGATTCATCAAGATGTTGAATACGTAGAACAGCCATTGTGGATGCTGAGCGAATCGCTTGTCTGAGTGTGTCAGGAAATTACGAACATAGACTTCAAACCTCACGTGCCGAGAACGTGGTGAGATCCAATCACCCTCACCGGTGGGATAGAGGGTTGGAAAGGAGAGTGACAAGAAGGGCCGTGTCTTGTTGACCTCCATGATGGGAATGGTAGTAAAGGTCGTAGACGCAGCGAAGTGTGTGCTGGGGATCGGACGAGCTAAAAGGTTCGGCATGGCGACTCTCATCGGACGACCCATCGTGGGAAGAGCAGTGATCGAACTTGGTGTAGTGGTGTGTGTAGGGAGAGAGGTCACCATGGATGTTCTGACCAGTGGTAAAGTGTTGATGTAGGAATTGTCAATGGTGACACCTCGATAGCGAGGGTTGATGCGCTTCATTCCAAGAAGAAACTTTCGCACATTCTCCCTATCAACCATGGTCTCTTCGTGGAACTGTGAAGCATCATAACCTGTAGGAATGATGATTGTGTAGTTGATCTGCTCGACTGGTACAGGAAGAGTGGTGTACAATCGAGCTTCATCGTGAAGGTGGGAGATGATCTTGCCCTTGCTTTCACCAGGACGGACTTGTGCAATCTCACTGGAAGTGTGCATGATTGAACACATCCTCTCTTCAAGGATTGAAAGGCGGGGAAGATTTGCAGGCATGGGAGGTGGCTGCATGCTATTCTCGGTGCCAAAGACTGGTGGGAGATGAACATCCACATCCTTCGGTGCTCGTGATGAACATTCTCGACAAGTACCATTGTTGATACGGAGATCATCCGAGAACCAGTCTCTGCTGCATACGGCACATTGAGCGAGTTGAATAGCGTCCATGGTGTTGGTGAACCTCTGGATGCGGTCAAGGTCGGCTTGGTGGAAATCTCTTGATGTAGGGGGAGCTTGACGAGTAAGGTTGTGGATGGGGGCAGCTACAGGAGGTTGAGGTTGCGGCTGGTGACGAGCACACTCTCGCAAAGGACATGACACTTCATTCTCGACATGTCCGCCACCAACACAATACACCAACCGTTTTGTGATGTCAACACCACCATCAACGCAGTATTGACAGACAGGTTCGTTACCGTTGACGTTGTATTGTTTGGCCAGGACCGACGTGGGTCTCGCTCGAGCACAGCCACCAGTGCACCAAAAGTATGCGGCCGATGGTGGCATAACAGCAGGCGCGGCAACAGCGAATGTTGAACCTTTAGGTCTGCTAGAAGCAGGTCCTTAAGGGTTAACTCGAGACCGTGGTACGGCGGGAGCAGGTCTTAGGCTTAGAACTGGCCTAGCAGCCATTTCGACGGGTATAGTTATAATAAAACGATAGTTGTCTCTTGCTTCTGCTGCTAATCTTGTGTTAATGGGGGCTAGGCGACGTAGGGTTGTCGGAGACTTAGGACCTGGCACGAATGCAGTACTATATGATCTAAGAAGGGTACTAGCAGTGGCGTGCTGTTAAGCGGTAGAAGCGATATGCTATAGGCCTAGAGGCAAAGGACTAGCACTACGGGCATCACTTAATTAAGATTAAGCCGTGCCGTAGACAGAACCTGCTAAATCTGTAGTCCCTCCGACAGATACAGGTCCGAAGCTAGGAGCTAGCATCTAGATACTAGGTAGAGGTCTCACAGGAGGTAGCAGCTGCATGCTAGGCGGAGGTCTTACGGGAGCTAGACGTAGCATACCCGGCGGCTACGGGGTTACCCCGTATAAGTTACTCGACCCGGGAGTATCATAAACTAAGGGAGTGCCGGGCGGCTAAAACGTGCCGAACCCTCGACCGAAAAAACTGTTCGGAGGGGTTAGTAAGCGAAATCTAATCGGATTAGGAAGAGGGTTCGCGGTAGCCTAGACTAGTAATGCATTAAAGCTAGCTAGTGTAGAGCCGACATTAGAGGATAGAGAATAGAATGTGTTGTAGTTAGGGCTAGTAGGGTATTATAAGGGGCTTAAGGCACTAGTCGCTAATTATTAGGATTGTTAGGCAGTAGCATAGGTGGATCCTAAGAGTAGAATGTTACCTAGACTACTAAAAGGAGTATTAAAGCTTAATGCATAGTCTTGTAGCATTTGTGATGTATACTAAGATGCAGATGTAGAAGATTGAAGATAGGCATTAGGTGCTGCTCCTTAACCGTAAGGATGTGTAGTAGCAAAAGGCGGCGTTGCTCTAGCCTATAGATAGGAAGGCGGATAGCCCTGTCTAGGGTATAGAGCTTAAGTAAAGAAGCTAGGTTAGGCATACTAGTCTAGCCGAGGTTAAACATAAGGCTATCTAAAAGCATTAGATTAAGGATAGGAGCCTAACTAAGTAGAAGGACTAGCATGCGTAGGGGTAGGCAAAGCACCCTCTTAAGTATAAGCTGCTATATATACTCGAGTATAACTTAGAGGTCTATAAGGCTAACCATTATAGTTCGTATACTACGTTACATTATACTTAGCGCCCTAAGGACGTCTACAATTCATGCATTAAGCTATAGTTTGTTCTATACTATGTCGGCCCTAAACAAACTTAGACTTAGGCCACTAGTGGTTACACTTTAAGTAAAGATGTATAAAAGCTTACTTAGCTATAGATAGAGTATACTAGTTTATATTAAATGGATAGAGAAGAGAGTTTTCTATTTTTCTAATCTTTTCTTATAGTTTAATTAAATGAAAGGAGAAGAAAGAAAGTTACTAAGACATAAATGTTATAGAAGGACCTAATAGGAACATGTTATAAGATACTATAATGTAGAGGAAGAGAGAAGGATAGCTACCTNTAGGGCCGTCTTAGCTAAAGGAAAGTAACCCCCTTCCTTCTAAAGTAGGGGACATTATATAGAATAGGGTAAAGTCCTTTTTAAGCGCGCTATAGTGCGCTAGCGGTCCTTCTGTTCCCTCTATATATAGAGGTTCCGAATTTTATTAGTGAAGTTAATCTAGGGGACTAAAATATAATGGAGAATCCGTATCTCTAAGAGTTTATCGATAGGTAAGCTAGGGGAAGAGCGCGATGCTAGAGCCGCCACTAGCATAAGCTATTAAATGTTTAGGAGAGCTCCCGTCCGAGGATTTAATCATCGCTTATTAGAACGTCCCGCTTATAAATCTCCTAATAAGGTCTCTATTAGTTAGAGTTTTCCGAGGTCGTCGCCTAGATCTATTATCCTTCGTTCTCCCTTAGTAGTATCGGGCTCTAGCAAAGTAAGAGACGTAGTCCTACCATCTAGGCCTAATATTAAGATGTTGTCCGGATTTGTTACGAAATCTGTCCGTAGTAGAGCGTAGTGTCTACCGCTAGTTAGTTTTGTTAGGATTATCTAGTTCCTAGATCTTCTTTTATTAGAGTACTTTAAGGGAACTAGCCCTAAGACTCTTTTCCTCCTATAGCCTTTAATTAGTATGCTGCCGTCCTCATCGGTCGCCGTAATCTAGGTCTATTCCTGCTAGAATCGTAGGGGGCCTAAATAGACCCCCGTATCTGGCTCGTAGACTAGCAAAGCGACTAGATAACCCTTCGACGATTTCTAATGTTATATCGCTATCCCCTAGCTTTTTCTCGGCTAGTCTCTCTTAGAGACTAATGACTCCCCTTTCCTCCTCTTTCTCCTAACTCTTACGATGTTCTTACTAATGCGTAGGGTTTTCTATATCCTCCCTCGCAAACACTAGATTACGCGAGTAAGGCATTACTTTCTCTGCTCGTCTTAATATACCTCTAGCGCAATCCCTTAGCTTACATCGAGATGCTCCTTAGCTATTCCCCCTAGATGTCTTAGCTAAACTAAGGCGGTCTAGGATTCGACTAATAGCTAGTAGTCGGTAGCAGTTTAGATAGGTCGAAGAGTTCTATTATAATCCGTAGCTAGGTCTAGCTCCTGTCTAAAGCCTGCTCCCTAGTCCTCGTTTCTATTGTCCTCTTCCGTACTATAAGACTAGCGTATAGGGCCTACGCTTTTTTCGTTAGAGCTATTGCTAGCTTACCCTTACGCGAGACGCTAGCGCCTTTATATATTCGATAGAAGGTCTAATTATCTTTTCCTATTAGGAGGTGTTTTTCTAGTGTGTCCTTTTCCTCTAGGACTACAGAGTGTTATTTATTCCCATTTTAGTTTGCCTAGTCTATATCTACTTACTTTAGTAAGGCTAGTTTATTCGTTATATCTAGGACGGAGCAGTTTTGCTAGTTAGATACTTAGGACTAGGAAAGGTAAGGTAAAAGCTAGTACTAGGTAGAAAAAAAGAAAAACACTCTATAGTTAGTTGTAGGTTAAGGATATTGTTTCCTTAAGGGTTTAGCCTCATCTTTTTCTCTTACTTACCCTACTAACTCCTCCCTTACCTATCCTAGGACTCCTTTTAAACGCTATATTATGTCTAGGGTAGAGTAGTTTACTTTCCTTGCTTAGGATAAAGCAGTTTTATGTCGATTTATGCTTAGGACGCACGGAGCAGTTTTATGTTAGATTATGCTTAGGATAGAGTAGTTTTACGTCTCTACTTAGGACTAGCCGTTATGATAATGTCGCCATTAGCATTAACTAGAGCCGCTATCGTCTCCGCCGCCGCTACTACTACTGCTACTTCTGCTAATCTTCCATTATAGTAGACCCTACCTAGAGCGGCTTTTACGGACATAAGAACTTTAGTAGCACGATCTAGTTACCGGTTGTTTAATAGGATGTCCACGTCTATAACTAGTCCGGAACCCTTAAGTCGCTCCGTTAGCTCTCGCTTTTGCTCGCGTTTAGCCTTTATAAGTCTAGATAGATGTAGCAAGAGGGAACAGCTTTTATGGCCTCTTCTAAAACTTCTGTCTAGATTGTACTTATAGCAAAAGCTAAACATAAAACTTCCTTACTAATACTAGAAGAGTGTCTCTTACTTAGAGATAGGCGCTATAAGACTAATGTCCGCTATAAACAGTCTAGGCACCTTTCTCGATTTAGGCGCAATAACTTTAGTAAGGTGTTTCCGACTAGCTTCCTCTAGAACGATAGAAGAGAGCTTACGTCGAAGGTACTATTTAAATGTTTAAGGTCTCGCGGTAGGGTCGATTTTGTTTTATACAACAAACGCATTCTAACCGAAGTTATAGGATAGAGCGTATATAAATGCTAAAGAAAATAGCCTTAATCGTAGCATGCTTATAATCCGTTTAAGCAGGTTTTATATAGGCG